GCCATGTAGATGTTCATAGCCTCCTGCTTGAAGCCCATCTTGAGCAACGTCTTTGTCTCTTGGGATGTCAGCTCCTTCCACGCCGCACGAAACGCCAAGATTGTTCACATGACTTTGCTGCAAGTGGCACGTCTGCAGACAATCGTGCGTGACTGTTCCGGCCTCTGATCCCAAGTCCACGCAGCCCCAGGAAGCGTCCAGCTCCACAAATGCGTCCTTCTCAGTGCAACACAGCAGTGTGAATCTGCCAGACCTGTCACAAATACCTATGTTGCAAAGAAGAACGTGGCTCGGATGCGCGCTCACGAGGCACATGTCACTAGATGAAAGTGCCGTGAAACGATTGCTAGAAAGCAGCACGGTCCAGAGACAGGATCCAAGGCGGCATGATCAAACTCTTGATCCAGAGGTCCTCTCATGGCTGGTGTGGCTTGAGAAGCCCATGCAGCATGGGAGCAATATTATCGTATAAAGTTCTACGGTTGGGCTGTCTTGTTAGACTACGAGAGGGGGCGCCCACAAATGAAAGCAGAGGTCTCTCACATTCTCTCAAACAAGGGAGGCTCGCCTCCTCCAGGGGTTGATCTCGATATCGCTGCAGCCAGGTCAGAATCTTCCCAGAGACGTTCTCGGCCCTGGAAGGTATACTAAAGAGCAACTCAGAGGCTTTCTTTTGAAAGCTAGTTCAACTCTGGCTCAGCAGAGAAAGCACAGAGCCGCGAGCTGCCATCTGCGCGAGTCAATCACCATCAGAGAGGGACTCAGCATGCAGTCCTGAAGGAAAGTCGATTTAAAGGTCTCCCTCATTCATATTTGCAGTGCTTTTTTGCTGCCAAGCATTTTGATTGTCGCCTTGATGTCGACAAAAAACACAATGCGTACACCCGAGGGCACACAGGGCATGGGTTCTCCTTTGGCTTGACTGTCTTGGGGAGCTCGTACCTCAGGAGAGAATCAGAAAGATGGGGGGAAAACTTCCAGCTGTGTTCGAACAGTTCCAAGACAGGCGAAGCTAGGATACCCGTACGCTTCGAAAACGAAGTACTGTAGCGGCGAGGTTGCTGGGTGGGGCCAGAAAACTGAGCTTCCTGCGCACGTAGGAGATCGAAGTCCAAGACTTCAGAGAGCTCGACACGGCAGGACCTGCGGCAGCGGCCACTATTTACAACTAGCGCAAGGCGGGCAACTTGTTTATGGGTTGATGGTGGTTGATGTGTGACAAGATACTTCCACGCTGATTCTGTGATGCCCCATGACACTGCAAAACAGAGCGCAACGATCATCTTCGGAAGATGGCATTGATGCCGCGAGTATATAACTCCTTCAAAAGTACACGCCGCATGGTGCAAATTTCTCCCGACCTCGCTGCCGCCACAGGGGTGCCCTGCAAGTCGATCTTCGCAAGGGCACTGACGTCACCCAACATCACCCCTTCGGGATCCTGGGCACATCACCACATGCCGTGACTTGATGACTTGAGACAGGGGTGGGAAAGTGGGGTGGGAATTCCAGACTCGGTCGATTGTTTCGACGACAAAGGCTTTCAGAGCGTGCGTGATTGCTGAAACATCAGCATGAATGTGCTGCAACAAAGAAGGGCATGATTGTAATGCTATCAATGGTCTGAGATGGTCTGAGCAGGTCGCCAGATACACCAAGCGTGATGCACGTCCAAGTAAACTCCTGCTGACGAAACTGCAACTGCGGTTTTGAGCTATTTTCAACACCTTTCACATGTCAGCTCGGCTAGAAGAACAAACGTCGAGCCGCTATCCGTCGCGTGTGAACCCAGATGCGTCTCCGTTTCTTTCGCCACGCGTCAGACTTCTGCCACCATCTGGACGCGTGTGTCGGCACCCGATACAGTGCCTTTATTTAGGCTTCGCCGGCTCCTATACATTCTTCGCGGTTGCCCGCCAAAATATGATCATTCTTGGGGGACACTGTCTTCTACAGCTGTCCGTCACTTCTTTATTTCTGCGGGCTTCCATGCATCCAAAACTAGCAGGCTGGCGTGTGTCTTGGGTTGAAAAGCCGCAAAGGAGCACAAGTCTGAGACCCAGCAAAATGCCGAGCAGCGCGTTTGAAAAAACCAGTGCCACTGGTATGCTCAGTTCACCGGCCAGTATCAGTCCGCTACGTCCGTATTGAGTAACTTAATCCGTTCGGGGGGCGAGCCGACAGGACTGCACGGAGACTGCACATCCCAATTTAGGCCCTTCCAGGAGGCAGAAAGCCACAGAAGCATCGGGGCCGGAGCCGCTGATGCTCATGATGCGCGGCTGGGGGGGACGCAAGGGCGCGCATCATCGAGGCTTGTTTCTCCTGTGGGATCCCAAGCATCAGCAGCATCAGCGGCACGGGCTTGGGGTGGGGAGGAGGGGCTTGGGCAAGCTTCAAGGAAGTAAACACGCCTTGTAAACCCGCAGAGCAGAGCAACCACGCGTGCGTTGCTCTTGTGGTTGCTTCGTGTCCTTCTTGTTCTCCTTGTGAGCCCCCTCCCCCCTCCGGCAAAAGCCCAAACCCTGCTTGTTGTCGGCTCGGGGCCCCTTAGATAAATTTGTGCAGTGCCAGAACCGCTGTCCGCTGGATGCACCCTGACGTCAGCTTGCGAGCAGCTGGACAAACACTCACTTGCACACGTCCGCAAAAATCAGCTTGCAACATGAGAGTCAGTACATGGCCGCTTCAGGCAGCCCGAGGTCCTTCCCAAAAACCTGACAATGAAGATGATCACAGATGCGACCACAAGGAAGCGCAACGCAGGTAGGAGTCCCGACTCGGGGAGGAAGAAACGGACGAATTGAAAGACGCTGGAGGCTTTCCGCGGGACCTGGTCGCGGGCAGCATCGCGCAACCGATTTCGACGTGTCTCGTGCTGTGCTCTGATGGTCTATGACCTGCTGTGCACGAACGCAAACATCAGAAAATTGAGAATCCCAAGCCCAGCCCCCGCGAACCTTCGAAGAGGCTCTGAAAGTCACGAATTCTCCTTGGTTGCCAGTAGTGTGGGTAGTACAGTACAAGTGTCAAGCTTCTAGTCTCAGGTCAATGATGCTAGTCGTCAGCATGCAGGACGACGTAGTATATCATGTAATATCATGTAGCATCCCCCCCACCACTAGCGCGCCCTGGCATGCAACAGAATGCTCGAGCCTCCTGGAATCTCTACCAGGTACAATACACTATACTGTAACCTTCACTGTGATTGTGTGCGAAACGTCCACCACAACAGGTCTAGTTCCTGGGGCGCAGATCTGCTGCTTGCTGTTGGCGGTAACACAGCGATTCACAGCCGAGCCACGAATCTTCTTCAACGCACGCTCGTTCGCGTGTACCTTGTGCGGACCGTTGTCTGCAAACATATAGTAACTGCCGGCCCCAGCAATCGCCTGCACCCTCACCTCCGGCAGGTAAGCTTGCAGTAGCCTAGCAGTTCGAGTCGTTGGCGAGATAGATCAGAGCATTGCTGAGACATGGCATCGCGCACTGAGTGCCCTCCCCCCTGGTTTGTCCAAGGCGCTCAGCAACTACCCTCAGCAGCGCTGTAAGGACGAAACAGATTCTCCAAACAAACTGGAAGGCGTCCATGGTGACTCTTTGTGTGAGGCACAAACACTGAACCACTAAGAGCACAAAGCCAGCTAATCAGCCAAAGCTCTGCTGGAGCTGGGGCGAGGTGACGACGTGAAATTGTACCAAGCCAGGGTTCGACGCCTAAGGCAGACAGACCATCGACATCCGGAAACTTTCAGAACACTGCCGAACAGATTTTGTAGAGACATGCAGAGATTATTGCAGACAAAGGCCCCTGCATGCACCCACGCAGAGTGGATGGCCACTGCTAAGGGCCCTGACCGCTTGCTCAACAATCTGCACACCAGCTGGCGGAGAACGCAAAGTGCTGAGGTCACAGCTGAGCTCAGAATCATCAATGCTCAAGACAACCTGGGAGCATGACATTGATCTCCCCTGCATGAGCAGCTCATGTTTATAAGTGTTTATCACATCGCACCTCTCCGCATTTCTCTGCTCTTTGCATAACGTGCAGAGCCAAGCTCCAGACATGCGTCAAGCCCTCGGCCTAAGATGCAACTGATACTCACGTCATTCTCGCGTCGACGGCTGCCAGAAGTACACACCAAAACCTCTCAAAGCAAGTCGCAAAGCCCCCATCGCCAGGCACAGGCTTGAAATGGAGGTGCCTCGCAATGGCTAGGCGGCTTAGCACTCCACTTATTCACTCTCAGCCACCTTTGTCTCCGTCTCGCAACTGCTTTCCAACTGCTTTCCATTGAGGTCATCGTCGGGGGGCGGATATGGCCCGGCCATTTTCCACTGAAACACGTTAGACCGAGCTGCTTTACACGTACTGCCCCGGATGGCTACAGAAACAAGAAAGACAATGGGCGCCTGAATGTCACAAAGAACGCTGTCAGCACCAGGCCTGTTTGGCTTGACAGTGGTGTGTGCAGCTGCGGCTCTATGGCATTGGATGGCATTGGCCTACGATTTTTTGCTGAGTACTAGTGGCTACTAGCGTATGACAGAAGCAGCGCGGATCATCAAGCGCAGCAAGTCCAGTCATCTTACATGCTACTCGGGCCTGTCAAGGTCAGCGTCCAGAGAGCCCGGACCAACATGCCAAGTCATGCTGCCAGTTTCTTCTTCCCTTGTGACTTGTAAGGGCTTGGCATCTTAGATGCGAATATCAGCTGAATGCATGGCAGACTTGCGTGCAACAGGATAGCAAAGTCTTGGCTACTGCGTTTGTACTTCAAGTACACATGATGAACTATGATCCAATGGCAGCGGCAACCTACTATTGATGGACGGCACCCTCATGTCAACTTCTTAAGCCCGGCGTGAGAAACTATTCAACAACCATTGAGTTACTCCAAGTTCTATAAGCCTGCAGTGTTTTGATTAATCACCATCTGCAATCGACATGGCCCATCAAGCCAGCAGCTATGCTCAGACAGCGCGTGCTACAGCCGAGCCTTCTCGGCAATCTCCCGAATATTAGAAAGGTTCCTGCCCAAAATATACCTGGGAACAGCACATGGCAGAGGTCGGGAATCAATCCAGGAAGTGCAAAAAGCAAGAGAAAGCTCAATGTCATGAAGCATCCAGGCCCCCCACCCAATCTCCTCAATGTTGAAGGACATCTTTCTCCGTTTGAACTCAAGCTGCCTGTCTCAAGCGGCTCAACGTGTCTGCAGTCATAAGTGCCGGGCATGGACAGCGGGTTGACCCGCAGAGAACTGGAGGCTGCACACCACGTAAACAACCCATTCGTGCACAACACTTCTTGCACTCATGCCCGTACAACTCCCTTGAAGGCCCTGTTGTCAATCTATGGCTGAGGGTCTGCCACTCCCTTTTAAGGCTTCGGGGCTTACCCGTCCCTGCTCACATTCTTCTCGGGTAGCCGGTGCTGTAGCAACTCCAAAAGCAGGCGGGTGCGCAAACGCAAACGAGCCAACGCATGCTTCCTGACCTTCATAACACTATCAACCTGCTAAGCTGTCATGCACAAATCCTCCAAACCTGACAGCCAATCCAATTCATCCTTCACGGCCTCTGCGCAGCTGCTACAGCTTCTGGATCTTGACCCACCACGCGAACCTCGAAGCGGCCGCTTGACCCGACTGCGTTCCTTCGTTTGCAAAATCCTGCAACTTCACCACGTCCAGGATGCAGTGCATCAGTGCTTTATGACATTGTCGATTTTTGGCAGTTTTCGTGGTGCGTTCGGCGTTTCGCCTGTCTCTGCATGCTCCTGTGAGGCGTCATCCACGACGAGCTCAGTGAGTGTTTCTTCATCTACGGCTCGTGAATGTACGGTGACATTGCATTGCACTGCGCTGTAACGTGTTGAACTTGAGCTGAGGCTTCGAAAGCTAGGGCAGCATCAAGGGCCACCTTGCCTACAACACACCCGAACCCGAACGTTGGCCGACGTGCAGGCCTCCTTCGAGATGTCAACGTCCCCAAGACGAGGGCCCGAACGGAAGGGACACGGGGGAGGGGGACCATGAAGAACGTACAAACCTCAACTATCTGGAGTCGGCTGTGAAATTCAGATTCAGTAAGATCTCTCTCAAACCCCTGGCGGGTGCTCCCGAATGCAGGTGGCTCACTGGGTGGTTCTCTGTACTTAAACGAGAGTGGCAAGCAACCATGAAAAAACGCCAGCTCATGGCAGCGCCAGATGGTCGTGCTTTGATACAAAGCGCAGCACGACACCCCTTCATCATGGCGTTGCGACGCGTTTTGTTGGATTAAGCTGCACTGCTGTTCACAGCATTTCACTGAGCAACTAAGCAGCTATATTATGCATCGTGCAAACATGTGTGTGCATCCTGCAGATGCAAAAGTACAAATGCACACATGCTCATCAAATACTGCATGCAAACACATATGTGTGCATACATGATCATACATGTACATGTGCATCAGTGGACGTATACAGGCTGTCGGCTCGGACTGGTTTCCTGTCTTCACAACTGTATCCACAACCCTGCAACTCAGCTGAAGTAGACTAAGTAGACCAGATGCTTCAAACGCCTTCCCAAGCTGAGCCTCTGGCAATGGCCTGGTTCCTCAGGGCTCTCGTCAAACATTTACATTCCCATGCTTTGCCATTGGTTGAGATTTTGCTCGAGGGGGAGCTGTCGAGAACAATTCGAGGGCAATCCTCATGCACTTATGGATTGTCTCATAACGCGCTGTCCTCTGGTCTGGACACCGGAGCACCTGCACTGGCAACTCTCGAGCAGCGGAAGTGTTCCATGGACCGCGTAGTAAACAGACATACAGTTCTGTATCCAAGGATTTATCCTTGAGAGCTGACTGTCCTGGGGCCTGTGATTTTGAAAAACAATGGTTTTGGAGGCCCAGAAACCATGTTGCAGAACAGCACTGGAGGTTGAGGGCCATCGAACCCCGCAGCGACAGGTTGTTGGAGTCAAACTGCAGACGCTGCACAGTTCCTGGCTAACCTGGATGAGCCTCCCCCCAGGCTTCTGAGCAACTTAAATGCTTGTGAGCAAAACGTTGCTGTAGAAAAACAACTCCAACCAAGACTAAATGTTAAATGCGAACTAATTTATAGAGCGAATTTGACTCTTGAACCACTGGGATTAAGGAATCAAGCTTAAAGAGTTAGAGGCATCTCAGCCCATCACCATCTGGATATTGAAGCACCAACATTGTGACTCCTAAACCACTTGGATTTAAAGAATCTAGAATCTCACCCTCCAGAGGTAGATTCTCCAGAGGGGGCGGGGGGTGGTGGTACCGTGCGGTGTTTAGTGAATAAGGCATTCCTTGAAGGTGTTCAGTGAATAAGGCTTCGGGGCCCGAAAATGACGAACATGATGGCACCACTTCCGTACATTCGCTTGGGGTTAAGGGTCAAACCTTATCCTTATACCTTATTCCTAATTTAATTTGTTCGGACTTTAGGGCCAATCCTTCTTCCTCTTTCGCGTTTAAGGTTTACAGACGTTTTCGTTTAAGAATTAATCGTGGAAAGGGACGGGGGTCGTTTTGTGTATTCATGTAAGATTTGGGGCTGGACCATATTCCCAAGTCCAAACCTTATACCTTAAGTAACTTAAGTGCCTGAATGTATTCTCATTTCGCCTAAGTTTTAGGGCCAGACTCTGTCTAAGGTTTAGGGCCAGACATTTTCGTCTAAGATTTGATCGGGAAAAGGAGGGACGTATATTCATTTAAGGTTGAGGGCCAAACCGTCTTCCTAAACTGACGGCCAAACCCTATTCTAAAATAACCTTGTTCGTTTAAGTTTTATGGCCGGACCTTAATGGTTTAAGCTGTAGATGCGTAAGCCGTATTCGCTTAGGTTTAGGGCCATGCCTTGTTGCAGAAATGGCGCATTCTAATATGACCTGATTCCTACACCTTAAAAAGATTAAGGTACCCAGCGGGTCTTATCTTGCTATGGATCTTGTCTGGTTGGGGTACCACGAGTCTTGTCTAAGTTGGAAGACTGCGGGGGCAGTCAGACGTTGGAGAGGGCACCGAAATCGGAATCGTTTGGAAGGTGGATCCCCGAACCACATGCCAGTTTGCAGACCACATCCTCCTAATTAGGTGATGCATCCTGGAAGATTGAACTGGATGGTTACGGGATTGTGCAAAAAAATTGAGAATGGGCTTGAACAAAGTCGCCGACCGCAAGCACGCAAGCTGACGCCCCCTGAAGTGGTGTTTACAACAAGCCGCAATCAAACGTGCTAGCATCTGCAGAAGCTCATTGCGAAAGGCACTGAGAACTGCGTCAGCGTCATGTGTGTGTGCACATTGCAACCTCATGAGGCCTTTTTGCAAACGACTCGAAACCTGCGTCCGGCCGATTGTGAATGGACCCGGTCGAGGCAACGCATGCCACCTCGATGCTAGACGAAACACGTGCAAACCTCCTGTGGTGTCAGACTTCGCGAACACTACACAAAACACCTTTTGCTCCATGACCTGCAGCAATGCTTTTCTCCACAGAGTCTGGCCGTTGACCAAACAGCAATTGCGGCTTCTTGAATGGCTTGATAGGATGATGACAGCCAGGTACGTTTTCTGGAGATGGAAGCGTTAGGTGGTAGGGCTTTTGCAGTTCCATGAGCAATTCCTCAGAATGTCCCACAGAAGACTAGCACTTGTAGGTCCGAGCTAGGCGAAAAGAAACCCTCTAAATTTCGAGCACAGCATGCTGTTGGACTGGAACATCCACTCGAACTCGCAACTTACCTGGCTCGGTCTTGGGATGTCTTGGGGCTGAAGATGTTTTGTAATGTCCCAGGGCCCTCATCAGGGGTTCAGGGATTTGCTGTGTTGGACAACAGAATGCACACAGTTCGGCACATGGAGCGGATCCAATATACCTTGCCCAAAATTAGTGCGCCGAGTCTGGGCGAGAGATACGCCGCGCCCATTACACCACAAGCTTAAGGCAACCAGGTCCCACCTTAGCTCCAATCGCCCCAGGCATGGTCACTTTTTTGGGAACAAAGTTTCACCGCAAGAGCGACTGTTAGCACCGGACTAGCTTCCCGGCAACATGAATCATGTCAGGCCTCGATGCTAACGTTGAGCTGGTCCTGTGCCACTGCACTCCATATACTCGATACATGCAGAGAGTAAGATGTTAGGCACCCAGCACTAGACGGCATTTTGCAACAACCATGGAATGTATTTCTTCACCAGCTCAGCGAACAGGTCTATGCAGTCCATAGAACTCCAGACTGTATCAAATTGTGAGATAGCGTGAGAAGAAAGGACAAAAGGCGCACAAAAACAAAAAAGCCGAGCACTCTGCACCTTGAGGTCTTCCAGTCTCTTGCCAGACCTGAGCAACCAACGGATCTCGACGGTTCGTCCACGGTTTGTCGGACATCTCCACAGACTCCACAGCACGACAAGCACAGATTTACCCCAGCACAGTATAATTGCTCTGCACAACAGTAACGCATTCCAACTTGCGCTAGCCATGCTGCCGAACACTGTCCTGCTCTGCTTCACTTTTCCAGAGGTGTCAACCACAACATTCTTGGGGGGCTCGCGCCTTCCCTGCCCCTGCCTTGTCTCAACCCACCCATATTTATATATATATATATATATATCGCTAAACAACCCTGTGCGACGCGGATCGCTGATGTGTCAGGATCTCTTTTGGGTGCAAAACTGCAAACCCGTCTTAAACTCACGCGGACTCTTGACAAGGCGCCCCGGCCGGCCAATGACCAGGTTCATGATGTCCATGTCCACCGTGAACTCGATCACCTTCCCTTCCTGCAGGGCATTGCAGGGCATTGCAGGGCATTGCGGCGCAGGTGACTTCTTTTGCAAGCCCTGCGAGCAACATCGTGCAACCACAACATTTGCGAACATTTGTCAACTGATGATTGTGCGGACTCCGAACTTTCATGGGGCCGAGACATGCCCAACCGTCCTCGCGGGAGACGCCCTCTAAGCACGATAGGCGCTTCTCCTGGGTCATGCTGAACTTCGGACTTCGGATATCTTCATTGAAAATGCTGATGTCGGAAGCTATACAATGTTTAACTATTGTTGCACCCGTTTTAAAATCGTTGCCCGCCATTATGAGAGCATACCCGCAATTATGCGAAGTTGGCGGTGGGGGGGCCCGGGGATAAGAAACTCCGGAATTTTCTGGAATCCGGCTTTATGAAAATTCCTGTAAAAGTTCATTACAAAACAGGCCCCCAAACAATTTGCCAAGGGAGTAGCCCACGGAATGCCCTCTTTCGCTTTAGTAAATTGTTTCGGTTGCCTGCATTAATCCGCAGCCCCCCTGGCCAGGGAGCCAAGAAAGCCTGCCCCCCCACCCGTTCCCGTCATTCACATGCTTCTTGCAAAGAAGGCACGAGCTCCATTTGGTGCGAGCGGCACCTGGCGATCTCGGACAAGTTCCAAAAGTGCACCGAGTGCAGCAGTTTGCTCGCCCGGGCGACAGAGGTCCTACAGGAGACCACTTGATGCACAGAGACGGGCAGATTTTAAGTCAGCAGAACTGTCGGTATCTGTCGGTCCTGTCTCCAATGAGTTTCAGGACCAGACCTGACTTGTGGCTGTGTGCCCCCACGCCCAACAGATGGCACTGCTGCCGCAGCTGTTCCAGCCACTCCTGATGAGCACATACAAGAACATGCCCATATGGTAGTTGACATCGGCAGCAGGCCTCACCAACTACTCGAGGCTCAGTGTCCGCAGGCCCTGCAATTCCTGCTCGGCACAGCAGCAGACATGCTGTACTGGAAGCTTCAGACGAACCACTCTGAAACAAGAGATGAAGCCGAACTCTACGAGAGCCATGCCGGCAGAAGATGCAGAGGAAGCATGCCGCAATGCATCAAGCCGCCTGGGCATTCGAGCACGGCCTCCTGAAGCGACATGGAGCTGACGGCCTCCGGGAGCGGTCAGCAGTGCACAGTTTGATGCAAACTGTCTTGGAAGCCAAGGCGAACATCATGGTGCAAGTATCCATTAAGTGAGTGCCTGATAGAGCCTTATAAGCTGAATCACTTCCCGCTATGCAGAATCCGGATCGGGGCTGGAATTTCTTACATTACGGGCCTTCGGCAGTGGCAAATCTAGCCCGAAAGCCGACATGATGCAGTAATTTTGTTGGGCTTCAATTGAACTTAGATGGAAGCCGTTCAAATCCATCCTCTAGAGAGCCCGCCAACAATATCTTGTTATAGGGAGGGCTTGATAATAATCGTTTTCATACCCTATGAAGGGACTAGACTGCCCCAGTGAGCCTTGAGTCTGTATCCGTCAAATGTTATACACTAGAACCTGGTTGAGCCTTCAGTCTGTATCCGTCAAACGTTATACACTAGTACCTGGTTGTAACGCAATCTTGCCTGAGTCTTTCCCGGCAGGCGGAGCTGCGCGTGGGAGACCAAGAGATCCTGTGCACGTTGAAGGCTTGGGAGTTTGGCTTGGGAAGCGCTGTGGCTCCGGGATGCTCAACCGTTCAAGGAACCATCCAGGAGGTCAGACACCCCCTTCCCCCCCCCTCTCCCACGCCCCGCCGTCTTCGGCTAATCCGCTACCTTCCCCCTGCAACCCCCGCCCCACTCCACTGCGACCCTCCAAAGAGGAAGTGGCGACCTCGCCGCTGCCGCGGGACACCGACAAGGGCGGGTCGCGTAGCGTGAAACATCGTGAAACTTTGCAAGCTTTGCAGTACTTTGCAGTCCTCCTGGCGGCCTCTGCCCTCCTGAGACACGAGGAAGTATGGGCCACAGGCCGATCGCACAATGGCGGAGACGTAGCACGCCGGCTTCAAGGTCGATGCCGGAATCTGCACCTGCAAGAACACGGGTGCCACATGTGTTTTTCCTCCGAGCCGTGTACTTTAGTTTCACCTCAAGCTGTGCGCCTCCACCTTGTCATTCACCTTCACCCGCATTTGCTGCTCCTCCGCCTTGTCGCCGACCTTCGGCTTGCAAGGGAGCCTGACCTGGACAGAACAACAGCATGGAGCAGAGATGCTGTGCCAAGTACAAGATGCAGCAACACGGGCAGCTCATATGGCAGCTTCGCATGTCATTTGAATGTCCCTGGCCTGTGTCGCCTTTACCTCGAGCGGGCGGCCCTGCCATTGCCTCGGCGCTTCTTATAACCCGCGGTAGATATTGAAGAGCGGGCCTTCATCATCCTGCATCATTCCAACTTTTATTAACTGTTACCTGCAACAAGCTCAGCTCCCCGCACAAGCACAGATCCTGGCGAAGACAGCCCACGGAAGGTAGTGATGAACCATTTGTCGGCCGAGTCGACCAAGGCTATCTCCACCAAAGCCCCAACGAAGTCCGACACGAGCTGGGTCGGGGGCAACAGTGGCAAAGGTCTGCAATGTACGTCACTCATAGCATCACAAATCCACAGCGGCATCAGGCCTGGGCATCCCCATCCGACGAGTGATTACTCATGTTTACTCATGCTCAAGTGAGCGCCCGCTTGGCTGCACTGGCTGCATGGCTTGAGGATCTTGAGGGACGCCTGAGGTGAATTGAGGTCAAGCTAGGCGCCGGCTAAGTGTTCACTCCGCATTGCCACGATGCTAGCTTGGATATCTTGGAGTAGCGTTCCAGATCGCAGCGTGCTCGGTACCACATCCGGCCTTACTCAGATGATAAAAATACTGACCGCTTCCGTGTTGCCTCGTTGTGGCTCTTTCCATCCTTGATCACTCCGCTGCGTCAAAGCAGTGATGATGCCTGCTTGTGTGCCATCATTTAAGGTTCGTCTGCTCCGTCGTTGACAGCCGGGCCGACTTTGACATTTACAGGTTGAGCACTAGATCCGGCTGGCAACCTGGATCAAACTGGCAATGGTTGCCAATGGTTGCCACAAGAAAGTCACTCTCTTCCACCTGTGCCCCACAGGTGATTCCAGAATGCCCCGTTGAGAAAAGTCAAAAAGAACCTTCCTTGTGCAGTTCGACATTAGACACTGGCCATCGACGATTTTGAGTTGCGAATGGAGGTATTACCTAGGTGAGACATGCCGAGACATACGTTTCGCAAGTATCTGTTGGGCCAGACCTTTTCACACACCTTGACCATCCAAATTGGCAGAAATTGGGAGGGTAGCTTTCCGGTGCACCACCTCTATGTGTCGCTGGTAGCCCTATTGGTATTCCTCATGATCAGGCTTTCGTCATCTTGCCTGTCCTGCCGTCCAAAACTATACAATATTTGTTGCAGCATAGTCGTTGCTCTGCAGGACAGATAAAAACCTTCTCGAAAGAGTGTCGCCTTCAATCGGAAGCGAATGGCAGCGGCACTTATACAAATGTCAGCTATGTTCAGCTGCTTTCTTGTAACTCGCAGTCGACACAGCACTTGTCTGATCGGGGCAAACCTTATGCTTGTGACTCATGACTCATGACCACAGAGATCGTTTTGGCTCAATGGTGAGAATGAGCAAGCTCACAAAAGAGCACTTCCCCTGCAAGAGGAGTTTATGTGACAAGCACGTCTCGTTGGTGCTACATGGCCGAGATGTGAACGCGAATGTCATGGGATTTTAACTCAAGCGAGCACGCAGGCAACGTCGATTGTGACGACATCGCTGCTCGAGTCTTCTCGAAAGATTTCGAAACACAAGTACTGGATGGTAGTGACATGTAGTGACAATTGGTGCCCAGTGGATGCTCAGCAATGTCCCAGCAACATCTAACATCACCTTTTGGTGAGTCAAGCTGTGAGACATACCGAGACCTACAACTGTTTAAACATTGGAGGCGCGAGCTGCAAGAGTTGGGGTGCAACTTGGAAGGTACTCCCTGAGCACCCTGAGATCTGAACCATCAAGAATATCACTTCCGGTACTTCAGATTCGGGTGACTGCTCGGTCCTCATGTGTGCGTCAGACACCGCTCTCCAGTATTCAGTTCGATGACTGCTGAAAGAGCCTGCAGAAGGCAGGAGACTCGAATCACGCTAGAATTCTCGTGTAGCTTCCAACGTGTAAAGACATGGCCTCGCTGATTGTCTGCAACGTGTCTGTTGTTGACCCATCCGAGTTTCTCATCAGAAGCGCGCCCTCCTTTCGGCATTTGGCACAGGCTGCGACGGTGCTTCTAAAAGCTTCGCATGGTAGAGGGATGTAGAGGGTAAACCACGCCACGATGCAGCGCAAAGCTCAGACCAATAACATGACCCTCTGAGGCCTTCAATGTCATGAAGTTGGCAACCACCTTTTCCTGCATGGGGCATTGAGCAACAGATACACAGAAAGCTGGAGATTGGCTTGAGCTGCCCGAGCTGCCCGCCACCGTCTCCGAGGTGCCATAGTCAAGCTCAAACGATGCATAAGCACCTGGAGGCATCGTTCAGCCGAGCGGACAATCCGACATTTCTTTTGGGAGATTCGGTTGTGCAAGGCACGAATTCCTCAAAGGAAACTTAGTTCCATCCTTCTAACGGGCTTTCCATGGCTTTCCTCTTTTTTTTCAGGCTGGGACCTACAGTACTTTTGCAGTCAACATGCACCGGGCCAGGCCTGAATCCAGATGCATCTGCGTCTTCTGAACGAAATTGATCTTGTCCATGTGCACAAGCTCGAGTTGCGCAGCTGGCCGAGGCTCAGAAAGGCTCACAGGTCACACTACTCTCAATTCAGGCTGGAGACACCTTCCGAGACCTTTACGCCGCATGCCCTCTCCACTCTCCGCCTCTCCATCCTATCTTTCCTCTTCCCGAAGTTCTGCGATGTGACCTAGCTGGTAGCAGGTCTGAGACGCAAGCCACTGAAGCCAATGCCTTTGTGACATTCGGCGGTTGCCTGCATAAAGCTCAGATGTCACATCGAAATGGTGGAATTGGGCGTTGTCGCGCAACTAAGTAAACTAAGGAGACCTTTCCATTGCTGCAGCTTTGCCTTCACGGTGAAGTGCAGGGTTTGGTCGCAGCACATGTAGCCATTCATCCACTCCTGCTGAGGAAGCACAGGCTGATCTCACGAGAGGAGGGGGCCGGCTTTGGACGTTTCGTCTTCTTTTACCAATTGCTTTCACTGCTTTCTGTGGCTTTTGAGTTTCAGCTTGGGGGGTGGGGTCTATTCGCGTCGGGTCGGGTTCGGTGGGGTGGGTGGGGACAACAACACCTGGCGTGTGTTGACGTCAATGCCGCAAACGCACCCACGCTCGAACCATGATCATGCCCATGTTGCCACACCAACAAACGCATTCATGCCGGAAGAACGGTGGGGACGTCCATGCTGCGAGCCCACGGGACGATGACAAGGTCCACGCGAGCGCCGGATATCGCTTGATTTCATGCTCAAGTCGTCACGCATGCGTCAAAACATTGGCACTGTAAAGAAAGCAACAAGCCTGTAAGCAACAACTGTTTCCTCATGCTGTTGGCCTGCTGACACTTTGTCGTGCTTTGCCGATTGCTCGATCGGACAAGTTGCCAGCTGAGCAGTACACGGAAATGCCGGAAACGCTTGGAAACGCCTTATTGTTGACAAGGACTTTGAAGTAGAGGTGCAGGTCGCTGAACATTGCCGTCAACGTCAAAGACCACCGCCTCGTCGGCGCTCCCTCTCCCTCCCTCCCTCCCTCCCTCCTTGCCTCTCTCTCTCGCCTCGTTCCATACTTTCGTGCACAAATTGTGGGAACAAAGCAAACTTCCCTCTGAAGTTCCAGCTGGCTTTGCACAGAAGCTTCAGCTGGCGGCGTCACCTCAGTCTAAGATCTTGCATGGTTCCCACGAACTCAGACCCAACTTCCAGTCACATGACGTCGGCCGAGCACCACACCAATGCATCTACGAGCTCAAAGGATGTCAGACCCGTAGCCCACAGAACGGAAATATCTGTGTCCTGGCAAATCATGCCGAGAAATGTGAAGGCTAATCGTAGCCAGCGCTACAGTCGTTAAAAGCGCTGTAGCGTGACCAGAGCGATTTAGATTTTTGATCATTGTGAGCACGCTCCAGCATGGCACGTTGACTGCAAGACGCTACCAAACGTGTCCTGAAAAAAAGCATCGCAGTGAGGCAGAAGTATAAGTTACAAGCATCAATTCAGCATGCTGTTTGTATTGCTAAATTGCATTAGGGGCACGTGCTGGCGTTCTGCCAACAGTCAGCTGCCGGCCATTGCATTTCCCAATGTTCACCGCGTTGACTTGGCCAGCACCCGTCGTCGGGCTTAAAGCAGCTCTTCAAGTCTTCCTGTCGGGCGTTGTCAGTTGGTGCTCTCTGGTCGCTTGCTTGCTTCGATGTCTTGTATTTGCATTTGGCATACGTGCTGCACGCTCTTTGCCTGCTGATGTTGCCAAGGCTTGAAGCTTGACGGGCTTTGTTTGGGCGTGCTTGCGCCGTGGCAGTCCGTGACATGACATCGATGGCTGAAAACACCGGCCCCTGAGCCTCTAATTCTACCCGGAGTCCCGCAGCTCCGCAGTGTCGTTTTTGCCTTTTGCACCGCCCGGAGCTCCAAGTGCTGCGAGCGCACTCGGGAAGCAGAGTTGTAAAGCTTGCAAGCAGCTGGACTGGACCAGGTCTGCAGCACTCGACAACCGAAAATTCCTCTCCCCTCAACCTTAATCCCTCGGAGTTTTCCTCTCACATGCCCTTCGCCCGACAAGGTTGGCTGCTTGAAGTTGTCACACAGTATGTTAGCCAACTTACAGTGCTCTTCTATCGAAGTTGCCATGAACTTGCAGTGAACTTTGCTTGGAACACAAGTTCGACATACCGATAGCTTCAAGAATATTTCGCTGCTGTCGTCGTTGCTTTGTGTGTGTGTTATGGGTAAATGTATATACACATATACATACAGAATCTAATATAGAAATACCTGCAGCTTTCCGTTGAAAATACCCCGCCCCCTCTGCAGCAGACCAAGACACTGAAAGGTGCTTTGTGATCTGGTCTGTCTATTTTTAAAAAGCGTTTCGGACGCGCTCTGCGACATTCCCTCTCCAACTGTGTGACTTAGAGATCGACTTCGGGAGCGGGTGGATGCATAGATATGCGATTATTCACCACAGAAGACGTTGCCTTTCTGTGATGATGTGGGTAGTTCTCTGAACTGGGTTCTTTTTTTGGTGCCCCTATATACTATACAGCATGCCACCCTTAACATAAGGTCCCCGAAAGGGGCCCTAATCTAGAGAACTACCCATATCCTGGAAGGATGGTTCGTAACGCATTACCGGGGCTTCGCTGTCAAACGCGCACTTTTGTTGTTCGGCACGAGCCCGGTCACCTCACTCACTTGAGCGCCCGGGCTCGGAAAAGCTCCCTCCAGGCCCGTCCAGTAGCGCTTTCTTTGTTCGACACATGTGAGACCGAGCAAAAGAAAAAAGACAAGGGGCGCGCCATTTTCTTGTTCGGCACACGGCTGACCGAGCAAAACATAGAACGAACAGAGCTGGCCGAGATTTAAAACACATGCTGCCCAGCAATCAGCACAGATGAGCAGCTACTATGAGCAATCCTGCGAAAGCTGCCATCAGGTCTGGGCCCCTTGCGACTCCTCCCATGTCCGTCTTCATGTGCGCAAGCGGTGCATGCCCCTGGCAGCTCCTGAATGGGGGAACTGAAACCTGGACGCCTTACATCGCCTTACCATGCAGTGGCAGGGATTGCTGCTCCTGTAGACTTCTGACTGCGGACTAGCGAACTTCACCTCTCCCTTGATCGAGCGGTAGCGCCAGAACGCCTCTGCAAAGCTCTGCTGATATCCAAAGTTCAAAGTGACGAACGGGATCCCTTCGAGTGCTGCCTCGCAGTCCCCAGCACTGTCTTTAAGGTTGCTGTGGATGTGCTTGTTCACTTCCTTCAGGCCCGAAGACATCCAAGATTTGGCAGCACGTGCGGAAAAGGCTGCCCTGGCGCACCGGAAGAAATCTGGACAAGGCACCTGCGCATGGAGCGCTGCTTGGGTGTTGAAGCTCGACAGTGGCATGCTGTGACATACTTAAGTCCAGTTGGCCGGTGGTGGCCAAATTTCACAGATTATCGCAGACTCATAGGTTCTATTCACGCAGTAGCAAACTTGGTTCTGCCAAGGAGCTGTTGACATCTTCAGTGGATTGAATGGTCGGGTCTCGTCGTGGGCCATGGCTGCAAGCAGCGGTGAGTGGGCAAGTTCAGCTGAAACACTGGAAGCTGCCAGTCACTCGATCATTGAATGTTGATGCAAACATCAGCGACGAACACGTGCGTTCGAGTCGTGTCGAGCCTGTACAACGTTACGGCCCAGAACGCCATCGTAGCCACTGGTAGGAAACCTACAGGACAAACGTGCAAGTTCGAGGAGGAAGCATGAGGAAGAGGCAGCCTTGGCTGCAGCTTCAGAAACTGCATCATGGGCAATCGCCGTGGCTGCAGCGCCGTCGGTGATCCTTGACCAGCCTTTTACTTATGCTTCAGGAGTTCTGAGTCACGGGCCCCATACCAAGGCCCCGCCGGGCAGTGAAGGAACCATGCCTCTACGGCTCAACACACAAGACTTTGGACTTCTCAGACTTCTGTGCTGGATTGGGGTCTGAGGGCTGAGCTGTGGGTTGGGATGTGCTTTGGCTTCGTCACGGACTTCGCATAGGAGAGCAACCCATACCTAGCAGGATTCTTCTTGCAGAATGGTGCAAGATTTGGACCAACTTCGTCCTTTGTGTGCCGAGGTGACACCTTGTTGCGAACTTGGCTACGACTCCGATTCAGATCACTGCTGAGACAGAGGTCAATGGGACCGAAGTCCTCCAAGTTGTGTTCTGCAAACTGAAGCAGATGTGTCCAACCAGCTCTTGGCTGAATTGTCAGACTTGACTGGTCGTGCAATTTTGCGCGATGCGCGCCATAGTCCGGGAGCCGGCCTTGAGCAGGCTGCCCAAACTTACAGCCAAAATAAGCATTCGGAGTTGCGCTACACTGCTACACCTTGGTGCAATGCACCTCAGCGAACCTGGAGAGCTCCTCAGCTGACGTTGGGGTTTCTTCGAAGGGCCTCTTTCACCACATGTCAAAGCTATTCTGGCTAATGCTGGCTGGTAACTTTAAAAGCATCAGCTGCTGGCTCCCAAACATGCTGCAGCAGCAGTGGCGCATGCACCCCACCTTGCCAATCTTCCGCAAAGAACAGCTGCAGTACCGTAGTTTGCGTCAGCAGTTGCAACAGGCTTGTAGTGTTCCGCCCTCAGCAACAGCAGCAGCAGCAGCAGCAGCAGCAGCAGCAGCAGCAGCACTGGTACCTGTCGCTTCGGGCTTTGTTGGGCCTTGTGCTTCGACCCGGCTCTGAAGAATTTGTGGGGAAACCCTTGCAAGGCCCAGAGTTGTATCCATGGCTTGGACTTGCAAAAGCGTGGGATCTTGGCCCAGACTGACCCTTCCGACTCCAAAAGCCAGCAATGCTGTCCGAGCAGTGTTGGCGGCCTTCTGACCGGGACAAAGCTCTGCAAACTCTTGGGATGAAGTTATATGAGCGGTCATGAGGTGTCAATGGGTTTCATAAGAGCTTCCAGCTTGATCGTTTCCCCGAGGATTTCCATCAAAAGCTGAATAGAAGGCGTGTGAAAAGTCCAAGAGTTCATGCACAGCCCCACCATGTTCTCCTCCACAACATCAGAACTGTACGATGCCATCGGGGCCAGGCTTGGCTGATTACTGCACTGCAAAGGCCTGCAAGGCTCCCTGCAGCATCCCGTTACAGCCCAAACCCCACTGGCTGCAAGGGGGGAGGAGGGCGCCCGCTGTCACCTTACATGGCGTTTCACACCAAATCGTTTCGACAGGCCCTCTAGAATAGCTTAAGCCCACGATATTGTCCAGCAAGACGTATTCTTGATCCTGTACCCAACCTTGCACAGGAATCATGGTAATGCTCGCGCCCTTGTCTCGCCAAACAGAGCCTCGGAAGCCGTCAAACTATAGAGAAGCAGACGTAAGAGTGATGCGCAACGAGTCCGTGCTTCAGAATGATCAGTCCGTGCTTCAGAATGATCACAAAGAAGGTACTTTATCAGGCCGGGTTGCCAAAGTGAACAATCTGCCCGCTCAACAGCTCATCCTCAAGCCGACCCTCTATCGACGATCAACTGGAAAAGCAACTCATGACAACTCCATGCAAGTGTCCTCGCCGTAGACGACGAGAGTTGGACAGACTTTCTCCAGCGAACCGGGCGCATGAACCGGCGAGTGCCGCCAGTCGTCGTGGTGCAGGTCACCGCGGGTCAGCACGGCACACCACTCCACCAAATCCCGAGGCCTCAGACTCAGAAGATTTCTTCTGGCCCCGACCTGTTGTGCAGAATGCTGCAGCAGCCCGCTCTGCCCTACATACGTGCTGGAAGACTCACTTGGCATCCACGCAGGAAGTCTCGTTCCTCGTTGGACATCGTCGCGTTGCGCATCCCATCGTGGCCGAGGTCTGTCCAAGGCGAGATGAGGATGCAGCAAGAAGGCAAAGGCAGCTCCAAGTCCTGCTCAAGAGAAAGCTGGCCGTGATTGCCGCAGCGCCACACCATGTTCCCGCCCCCCTCCCCCCCCGCAAACCTCATAAATCCCAGAAACCCACGCCTGAAGCACCACAGTATATTTAGGCAGCCTGCTTAATGATCAAACTGTGTTCTTTACTTGTCTTTTCTCTCGTGCAGTCCTTTAGCCTGTGCATCATCGCTGCCGCAATGCCACCTCCGGCCGAGTCCCCTGCCAGGATGATGTCCTTGCCAGGCATGGTCACAAGCAGGTGCCGATAGACCGCAATGGCGTCCTGCAGCTGGACGGTTTAGGGATAGACTGCAGAGATGCCGGGCCACTGAAGCTTACCCTGGTCCATGTGTCAATGCAAATTCTTGCTGCAAAGGCATGCAGCACCCCCGTGTGACCTTCCCTGGAATGTCAGGCCAATGGTTCCCCCAAGTCCTGTTTGGCCCAACAACTTTCGTGACTAAGGAATGCGTTGCCCAGACGAAATTGGTAGTGGAAATATATGGCACTCAGAGTGGCCCCCCCCCCCCACCACCACTGTGACAAAATCCATGAAGACGGGGTCATGGGCCTGTTGACTTCCTCGCATGTCAAGCAGTGGGCTTAAGCCTTCCTTCAAGCGCGGTATTTCCCTCAAGTGCTCTTCAATCACACACCACTCTCACACACCAAACATGCAGGGAATAAGGCACGCACTGGATATGTGGTGCAGCGGGGTTCCCCGTTTCAAGGGTTTGCAAAGGGTTGCAGGTTTTAGGGTTTTGCTTTTCTGGGATTTAGGGCTTGGGGTTTAGGGTCTAGGGTTTGTGTGAGGGTTTTGGGTTTAGGGGAGGATGCCATGGCTGGACGAGGGGGGGGGGGTACTGACACGCGGCACCATATAATATGGGATGCAGAGTAGTGAGTACTCGGCCACCCCCTTGGAGCACCCGACCTGTGATGGACATATTGTTTGTGTCTACAAATTGGCCTTCTTAATTGTCCCTCCCCAGTGCGTTAAGGACGGTTCTCAGTCACAAATTGGCACGCATGTTGACCTCTAGAGCTTTCTCCAAGAGGGGTCAGGAAATGTCAGGAAGGTGTCCTCCATGGGTCCTGGGATGGGATGCTCGGGCGGCCGTCTGTAATCGGGTACACAAACCGCCGCCTGTGCAGGGGAGCTGGATGGAGCTGGTAAGGGTCAATGAGCTTGCCGTGGGCAGCTGCTGCACCGACCAGCAAACATGCTACTTTGGAGGGGTTCTTGCAAAGTCTACGAGCCTGCAAGGCGGCCGCGACGTTGAATGTGATGCCCCGCAAGGATTTGGGAGTGCACAACAGGTAGGCGCCACCATGTAAGTAGAGCACAATGCGCTGGAAATCTCGTGGACATTGGTCACTTGCAGCCATACAGCCAGAGCCAGGCAGCCACGAAAATGGAGTAACCTTCTCGGGCTTCTCGGGCTGCCGAGCTTCACGGGCTGCAGCTTTGGGAAGGAGCCACTCCACTTCCAGGGAGACCTCAAGAGCTGCATCGCTCCACTGTGACACTGTGACACTATGACACCGTGTACGACGCTGTGAACGATGGAATCTGCGCCCTGTCAGCAGGCCCGGGTAAAACCATAAAAGATTTGAGGCTTCACTCCAGGTGAGACCGGCCTCTGAAAGAGTGTCGCCAGTTCGAGATGACAGTCTGAGCACATCGGTTACCACACTCACATCCTGCCAGGGACTCAGTATACCGTCCGCATATGCTGTCAGGACATATGAAGATTAGGCTTGCCTAAACTGGTACTCAGGGACTTTGGGCCTGTCGGAGCATGACCTTCGGAACCGGCTGATCACATATCAGCCGAAGGGTCTTCAGCGATCGAGGAGTCAAATCCGCGCTTTGTCGCAGAAGCTTTACCATTAACCTCTCGGGTCAGGAGTCAGAAGGTTCACCTCCGTGGTGACTGGTAGTGACTTGACATAGTATCCGAGAAACTGGCTGCACTAGGCCGAGCCTGTGACGGACACCGCTGAAGCAGCCGGTTTTGCAAGATTTGCTCTGCAAGAAGGATGAGAGAATCGAATCCGTGCCGCAGAGGAGATCCCGCCATGGCATGGCTCCCCAAAGTATTCCAATGCACCGAGGGGTTGAAATTGCCCTACACTGGCTGCTGCAGAAACGCAGGACTCTCAAGCTGACTGGCCGGGTTCTCTTTACAGATCGCTTGGGGGTCCCAATTTGCGGATAGACGTGCAAACTTCATGATTTGCTGATCGGGCTCGACAGCTCTGAACATGCGAGTTTGGCAGGTTTGTATGCTCAGCACTCTTCGGTCCAGGCTATCACTTCAGGGCAGCATGATGCAGCAATGTGCTTGCATTCACTTGCATTTCGCTGTGGTCTCAGCATCTCCAAGGAGTCCATAAGATGCTGGGGCGGTGACATTCCCACACCTTGCAAGGAAGGAGCAGCAAACGATTAGCAGCCCCCCAAAACCAGCACACGGAGGGACAGCTGTTTTTTTGGGGACAGTGACAGGGGAAGGAAGACCTCGCGTACCACCCCCCCCCCCCCCCGGCCCGCCTGCCCAACCTTGCCATTGTCTTGTTTTCCGAAGCCATACCGTGAATCGACTGTACGTCAACTTCAAGACACGGCGTTGGCGCAGCAAAAAGGAGGCTTACCCTCTGCAGACGCTTTAGAACTGTCTTTGCAAACCTGCATTATAGATGAGATTATCTTGTACCGGGGTTTCTTCATAAGATATTCTGCCAAGCGTCTCTTCCCACACAAACTTCTTTGCATGGTGTATCCAAGTTTGCCGGGGCTTCCCAACTCGCTTTTTGCCATACTCGATTCTAGTGGCACTGCTGGGCATAAACGATACCTGTCTTAAAGGATCTGAATCTGTACTACGAAGTATATGACCTAAAAGCTTAGCCCGTCGTAAATTATGGAACTCACTAAATAGTAGTATCTTTCGTTGGTCGTGTCTTGTTGGTAACACTTATTTCCCACAGTCAGAAACCAGACAAGTCACATACTAACATCGTTGGTGCGCAACCTTCAAGTGAGATTTCTCCGGCGAATTTTGTCACATATGTCTCGCAGCCGTATTCGTGCCTGGACTTACCATTGGCATCTCATCATTTCCTTGTCGTTGCGGAGCTCACTTGTCAAGTCCCTATAGAAGAAATCCGCGTACTTATGCCAGAAATGAACCTTGAATTCTGCGACATGACATACAGTTGAGCAACAAATTTTGCGGCTCTAGTTGAGGATTCGCTTCACCCCCAATAACAAAATTCACGCATCTCTTTTATTCAGCGCGGTCCCAAAATCTGTCAAATGGAGGTTCTCCAAAAAACTTGCTTAAGGCCCAGGAATGCCGGATGCTGTGCAGGTTCTGGCCCTGCCAGCTTGGGAAAAACAGGGAACAGGAACACGTGCTTATAGCCACTTCTAAACAGAAACATCTTCACGGCCATGCCCTGCAGAAAAGCCGAGGCGGCGGGCGGTTGCGTTGATGATTTGTTCACTATTAGACTACTCAGGTCGAACTCTGAGGAGCCAGCCCAGGCAGAGAATGGCCACCTAAGCTCAGCGGTGCTCACACTTCTGGCATCTTCTGGCGTTGGTTTCGCATGATTTCGCATGTTTTCGCCGAAGCCACGAGCCCAATCGGAGTCTTCGGAAAGTGCGCGCACACCTCAACGACGGCCTGCACAAATCCGGAGATGTCTTCAAGCCGAGCTGATGCAGCGCTCATAGTAGACTCACCGCAATAAGGTGCATGGGTGTTGCCGTGAATCATTGGGGTTGCTTGCGGCTGCATCTTCATAGTCGGCATGGTCGGCCTTGTTTCTTGCGGTCACCATGTAGTACACCTTTGGTGTGGCAGTCCCGTCCAATCCCGGCCCTCTGGACAACCCCGATCCACCGTCTCATGCTCAATCTAACCAAAAAGCATTCTCCTAGTGCTCGCCTAGTACGTACTGTGATCATCTGGGGGTAGAACTCTTGTGGAACGATACAACGAAACACGAGACAGCACTGCATACTTCCATGAACTCGCGAGATCGTTCCACATGTCTGGGTCAATTGCCAGGCACAGAGATGCTGACCAGATGTGGCACAAGACCTGGGGGCTTAACTTGGGAGCCGCATGACTGGTAGGACCGGGTAAGAGTGTCATGAGTCTATAAAGATTCAATGTGACACGACTCTCTTCTGCCGACAGCAACGCCAGCCTAACAATTGAAATTAGTTCAGCTAGCCCAGGACAGCAATGACTGCATCGGAAATGATCGACCTGCTGCAGTGCTGCAGCTTTCCATGTCAGTGCCACAAGTATTGGCGCTTCGACAGAATCAGAATCCCTCGATCGCATCTCATCGACCCCATCAAAACACCGATGCAAGTTGATGAAAAGCCTGGCCGTGGGCCTGAACACTGGAAACAGGTCCCCGGCCCACGGCCGCAGAATCGGCTCCCAGTGGCAGGCAGCGCGTGACACATCACTGGCAGCGAAGCTTCCAAGAAACGGGCGATGCGTTCATTTGCTTAGGTTTGTTATATATATATATATATATACATATATATATATATATGTATGTTTTATTCTTTCTTTTCTTATTTAGATTTCTATTGATATTTATATTTTCATGTTTAGATTGATACTTGCATTATGTTTATACTATATTTCTTTACTTTTATTTGTATTTATGTATTTGTTTATTTAGATGGTGGGCCAACATGCAGGGAAACAGCTTTTCTTCACAAACGCAAACACTTCTCGCCGGGTTCTATCTCATGTTTGGTCATATACGCTCTTCGAGGTGGAAACCCTGTAGGCGCGAAAAGGGACTACTTACGCTGAGTTGGCATACAGACATACAAACATACAGCCTACAAGGGATATGGCCAGCTACAAGCCTTTCTTGAAGGTGGAAAATGTGAGTTGCAAGCCCGAAGCCTTAAAAAGGCGGAACTCACGACATAAAGGATTTGATGAGTGGGAAATTTCTCCCGACGGTGACCTGCCTCTATCTGCCTTGGCCTGGACTCTACCGGCTCCATCTAGGTTCAGCCCGCCCCATCATCAGGCTCGGACATTCCACTTGACAGATGCGATTGCTGCAATCAATGCAGGTGGGCCTGTGCGTGCCATGGTGGAGCATTCGCGTCGCAAATGCAGCTGCCCATATGGCTGGCACAATGACCTGGGCACAGCTGTGCTAATTTAGCTCACCAGGTGGGAAAACGTCGACGACAACGACTTGCCTTAGGTCCCGGGCCATGGTCGTGACCGCAAAGCACATCAAGAATCTGACAGCAGACTATAGTGGCTCAAAACTGATGGAACGATGGCAAGTACGACCTCCCTCTCAGTGGGCCTCCCCCCTGCTCCAAGGATATATATTCTGCGGTACTCTTACATACTCCCTGCGGGATTCTCTGGGGTACTTTGGGCACTCCCGGGAGACTCTGCGGCATTCTTTTCAAGATTCTCTGAGGGGTTTTCAAATGCGCTCCAGAGATACCCTGCTGGATTTGCTTTGGGACTTCTCTGGGGGTGGACACTGCAGGGACATTCTACTTAGCATTCATGGATGAAGATTCCTTGGGTTTGGGCATGTCAGGGATTCTCGCAGGGACCGATGCAAGCACGTAAAAACTCGCGAACTGCAATTACTAGGTTTGCGCCCAAAAAAGCTGCAGCTCTCGCTTGAGCCGTGTCTGTGTCTCCCTCTCTCTGCTCAAACATCTCAAACGCTCTGCTTGTCTCCCTCTCTTCCGAGCCTGCTGACGGAGCCTATGCTCTTCCACAGGTCGATGATCGACGGGGCGAGCCCATGGATCATCACCCCTGCGCAGGCTCCCGCAGCACCCACACAAAGACAGGAAGAGCTGGGAAGTGCAGTCTGCGCTGCAGAGACCTATTGCCAAAGAAGTGCGACCATGATTGCTTGAAGTTCTGAAGGGAACATCCCATGCATAGTCAGCGTATGCAAAACACTCTACAGACAGCCGAAGTCACGTGAAAACCTGGTCCACCGCACATGCCTTGATGTGAGGGCCTCGTTCGTAGGGCCCCATGTTTGAAATCAAGCTCGCCGGTTAAATTGGGCCGCACCTACCCCTGCAAGTACTGCCTCAAGCCCAATTCCCTCTCGTAATGCCAGCCAAAACATACTAAAGAGGATCTGCCCAACATTCAACTGTTTAGGGCGGACAAAGTAATGACGGTCCAACAATAGTTCTCTCACAATCCAGAACCTGCATGAGAAGCTTTCTCGCTTGGAGTCACGCTCGCCTTCCTGAGATTCTGTTCCGGCTGCTCGAGCTCCGCGCACGACAAAGCTGTTGCATCGTTGAGACTCGGAGCGTCTCGAGCTAGAGTGCAATTAATTTGAGCCGCTGGCTCACTGCACTTGGAACATCAGGAAGTGTAAAGTGCTCTACTCACATGGCTTCCTGGTATCGCTTTCTTCGTCCGTCCTTGCCAAGGGCTTGCATGATGAGCTTCCGTGCCTCAGTCAATGGCCATTCGTGGTCCAGTGGTTCGGGACACGGTCAGCACAGTGCCTTCCAGTGCCTCACAAGCCTCAAGCCAATAGGTCAGCAATTAACGACACACACACACACACACACACACACCACAAACACATAAACACACAAACACGCAATAAACCACTTTCAAAAATGGAGCACGCTCCTTGCATCTACATAGTAATATGGTATTAATCTGGTGCCGCCATCTGTACTTCTGCCTTTCAGGCCATTTTCAGCCGGCTAATGCTGCTGTACAGCTGAACAGCAATCGTTTGGCACGCTCCCCCTTGCCGCCCATGTTCCCTCATGATCAAACAAGTGGCCGGTTCTCCGCCGAAGCCCTTCATGCGAGATCCTTCGTCCATGTCCGCGGCATTCACCACCTTCGCATGATTTCACACATCTCCAATCCGACCGCAAACATACTTTCCAAGTCGAAGGTGCTGACAAGTGCCGAGATCTGCACGAAAATGTTCTCTCAAACTGAGCACGTGGCCAGTGGCTGTTCAGAGATGCCCGGCAACAACTTGGAAGTGTGAGGCACCCCTTCGGGGTCGGTGAACCTAAGGTCTGCATCAGGCTGCACTGGATCCGGACATGCAGTCGAAGACGGTTTTGACTTGCAGTGGGTGAGCTGATATACAAGTGGGAGCCTCGTACGATGGCTGCATATTCAGCAGCGGGCTCCAGGGATTGCAGCTTAGGACCACACACATAAAGCTAGTGGCTCGCAGACAAATAATATGGTCGGTTCTTTCATGGGGTGTTCAAACCCGGTATGCTTGAAAGGTAGAGATGTAACCCAAACCGCCCCAAGGAACCAAATTCCCTATGGATCCTGGACACTGCATGTTTTCTATCCTCATTCGCGGTCTAAGATTCAGCTGACCCAAAAAACTCTTCTGGTAGCCAAGCCTACAACCAACTGTATGAAGTGATTGATGGGAGCTTTTTGCACGGTGACGATTGATTAGTAAGGAAACGTACCCCAACAAAATCCCGAACTTATCGTGGACTGGAAGCTTACCGGCCAGGCATGATGAGGATAAGGGGGTAGAACCCTGTACATGCTCAAGGTCCTCAAAACGGGCTTGGAAACGTCAGCGGCTGGAATTGGATTGGAATTAAAGTCAGAATCCGTCAAATCAATCTTGGCAAAGGGGCTGCGCTGAGATACAGTGGGACTCTTCCACATCAGGGAGGCCCTCAATGGGGGAGGTCACCTGTGCGAAAGAAAGGAGAGCAACAACAGGATATAGCAGAAGTGCAACATACATCGCAAGCTCTCTGGGTGCTATTTCCGGCTAGCGGAGACCGAATGCCTGTGGCTTACAGGTTGCTTAGCGGCATGTGTCAAAGCAGGGCACCTCTCGGTTTGCGCCGCCGCCTTGCCAGCCCTCCAAAGCTCCGAAGAGATATCTGCCAGGGCAAAGGCCGGCTGAAGTCAGGGTTTCCGCCGCGAGCTAAGTGAGGTGTTGCAAGCGATGTAAACTGAATAGCGAAACCGACGCCATGTGATATAACAGTGCTCAACAGGAATGCATAAAACAAATTCTTTCATGGACTTCCAATCCCTGTCTCCGCGCCTGTCGCGTACAGTCCTCGGCAAGGCACCGAGCCATTGAATGTGCAACACATGTGTAGTTTCGTCATGAATATTTTTAGCGGATGCCAGAACGCCGTCACTATGTCTGTTTATACCTGCACCAAAACTTCAAATGTGTCTGGGCAACATGCCAGACATTATCAAACTCCCTTTCTGAATGGTCCAGGATTCTGTTTTAGGCCAGCATGACCCGCTTCGAAGGCTGCTTGCGCAAGCTGGACAGCGTGAAACAACGCCTCGTACACAACTGCAAAGTTTAAACACAACGGGCAGGTCCCGACACAGCAGCATACAGGTCTGTCCAAAGGCGAGCAAGCCTTGTCCTGCTTATGCCCGAAGACGAGCTCGTTGCCCCGTCGATTTCGGATCTGCACGTGTTATCAACCATCAAGGTACATCAATGCAATCTTCAGATTCAGAAGCACATACCGTCGCCTTCTCATGCGGCTTCAGCTTGGCCAGAAGCGGCCCTAAGATCCGCAGCAAACGAGGCTCGTCGATGAACGGCAAGAGTACAACGGCCTGAACTCACGAACCGCGGATGTTCTCCCAGTGTTCTGCTACCTCTGAAGGTGAAAGCTGCCTGAGAGCAATAGGTTCAATAGGTTCAGTGCCAGCCTGCCACGTGAAACGCTTGCCATTCAAGTCCAGACCGAAGTCCACAGGATAGAAATCGATCAGCCTCAACACGTCAGGACCCGTGGTGTTGAAACCACTTGCTGTAGTCCCCTAGTGACTCTGGCGGTTCTGCTGAGTCCTCACAAGCCACTGCTCGAACCTGCTGGGTACAGGCATGCGGAGTGTTCCCAGGCGTGTTCCCAGGCCGACCGGACGGAGCACTCACAACTTCACGTGATCCTCAGACCTTCCTCGGATATCCTATTGGACATTTTTACCGGCCCACGCCAGACTCTCCCAGGCTTTCACCCAATGTGCCCATGGCACTTGCTTTCTACTCTAGAGCAGCGCTTTGTGCTCTTGCATCATGCGTGCGCGCGCGCTCAGAGACAGTGCACACTGTACACATTTTTCGGTCCAATTGACGCTGAGAGACGGAGAGAAGGCCTGCTTCATGAGCTCGCGCATTGCCGCTGGGATGCCAGCCTGCCGGAAGCATCCACGGACGATCACATGCCGGCTTTTCACCCCACAACCTTCCCTCCTCCTCAGCACTGACTGGCGGAAGGACACTCATCAGCTGCTGGAAAGGCTGGAAGGGTTGTCCAGTCCTTGGCTCTTGGCTGTCGTGAGTGGCAAGGCTGGGCCATTGTCATTGCGGTTCTTGAGTACTGCTGCCTCTGGGTTGACACATGTTGAACTACATAGTCCAAGAGGCCAGGCCTGTTGCAGGGGCTGTTGTCCATAATTTTATGGGTGTCTTAGCTTATGCAGGTGCATTTCGGGTTTGGTCCACAATCCATACAATCCTTACTAAAGGGGGCTTGTGCCGTGCTTGCGCGAGCCTGCGCGTGCAGTGGGCTCCAAGCGGTTCTCGTGGAGGCGAATCACAGTGACTAACTGAGACAGCGGGTACTTCCATCCTTTGCGACACTCCTTGCACGTGCCTGGTTTTTGACAACTTCTGTTATGCTTGGTTTCAAATGATATAAATCGTAGAACGGTTTTCGCACAACCCTCGTGAAGAAAACGCAACGTAAGCGCGGCGTTTTCCCCAAGCAGTGCGCCAAGACTATGCAATGGGCTTCCAACGTTACTTGTATGGGCAGGCAATTGAAAGAGCTACAGTAACCTGAGTTACATGATCGCGTACCGCGCACGCCGGCCAGCGCGGTGTGCGAGGTGGCTCTCGCTCGAGGTCTGCTTGCAAGTTGGGACAACGTCATCTAGGTCCCGTGCATGTCCGAAGGCGAAATCGCGCTCCCACCTAGATAGCATGCACTTCTTCAGACTTAGGTTCCCCCCGTGCCGCGAAAAGAAAGATGGCCCTACTTGTTCATGCCATTTTACCACACTTGAACCATTAAGTTGTCGAAGGCGACCATGTGACATGACTCCACCAAGTAAACGCAGCCCAGTAGGGTTTGCAAATACGACGTCGGTCCGCAAAACCCTACTAGCTCGCGTTGTTTCCCCGTAGGAGGACAATACCTCCAAACGTACTTTGAAGGGATCCCCACTGCTTCTACGGAAGGACAACAGCAGCTAACGAGTTGGAAATGTAGCTGCTGCGACACACACACACACAAACATTACTGTCTGCCAGGTGGCTGGAAGTAAGTCAACTCTCCACATTTGAGGTTGCCGCAGCCAATCAGATCAGAGGCAAACGGCCTCAGGTCGTGCGGTCTTCGAAATCATTGGTTCTGCATGCGCAGGACAGAAATGGCATAGGGCGACATGCTGGAAAGCTAATAAGCTGGGGATACGTTCAGCAGAGTGGTTCTGTCGGTTGCTTCCATTTCAAGCTTCGTTCCAACTGAGCAGCTCGTGTCGACCCTTACCACGCATAGGCCCCACATGCGAAGCCCCAAATTGAGCCAGGCAACGCATAGTGGTAGGGATAGAACCAGGTCCAAGACGGACAGCCCTGCAGCAGCGACAAATTGATACCCTCCACGATCACAAGCAACACCATGATGTGTGTTCAGCAACCCTCCCGCTGCCTGGTAGTAGTAAACCAGAACCCAACACAGGCCCTCGACATATGCTTTGCGAATTCGCTGCAGGAAGTCGACAAGGTCATCCTTCGATGTTCTCATGAACGAATACCGAGCAAGGTTCTGTACGCAGGCCTTAAGGCTCTTGAAGGGTGACAATTGAAACACATGTCGTGCTGCTCCGCTCCTGTTTTACCTTGAACTTTTCGAAATAGTACCGCCTGGGCTTCGAAAGGCAGGCGGGCTTCACTTCAATTGCCGTTGCTTTAGACTGCAAACGGCAAAAGCAAATCAGAATGACCAGCTCTCCTAACAACCGACTATGCCGAACTCAGCTTCCGTCAAACAGATGTTTCAACACGGGGGACGCAGGAGATGGTTCCTTCTACAGTTTGACTGAGACGCTGCTTCCAGTGCGGCCCTTCCCCTAGCCGGACAGTGTCGGGCATGGCCTGGCATCAAGAGAGCGTTAACAAGGGTGCAAAGTTCATCATAGGATGCGCAGATGCCAAGTAGTGCAGGCGCAGGGCCAAACACATACAACATGGACACAGACGACGCGCACACGGACACGGACACCCGCACACACCCGCACACAAGCAGAGCAATAATGAAAAGCTGGATGGGTAGAAAATGGAGGAATGGCATGTTACAGCGCAAACCAACAACAGCAACAAACGAGTCCTGTCCGTTGTGTAACCAACTTATGTGGGTACATGCATAGTTGGCGTGGCTTCATGAGCATAATGTGCAACTGTTGGCCTCATTGCAAAAAAAGTGGCTGAAGTAGTGCGGCATGAACATTGCATTGCGGGTTTCTAGCTCTTGGGGGCTAACTGCATGCGCAACGCTTCTTCATTGCATATGAAAGCACGCATATGCACACGTGCACACACATGTTATATACCACTTCCAAGTGAAAGCCCAGGTGTTCTAAGACCAACCCGTCCGAAGGCCTCTCCCAGATCTTGCCTGTTGTTCAGGCGATCTCGCAGGGCCTGAAGATCTGAAAACTGCCTTTCATGTAGGCCAGCAATAGTAGTAGGTCTTGATGGCACTTGGACTATCACATGTCAAACTTGGTGACATGTGGGTGTGGTACTACTAGAATCTAGCTAGCAGTTGATGCTGAAGCACTACTACTCACTGGTATGCAGAGCGTATGCAATGTGCTGCAACCACGCGGCCATGTGGAACTCACGATCCACTACCTTTCCCGATTTGGCCTGCGGTGTCACAAAAGCTGAAAGCTGTGCACTTTGAGAACGATGCACAGCAACCATTGGCCTAAAGGCACTTAAGTACATCCAAATACCACGTTATCTGCCATCTGTCTGATGGCGGACGGTGGCCTTGTTCTCCTTTGGCTTCGGTGGCTCCAGAGTTGGCTCCTCGCTTGCACACAATGCCCGTGGCTTTATTTGGGAGCCTAGAAAAAGATGATAAAAGAGGATTATAAGAAGGCTTGATCGGGAGCTTGGAACAGAATATCAAAAAGGGTAGAAAAAACTACTGCGCAAAACTTCCCAAGCTCGTGATTTGTGCAGTCACTGCAGTCTCCTGGCGCTGCCGCTTTGCTGGTGGCTCCGGTGTCTCCAAGTTCTCAAAGTCCATGGAGAAGCTCTGGGCCTTTGATCACACTGACTTAAAGTTGGCTTTGAATCCTTTGACTAACAAGCCTGTAGCAGCCTGTATCTCAGCCTATCTTAACTGTGCGGCCGTGGCTGCCAGCAGCTGCGCGTGGAAAGCGCTCGTGTCGGAGGCCTCTTCCTTGGGCAGGAAAGAATCGGCGGTGCTGCCTGCAGCTTGGCAATGGAACTGGAGAAGTTCAAGAGAGCCCATCAAGAAGAATTGATTGGCTGACGCACGCCGCAACGCCCACCTTCACCAGCCAGATCTCCGCCCATTTGGCCACCTTGACCTTGACCTCCTTCAGCGCCGACGTTGCCCTGCACAGGATTTATTTAGAACATTTTAGAACTTTATTTTGAATACTTGTCAACTCTTTGTCTGCTGATTTCTACACAATTCTCGCAGGCTCAGCACCGGCTTCTTGCACCATGTCAGGCATCCTGTGTGCCTCGTCCGCGTGCTCCTTGCTACGCTCCTCCTGCCGTTCGGCTCTCATCTTCGCCTCCCTCTCCAAGCGGTTCTTGAAGACCTCTTGTCACGTCGTAGCGGCACTGTTTCCGAGAGAGGCTTGTCGACACAAATGGGCAAAGATGTTGCACGCTCACAGGCCTGGTCCTCAATGCCGCCTAAATATTCCAGAAACTGCTCAACTTGAGCTAGGTTGGTTCTGCCACAGTCCGTCAAATAGTCGTCTAGGGACGGGAGGATCTCGACCTTGACTTGCACAAGCTGCACTGGGCAGAACGACAGAGGAATGCAAAGGCTGTCATGTCATGTCAGAACTGGCCTAGGATGGCCCACGGTGAGTAAAGACAATCGGACAAACAGAAACATTGTGAATTGGTTAAACGTGGCAAGAAGCATACAGAGCCATCATTTGGTCGATGCTGCCGTCTCTAATGCTCAAAGACGGGAGATGCGGCAAGAAGTCGTTGCCGACAAAGAAGCACATGAACACCTGAGAAGTTAGAAGCCGCAATAGGGCTCAAGCGGCTCAAGCCACCGCGTGCAAGTGGCTTGGCAGCCAGGAGTCATCTGAATCTGAACCGGCGCAGCAACTGACTGGAGCGGAAAGACCGCTGAAACCAACTTAAAAGGAGGAGAACTTGATGAGACTTTGACAACATCCTACCACATTGCTCATCGCGGATCTGTGCAATGGTCGTAGTTGTCATGCACTTTTAAAGAATTGTCTGAAGAAATTGTTTTTTTGGTTTTGTTTAAACGCTGCAACGCGTTTAGGTACATTAAGACTGGCAAGATGGCACACAGCAATTTCACAAATGATTCAGTTAAATTTTAAACGCGCCGCACGGCAAACACAATAAAAAGACGCCGAGCTTTTTCATGTTGTTTTGGAGGCATTTGACTTTTTGAACGGAGTCATTTAATTTTAATGGACTTAGTTGCAAAAAGCTTGCAAGACTGATCTTGTTTTCAGCTCATGAAGGAATGCTCTTGCTGAATCCCTGTCTTCAATCTTCTCTCTCCCCCCGACCACCCCCCACCTCAAAAAATGTGTGAAAAAGTATGTGAGCAGAAACATCACTAATAAGGTAGGCAAGCACAAATCTATTGCCCATCTTCGGAGTTGGTGAATTGTTTCAGGGCAACTTGATGCAACTTTTGCCAGTTTTTCGGAGTCGAGAGCTGTTGGGAGGCGACTCAGTGCCAGACGAAGTCATCAACGCACCTGCTGAGTGAGCGAAACACCAAGCAGCAACAGGCAACCACATGATTGGCATGGTCTTCCCCTGTGCCTCTCGAAGTCGTAAAGCAAAGTTTCCGGCATCCTGTCCACAAGCTCAGCGAACTGGAGCTGGAGATACTGGCCTGCAGCATCTTGTCTGAAGTTCTTTCCGGACGTCTCGAGCACAGCGCAGTCAGGCTAAGATCCGGACGCAGCACAGGCAGTGACACGATCTGGAACGGCTTCCTGAGGGCATCCACTCTAGGTACGGCATCTTAAGCTCTCATTTAGGCATAGCTTGGCTGAGTAGCTGTATAGCAATGCTGTCGTCCGCGTCGTCCCCCTCACCCGTGCACTCTGAAGCCACATGGCCGGTTCCTGAGGTGAAAATGTAGCCGCAGCCGTGCAAGAATGACAGCTGACGACACTGGCCTCCACAAAGGGTGCACTTCTTCTCCGACTTCGGAATCACTACTTCTCGGATGATGGAGAAGTGTGCCTGGAGAAAGCAGAATGACAGGCACTGCCCACGGCGGCGGAGATGCAGCATGTGTGATGTGCTCGGAATGGGCAACATGTTGCTCATCCAGCATTGACTGCCAACCGTTATGGCTGGCGGTTCTCGAGTGACACTTATCTTAGCTCAGCACCAAGGCACCTCGTGGGTAGCAAGTCCAAGCATGATGAGATCTGCGTCGGCACCATACAAACAATGCCTGTCACAAATGTCGCCCCCAACGGTGGACACACGATGACACACGGGAAAGACATGGGAAGACTGCGTCTCATGGTCCATCGACGTCCATCGACGTCCACCGACCCTTGGCCTGGTGTTCGGATCGTAGTCTGGTTGCGCACGTTGCAGTCGAATGTACTGCATGATCTTGTGCTCACCTTCACCTACAGTGTCATTGATGTCATTGTCCCCTTCGTGCCCTATAATTACACACATGCGAAGGCCGCTCAATGCAAACCACTGCCTTGAATTCAGAGTCTGAAATTCGGATGCACCATCCCAAGACCAAACCAGCTCCAAGTGCTGTTGTAGAACAAACAGAACCGCCCAGGTCTACTTAATTAATCACCCGGCTTGGCATCTGTTAGATTGAAGTCGTTGAGTCAACACCTGCACTTCCTGAAGATCGCCCTCCACAGGACATTCAGTACTTCGAGACCTCTAGATTTGGACAAGGCCTGACAATGCAGCTAGCCCTGCAGGGTCAATTGCGCTCACCGCTTTGGACATGCCCTTCGACGAATACATCCGAAGAATACAGGCGTCCGTGATCTGATCTCAACGCCGTGCCGAGCAAAGCAGCAAGCTCTGAAGCGGAGGCAAAGTGAACCTGTCCAAGTCTTGTTTTGCAGCTGAGTTGCTGGGCACGTTCGCCTGACAAGCTTCAAGCACAACGTGCCCGGGCATTCCCAGAAAATTGCCACCAGCTAAACACAAGATCGCTGCAGCTCAGGCGCATCGGAGAGTATCACGCGAAACTTGAGCTTCTGCCACAGCGGGTCGTTTGTGGTACCTGGCAATTGCCCACTTCGGGCTTGTACTTAATCTACCTGCTATCTGTAGCTGCTTCCGGCACTGTGTGCCATCCAAGATATCGAAGCACCCTACAAGCTGCTGTGGGGCTGAGAGGTGCTCTTATGCTGAGAGTGGTTGAGACATGCCGGGTCTGCGGTCGTGAATGTAGTATCGGATGGCCTCGCAGCACTACACGCGAGGATCTCACGGAAACCTGGTTTCGAGGGTTTCGAGCTCTGCTGATGCCTCTGACATCTTGTGCAGGAAGTTCGTTCCAGGCGTGATCACCTTGGATCGCTGCCAGAGGCTTGAAACATCTTCGAGTAAGCCATTGCGGCACCGACCCTCAGAAGAATTACATTGCATTGCAGCGCTAAACCAAGGGCCAGGCATTGGAATCGAAAACTTTGCCCGCAGTTCTGTTGGGCAGTGTTCGCCCCTCTGCCTGACACATCTGAAGGAATCTGAGCGGAGCGGTGATGGCGCATAATAGCTCGAGCTGAGTTGACTTCGAGCGGCGAGGAGAGAGAGAGAGAGGGAGAGAGAGAGAGAGAGACAAGATGTGAAAAGCAAGAACAACAACACTCACTTATACAGACACTGCTTCCACTTCCGCAATGGCCGCCTCCCAGTCTTGCCGAAGCCTTTCTTGCTCCCGCTCCATCTCCTCCCTCTCCTCCGGACAGAAATTCAGGGAAGGCTGCTGTGGGGCACTCCATTAGGCACACGCGCCCAAATCAAAGTTGGGTGTGTGCCAAACCCAGGCTGTCGCCAGCTTCCACCCACCCGATACTTTGTAATGCCCATCTTCTTAAAATCCTCTGTAGGCTCGTGACAAGAGATGGCCTAGACAGCAACAAGCAGGTCTGTCGCAACAATGTTGCAATGGTAAATACCCTCTGCAACGTTGTATGTAGAGGGACGTGTTAGAAGCGAAAAGTATTGGCACATGGCCATGTAGCATCAAGAAGCCGCTGGTGCAGCATTACCGCTTCCTTCTCCAATGTTGTTTTGAAGCTCAGCCGTCAGATCCAGAAAGTTCGGTCTCAGTACCTAATGGCCTTCGAGTACAATTTAATTTGGAGCTCCCGGTATTGAATTTGTAGCTCCCGGTACACTGCCCTGTTACGCCCTTAGCATCAGTAGCTCGTGCACAGCAGTGGAACATTGCTGGCAAAAAGGTCGGGAGACTTGGCAAGAGAGATGTTATGGCCTGTGCAGCCCGGAACCGACGAGCTCGCTGCTGGTTCATTTTGGCACCTTGCAAGGCTGTTTTGGCTCTGACTGGAACAGACACTTCCTGTTGCAGCTTCGCATTGTTGCCATTGTCACATTGCGCCGTGACTAGCATTAGAGCTGAGCCCTCTCACGGGGCGCCACACCATCAATGGCCATGTACACGAGCCGTTTTGGCCTGTGAGGGGATCTTCAATCATGTTGTATAAGGGTCAAAGTGTGCACTCAGGATGCAGAGTTCTTGAACTCCACGTACACATCAGTATGTTGCAGCATGCCTGACGATGCGAAAAAGGCGATCGAGGTACAGGAAGATGTTCTCGTACCTCGCAGATGTTGTCTAGATATGTCGCATCCAACACCGGGCATGTGGCGTGTAAAAGTGTGACTGGGCTAGTATTCTTGCAGACTGGCAGCATATGTTCCTCATCTTCTGGTGCCGGCCCATCTTCGGGATGACAGCAAGGATGGATAATTCCTGCAAAAATAATGCAGCAAAATAGTTACAAGGGATCGCGACAAAGATGTCAGTACTTCTTGCTTGCTGTACGTGCAAGGTTCTCAGTTCTCTGAAAGCAAGAAATTGCAGCCAAGGCACCGTTCATGTCGAGATAGAGGTTGTCGAAGTCACCATTCGGAGCCTGGGGCAAGTACCGCGTCCTCCTACTCAGCACAGCTGGTCAGATTTGGCGAGTTCGCCGATTTGAGCACACAACGCAATCCCAACAGCGAGTTATAGACTGAGTGCTGCACATCCTCATCTAGATCCACAGGCACCATTCGGCCATCCATCTCGACCGGTTCTCTTTCGATGGTGTCGCGGATGACCTTGGGATACCTGACACAAATCCATCCTCGGCTGCACCGCTTCAGAACAAGACACTAAAGATGATGACAGCATTCTCATGTGGTGGAAGAATGCATCAGCGAAAAGACGTGAGAGATGCCGGTGCAAGAGGGCCCCTTTGCTGAAGACACAGCTGGGGAACAGGAGCTACAGCTTACAGAGTTTGAATCTCCCAAGCAGGGAGTGAACTTTTTCGTGATGGATCGCTGTCTACTTAGTCTACTAACTTAGCCTCCTGCGGATGAGCGGCTGAAGAAGGTCGGAACACCCATGGCTTCCAATCCAATTTGCTAAAGAAAAAGAGGCTACCCGCAACTACACTGCTCCGCGTGAAAGTTCAGTACAGTATGTCGTGTTCCCCAGTGAGGGGTGCGTTAGCAACTGAAGTGTATTCTATTGAAGTACGCGTATCCTGGTTCCCTTTGAAAGAGCACACATAGAAACAAACCAGTCGTCAGTAAGTCTTCTAAACAAGTGCGGCCCAACTGCTGTCCACTCACGACGAAACCTTAAATAAAACAGTGCTTCTTGTAAACCTCTGCCCTTCCATGAGATTTACTTCGGCTGCGGGCGGAGAGCTGTGCTGGAACATGAACATCACGAGCCAACAACGTGTATACAATTGTCTCAACTGGAAAACCTTTGTGGTGCGAGTTCCAATGCCGGCAATGCTTTGTTGGGCTTCGCGCCTGAAACCCGGTAGTTTATGTGCAGGTAGGTCTGCGTCAGCGCCAAGTAGGTCAAAGCGATCTCAGATGTTGAGCGCATGTATTCGGGCTACACTCGAGCTGCACCGACAGCAGCCATGCATCGCAAGACTTCTGCCTGTGCATCGGGTCAATATGATATGCCATGCTGGGCGTGGCACCATCATGCTCGCACCAACAATGCATGCGGCGACCTTGCAGAAGTCTGAGACAGAGCTTGGGTGTCAGCATGTCGCTTGGTATCTTAGTCACAGTACGACACATGGCGTAGAACCATCTTAGCATGTTCTCACTATTCTTCGCCAAAGGAAGCAAAGGCACGAAGGCTAGAGATCTACTACTCGTAGCATTTTGACAGAGCGCGCCACAACCATTCATGCCTTTGAAAGGTTGTCACGAAGTGGCGAAAATAGACATCTACAGTTCACAGAATTTTCAACGGCAAGCCACATTTTCAAGGGCAAGCACGCCGAATGCAAATGCCAAGGGATCTAACTACCATACCATGCATGAGCATCACACCCGCTAAACTCCAAATTGACACTGCGTCGCCCTTCCCTTACCTTAAGGTCACTTCTTCAAGCCTCCCTAAACCCCAAACTCCCTAAACCCTTTACGAAGCTCCGGAAGTTGCCCGAAGGGCCTCCAAGGGCTTGGAGGACGCATCTCCGTCAGAGCCCTGCGCTTTCGAAAGCTTTCTGGGGTTCCGTTGAGACGGCCAAACGGAGGTTTTCTTCGCTAGTACAGTTAGTACAGTTGGGTATCTTGTGTGCACTGCTACCCATTGCTACGCACTGCACAGTTTTGTGGGGCGGTGCTCTGAAAAGTGGTGCACGGTGCAAAGTCGGAAAAGACGAAGATGCCGTGATGGACACAGAGAGGAAGAAAGCGAATGTTTTTAGAGAGAAAGAAAACCAAGTTAAATTCATGAGACATCGTGAAGCTGCATTCGGAGTACGTGTCAGTACTCTTGGGAGCCGTGGCCTCTGAGAGTTCGTCTGAGTCCCCATCATCGCCTCGTTCAGTCAATCGGGCCGTATACTCGACTCAATTTTCAGCAGCACACATTGCAACTGTGTGCGCGTCAGCTCAGACCATCATTCTGTGTCAGCGGATCCCAGGTTGTTGGGGCCGTAGCCATTGGAGCTTTGCCTGTACCTAGGGCAAGCGAGACTGCTCTGACAACTGCTGGGTGTCGTATGGTGTCGGAACAATGTCGAGGCCACTTGCTGAGGCCTCGACTTCCCCATCAAAGCTCTTGAGGATTCACCATGATGAACTCCATGAGCCCTGCAAGAATGACACGCGTTCTCGCATAATCTTATACATATTCCGCCCAAACCTCGGGCCGCAGGTGTACGGGGCTGTACAGGAGTAGGAATGACCCCCCTAAAAAAGCAGCCACCTGCATTCGCACGCGCTCCCTGCACATTTTCTTGCCCTCATGAGGAACAAGCTACTTGCGGTAGAAATATTGTAAGGCCTCCAAGACATGCCCCAAACCCCGACCCTTCCGCCCCCCCCCCCCCCCCCCGTTCCGGAGGTACTTGCACTGAAAGATTTCCCGTCCTTCCCGCCAATGCATGCGCGCCTCACGACCCCGCCTTGGGCTACCCTCCAAACAGCTATACTTGGTGACCTTTGCCTCGCTGCTGCCCCGCCTACGAGCCCCGGCCGAGGCGGGTCGCGTAGCGTTAACCATATGAGCTATGAGCGTTGTACGTGTAAACAGAAAACATATACGTATGCTTGGTAAGCGTGAGCGACTTAAACGATGAAACAGATGCAGAAATCATCATGGCGAGCTGTGTCAAGATATCCTGCCAGTCAATGCCAAGTCCCAAGGCACCCGGCGACGCTGCCATTTCCATTCGATGGTGGAGGTGCGATGATGTCTTTATCATCTGCACAAGCCACCGCCTTCCAAGCCCATGTTATGCTCACGATGCCATTTCAAAGTTTAAGATGCTTTAAGGTTCAAAGGGCATTTGTGCCCTCTCCACTCTGGTTCCGTTTCTGCCATGTCATGCAGCAGCGGCCTCACAAGGAAACGACTCATCCTCCTCTGCCGCATACTTGCTTCCATCCTGACAGGCTGACAGGCATCTGGCAGATGTTGTACCACACTGCTCCGCCTGCCGTGGTGCTAGGGACTGGGAAACAAAAGCCGCGCCTCCTCTGCTGGCTGCACCTCAGGAAGTGTCAAGAACTCAGCTGCCTGCAGAGACACTCTGCAGACACTCTGCAGACACTCTGCAGACACTCTGCAGACGCTGTAGAAGAACAGCAACTCAGCAACTCAGGAGCTGGCTGACCATGCCAATAAAATAGTTCCAATGCAGTACCTGTCTGCTTCCCGAGATTGTTCCATCACCTGCTTACGCTTGCTTTCGCTGTCTGACTGCAGAGCACGACATCGCTGGCCAACGTGGGCACGAGATGAAGTACCAGTAGCCATGTGTGAAAAAGCCCTGCACAGCCAAGGACGGCAAGGACATTCAACAAATAGAGGTTAGAAAAACTCGCCCAGAAAAGCTAACTAGAGCATGACCATCTCAAAGACATATCGCAACTCCTGCCAATAGGACCTTGTCGGACCCTGAGTGATGGCCTTGGGAGGCCTGAGGGGTTGTTTCCTTGGACCAGTATCTTATGATTCGACCTTGCTTTTTGCGGGCCATACACTGCTGATCTCGCTTCACGAAGGATACTCTTTCACGTGCATTTCCTTACAGCTGTTTGCCATCTCGTGCACGACGCGGCCGTTCACAGAAACGAAAGACAAGTGCAGAAGGGAACAGACCTTCTTCGCTCTGGGAACCGCGCCCCGAAGAGCGTGTCGCCGGGGCCGGGCATGTTGGCGATGCCTACAATGAGCCTGTTGTCAAGACAGTCGGCTGATTGCATAGACACAGGTGGGCGGCTAAGCTCTGGGCATCATAATGCACGGCTGGGTGAAGCGCATTGGGGCCTTGAGACATTCGACAGACATCGACAGCTAGAGAGCGTTCTGCTCATCAAGCAGAAGGATGCCAAGGGCCCATCCAGGTTCATCACGTAGGCTTGCATAGATACATACAGGTCATCAGGGATGAAGGAAGGCCTTGGGGCGCAAACGATCGGGATGGCGAGGAGGCTTGCTTTTGTTGGCTCTGGTGCCCAATTTGTTCCGTGAGTGTACTACTGGGTTCCAGCAGAGCGCGCACACACGCACGCGAGACGTTAATATCGACGATTCCCCATAGGCTCGGATGCGCTCGTCTAGCTACTACATGCCCGAGACGCTCTCGCCTAGGCCCTAGACATGCGCACCGGAGAGCCAGGAGACCATGGAAATTCCCAGTGATGTCTCTCAGCATGTTGTCGTTGTGGATCACGCTCCGCATGCCCGTGCGGCTACCGGAGTAAACAGATAAATTTTCGCATCGCACCCAGCATCCAATCATGCTCTCGTCTCGGTCCGGCTTAAGTCGCTCCATGTCGCGACGACGCTCTCATCCTGGGCTCTTGGACAGGTTCGGTGCGTGCGTCGGGGGTCGGATGGGGGGACCTGGTTTTGACACGTGCAAGTCACATGAAAGTTCAATCACAACCCATCCATCCGAGACGTTGGTTGGGATTTCTTGGTAACACTCAAGCACAAATACTCATACTCATCCGAATTAGTGTCGTAGAAAGTACGTACGCTGCTTGCTACAATGCTAAAGCATGCCTGCTGCAGGAGCTTCCGCGGAGGTGTGCTTCTGCAAAAATTTCGCCCCCTGGCTCCCGGCCATATGTCCGCATCTAATTATCTTTGATTAAAAGAAGCTGCTCAAATGGTTTGGCTTCGTTGGCGTGGCTCTATTGCAGCGGGGAGGGTGGTGGGGTGCACCCTCGAAAGCAATGCTCGGGCGGTCCTGCTTGAGCCAAGCAGTACACCTCCTCACGGGCAGCACCAAATGCTTCATCCAGGCCCCTGTAATTCCGGAGCTGCTGAAGGTGCGTCGGCGTAGGCGGCCGATGCTGCAAAAAACTGAATTAGCGTGTTTTGGGCAACGTCAATCAAGGTCAAACTGACTGCGAAGCGGCCCCCCTTGTTTGCACCAGCGTTTGTTTGTCCACGACTTGCAGGTTGATACAGGACCATGTGAACTGCCACAGGATCAGTGGACAGGACCGGAGTAGCGACTCCTGCAAGATGCTTCAACTGCTTCAACTCTCAACGGCTAAGCGCGGAACCTGAGGAGAATGAAGAAGAGCAGTAAGAATTGCACAGGCGGAAGCTGACAAAGCCAAGGGCATCACTGCAGTTCAGCTGTGGCTGTGAGCTTGAAACATCTTGCATCTGAGGACGTTCGGCTTCCAAGCTTGGACAGGTGGGGTCAGTACATACTTGTATTTTGCAAGTTTTGTTACAGCTGCAAACGTGCGCAGGGACGCCTGACAGAATAGTTTCTGTTCTGCGTTCTGCAGCGTCGCGCTGCCAGGCTCTAAAGCACAAATCAGCACAATCGACCAGTCCCAAGTCAGTGAATATGTGGCAAGACAAACCACCGAGCCATCGTCAGCCATTAAGCATGCCAGGCACACGATCATGGCATTGTAGCTAACCACGAAAGCGGAGCAAGGTAGCCGACTGGACAGCAAGCAAACTTACATATACCTGGACTAAGGATCTGGCCTTGTGGAGAAGTGCTGCTCATGTTTCAACACCAAACCCAACCGGCCAACTCTGGTTTACACCGGCCTGTCATACAGCCAGTTGATGACATCGATGTACGCATCCCCATCCGCAAACCGATGGCCGTATCCTTCCATGTTTTCTCTGACAGGTACTTGTACAAAACCACAGTTGTGCGGAGATGTACAGTATGATACAGTGTGTCTGCCGTCCGCTCATTGGCCTGGAGTATGGTTCGAGGCAAACCTCGATGCAGGAACAAGCAAGTTCCGGCCCGGCATGTAACCACCCAACGGGTCTGCCTTTCGATCGCCGCTGCATCGTGGAGCCATTTGATGTCCGGCAGGGTGAATTCAGTCTGCGAGGCATTGTAAGAGTGCACTGTCACAGTCCAACAGCTTGCAGGAACCCCGACATGTCTGGGGAGCCTGGATCAATGGTATGTGAGTACCGACGATGATGCAAAACCTGTGCAACTACACATCAACTACACATCATTTCTACGTCTCCGAGGGCACGGATGGATTCTGAGCCCTGGTCACGCAGAAAGGAAGGAGAATCCACTGCCATAAACGGCTTCCCCTGCAAGCGAGCAGAGCCATCCACACGGCATCTGTCCGATTCCCAACCAGACACTTTGCTCTGCCTCTTTTGCTGCTGTGCAATAGGCGCGAACCGATATTCACGGCCCACACATCTTCAAGCTTGAGCGCTGTGTGAAATAGAAGGTGGTGTCGTGCTTTCATTGCCGAACTCTTTCCTTGGACTGTTTCGACATGCGGCTGACGGGCCTGCAAACTCGGTTCCTTTGCAAGCTCGATCCTTCATCCAGGCTGTCGGCCTGGCTAGCAAGAAAACCCTGACAGACAGCAAAGACTCGGAACAAAGTCTCTCGCAACGGTGGGCGGCACCCTAGCATCTCTGGACGAGCTCAGATGGAGCGGGCTGGTCACCTCCGGAACAGGATGCCAGGCCTTGGGGCCTTGGGGCCTTGGGGCCTTGGGGCCTTGGGGCCTTGGGGATGATGCATGCACCCAGAAACAGCGGCACGGAGGGCCTGCTCGCCTGCGGTGCTCCACTCTGGCCAGGAGCTGGTGTACATGTAAAGCTGAAGCCTTGGCAAAACGTGGCGAGCTGCTGCGTGCATCAGGAGGTCTCAGGATCGAAATGCAGCTCGGTGCCGTGCGAAACAAACAGAGTGAACATCCCTGTCATGAAAAACTGGAGGCCCGGAAACCTCGTTTCCGATGCTCCACCGCAAAAGAAAGCAGTTAGGCAATTGCTGAAACATGCCAAACATGTTGTTGATAACGCTCAGGCCGGGACTTGTACACAACAAGAAAGCCATGGACGTCTTCAGGGTCCCACCTGCACTCTCAGCGAGCTAGTTCTGTCCATAGATGAGGGCGCACAGGCGCTGCCACGATTCAGGGCTGCTTGCTGACATCGCAAAGAGAAAGAGGATCAATGCATTGTTGGCAGCGCCAATCCCTTGACAAGACATGCGGGTCCGGGCCACGAGCCTGAAGTCTCGAAACACAAAGTGGCCTTGTACCACCCGCCTCACACAGAGGCAAAGGGACTGAACCAACAATTCGCAGGCCTCCCAGAACCCAAGCACTAGCACTGAGGCCGGCACAGAGAGGTGGCAAAGCCCTGAAACGTGGCTGCCCAAGTGCTGAGAGGCAGCTCAAGGCGCCAGAGATAATCCTGAGAGGTACAGCCAAAAACAAAACAGCACTTCCGATCCTCTCACATCCCTCACTACGAAGAACCGTGCCGCTTCCTTGTAATGAGAACACAGCCAAGCTCTGTGCAGTTCAAGGCTCCCAAGCACATAGCACCGCAATGACTGTCAGGACGGCACCGCCGGTGACATAGCGCTGCACAGGGCAAAGCGTGGCAGCGACGCAGGGCTGCGGTCCCCGTTCTTACCAGGAAAAGTACATGGGAATTGTCTAGGTACTCTTCTTTTTGATAGCCATTCCGTGTCGTTCCTTCCTTACACGCTCAGGGAATGGGCATCTCACTCGCACCCTGTCTCTCTGTCAATCTCATACTCACCCGTTGACACTCACAGCCTTCACAAGGAAACGCCCGGAAGGCTATACATTTTTTGTACAGGCACACATGCTAGATACTTCCCCATGCTTCCTATTGCCAAGCACGGATGGAACTTGCAAAGAACCACCTCCCAACTCGACCTCGCTCATCCGCTCTCCAAACACTCGGCCCCAGACCATGTCATTCCCGGCAGTGCCCGTGGCAAACAACTGGCCAATTTGCACGCTCAATGCTGGATGCAGGATTTGCGTGTGCCGCACTTAAGAGATTCGCCGAGACTATGAGGCCTCAGCGTGTTGAGATCTATGGCACATGGTCAGCTCTCTAACTTGTGGTGAGTTTGTACTTTTATGGGGCAACCCGAGAAAGTGTCGGCTCTGGGAGGCACTGCAAGAAGGACCCTAGAGGGAAATCATAACCTACAGAACTGACGCTGTGTCATAACACATTAACGATTGAACTACGAACCGCAACCCCCGACAAAAGCAGCGTGAATATGTTTGGAAAACGGATCTGCGTCTTGAGCTGGCACCGAAACCCAAAAATCGACCGACGGCAAACGTATGAACTAAATCGAACAAGAGCTTAATGAACAACTAAACCTGCTCATGTTTCCAAAAGCGCCCGAACTTTGATTTTAAGCTATTGCGACGTGATGAACCTTTAGCTGGTGAATGCGAGCAACACATAATTTGCTGACACCTCTTTTTGAAATCCGAGGGTGTGGGGTGAAAGTCGGCTTGTGATTAGGTGCGTATCTTCAATACTCAACACCAAAGGTCCCTCGAAAAGCAAGCTCTTGAACTTGTGCTGATCTCATATCTCCTGTCTGCTCAGGTGTCCATCCTGGTCCGTAGCTGCGACATCGGAATTTCCCACATCACGACCGACGCCCAAACACCTCTGTGGCCCTCAGGCTCAGCCCATGAGCCCTGTCAGTCTCAGATATCAGGTTGGGGGAATGGTTGGGAACTGTATTACTGTCGGTCAATCAGCTGATGCATGCTGATGCAAGCCGGCTCGACTATTCCAGACATTGACGTCGCCATGCCGTAAACAATTGGCAAGGCCTGGACAGGACACATTCACTCACCTGCTCCCGCCCAAACACAGCATGCATGGTCGCCGGTACTCCACGCTGACGTGGCCTTTCTCCTGAAAGGCTGCAGCAGGCGGATCTTCTCCTGCACGGGGCAATCAAACAGGGTGAACAGCTGCAGCCTGGGCCAAGTGCTGAATTCTACACTCCACAACACAACATTGCAAAACTTCATCATTACAAGATCTCTCTCCTTCACCAGAGAGCAGCTAGCTAGCTGCTAGTTAACTGTCCAAACCAACACTGCCCGTGCCAGCCACCACTGCTTACATCTGCTTCCCGGGAGTAGCCTGGAGCCTGGGTTACACTTCACAGCCTGTATTCAAGATTATCGACTCTCCCATAGCTCCTGTGCGGGATCCGCTGGTGCCGTGGCCTGGCTTGTGTCTGCAAAGAAACTGTCTGCCGCTTTTTGACTGCTTTGTACTCATCTGCTGCATTGTGTGAGGGAACTGCGATCGCCAGCGCTTGTACAAGCTGGGTAGTGCCGTACAAAACGCCCAGCCTCATCGTCACTCGGATCTATACACGTGACGAGGCTCGTGCCTGCAGGCGACAGCGATGGCCGACTCTGGACAGCCCCAAACAACTTGGCCGATTAGTAGGGTAGTATTTGGGGCCCCCAAAATCAAGCTTCTTGAAAGTTGTTTGCGAGCTGTTGGTGGCGGGACTGCTTCTACGGCCTCTTCTGGGCTTCTCCTGGGCCTCTTTCATGTAAGCGAAACGCCCCGAATTCAGGTTTTAGGGCTTTGGGTGGTGGCTTTAGGTTTCGGATCTTGGGGTTGTAGCCTGGGAGCCTTCAAGCCTTTATTGACTCCAGAGCCTTCAAAACTTTCAAGTTTTAGAGCTTTTGGCTGCAGCCTCCAAGTTTCGGATCTTATGGGGTTGCGGGGGGAGTCAGGAGCTTCCTTGCCCCCCTGCCCTCCCAGGATTTATGCTAATTGAATTACATAATCAACATATTGGGGGAGCCACCCGCGAGAATTGGAGCCGCCAAAACCATGTCGATAGCGGTCTTTGGGCTTTACAAGGCCACTCAAGGGATTGGTGGGCGCGGGGCTGCCATTTCAACCAAAAGACAAAAACAAAGTCATAGAGTGCCCTGAATGCATGAAACTTTTCATTCTCAGTGCCCCGTGCTTCCAGCTGCGAGCCCAAGCAAGCCGATGCTAGAGAGTCTAGAGACCGTCGTGGGGTCATGCATGATTCTGCCGCACACATGTCCTGAGGGATCTGAAGGGGCCGGATCATCGCGATATTCAAACTCTTCCAGGATGAACCAGGCTCAACACGTTGAGCTACTGCAAATACAGTAATGATGAGCTCACCAGCGCGCCTTCCTCACAGAATAGCAGGAGCGTGCCAAAGGTAAGCCTGGCATCGCAAGCACGGGCACGATGCACACATACATACATACATACATACATACATACATACATACATACATACATACATACATACATACATACAAACATACATACATACATACATACATACATACATACATACATACATACACACACACATACATACATACATACATACATACATACATACATACATACATACATACATACATACATACATACATACATACACATACATGCATAATTACACACATACATACACACGTACATACATACTTACATAAATACATACACGTACCTACAGACGCACACATTCATACATATACATATACATATACATATACATATACATATACATATACATATACATATACATATACATATACATATACATATACATATACATATACATATACATATACATATACATATACATATACATATACATATACAAAAACATATACATATACATAAACAAAAACATATACATATACATATACATATACATATACATATACATATACATATACATACACATACACATACATACACATACATACGCACACATACGCATACATACGCATACATACGCATACATACGCATACATACGCATACATACATACATGCATACATACACACATACAGGTATGTATATGTATATACACCATTTTCAACGTCGTTCACATCTGTGGCAAAGTTTCTCATCTGCGCACCAAGAGCAATCCAACTTGCTGGCCAGACCCTGTCAGCCACACGGACGCATAGATCAGAAACGGGGAGCGATACCCTCCATCACAACCTCCGGGCTTCTTTGCATACAGCTGCAAGCAAGCCCTACCAGTTGCCTTGCAATCGGGCTCAACATGCTCAGCATGCCTGCGATTTGTCCCGGAAGCCCAAGGCTCATGTTGTCATAGGGGCGAGGCCTTAGTGAACGTAGTTAAACTTAAGTGAGCTTCGTGAGCTTCTCCCACATGTGCCGCTGCACTGCCAGCGCTTTGACCTTCTGTCGCCGTGCTGAGAAGCGAGCCCAGCCCACTCAACGACCTTGCAGCAATGCCAAGGGCCAAAGGCTGCCTTCTCCCACATATCCTGCAGAATCTCATTCAGCGAAGAGGCTGTGGAGCCAAACCAAATCCTCAAAGGAAGCATTCCAAGCTCGGGCAACACCGGCTTAACATCGAATTGCCCTGCACCAAGCTACTATGCACAATTGAGGTTGGAAGTGAGCCAATATGAGTCCAAGCGTCAAGGCGCACAGCACATTTTGCAGCAACGGTAAAGGCCGGCCTGACACTGAACACAGGCGTCGGCATGTCGTCTAACGGAGGTTTTCAAGCAAACTAAGCACTCTCAAACCGACGGAGAAAACGGGGGAGGGAGGAGACGAAAGGACTGGCTTTCGAGCTGCACTGTACTCCGAAGTTGGCAGGCGTTAGCACGCGATGTGAGCTTACAAGACCTTGTGAGCAAGATCATGTTGGCAGTTTGACTGTTGTCTGAAAGTCTGACGTCCTGCAGGCAGATCTGTTTACAAGGGTGCATGCTCATCCAGCCTTCTATCAGGTACCGCTCCGTCATCCAACAGACCAGCACGAGACTTTGCTGTGCAATGGCTGCAGCCTCCAGCACAGGATGCCCTTCTGCATTGTGACAGGCAGCCCAAGTATTGATGCAGTCAGAAGTGAATAGGCTATCACGACTTATCACAACTTCAGCTGGCCTTGCCCTCATCGTCTGCGGACACGCCCATAAGCATCGGTATGGAGCTTAGTACCAGGCCTGTCAATGTCAATGTCTGTGTGGGGGGGGCCGAGGGCCTCAAAATTGCCCGTGTTTCCGCCCCAAAACAATTCCTTGTACTCGGCCGCCTATATACAGGAGCAAGGCGCCGAACACCTGAAGCGTCAGCGACGAACTTGGATACATGACTATTTGGAGTTGCACACAATGAAGCGATCCAAAGGATTGCTAGGAATGGCAGATCGAGGTTACACAAGCACCTAAGGAATGACATACTGTGGCAAAGACACGACGGTTAGCAAAAGCACCCCGATCTGGAGAGCAAGGGATATGGGACGAGATCACGTGAGAATGACCAGGCCAAAGGCACCCCAATCACGTTCCAAAGCATCCACTGCTGAACTGGAGATCCAGCATCCTTGGAACTGCTCGAGGCCAACAAGGTCAGAACATGGATGCTGTCTGCTCATTAGGGGCTGCCAATTTCTACTGCCGCAAAAATGACTGAATCGAACAGGCTGGCCTTGTGGAAGTATAGTGGTATATAGTACAATAGTACAATAGTGTAATAGTATATTAGAATAACCCGTACCATACTGACTGAGCACTGAGCACCAGACTGGCAGATGTTGGAAGTGCTCTGACTCTACTTCGCTTGGCCGCGTGCCTGGCTTTGAACGTCCCCTGGTTTCCTTGTCCCACTGAAAAAATGCCACAGGTTGTGGACGTGTCATGCAGATACTCCGTGTAGGTCCCATGTTAAAGAACATACGGTTCAATCCGCCGAGGCCTCGGGCCGGGGGTCCCCACACCCAAACCCATTTTTCACACCCCTTTTTTTTGCCTCAAATCGTTAAGAAACCGGGGTCCGCAAGCGGACGGTTCGCCAGGACCAGAGGCAGTTGAAGCCTCCCGCCCCCGACCCCCCCCCCGACGCCCCTACCCCCCCCCCAACCCCCACCCCCCCCTACCCCCCTTTCCCCAGTGCAGAATATTGGTGAGCGGGTTTTGGAGGCTCAACTGGTGTGAGCACGGCCGGGGAAGCATTACACGAGCCGAAGAGTCTAAGCTTGAACCTGAACCCTAAACCCTAAACCCTAGACCCTAAACCTTAAACCTTAAACCTTAAACCTTAAACCTTAAGCCCGAAGCACTCCCCCTCCCCTTCCCCCCTTCCCCCCCCACCCCCCCTACCCACCCCCTACGATCAATCCAAGCCGAACCTAAACCCCAAAAAACCCTAAACCCCAAAGCGTGAACCTTGAGCCCTAAGCCCCCAATCCTAAACTAACCCTCAACCCTAAACCCCAAACCATAAACCATAAACCCGGAACCCTAAACCCTAAACCCTAAACCCAACCCTTATGGCTTGGGGTCCAGCGACTTGGGCGCTGCGGAATCACCATGCTCACGCGGATGCGCTGGGCCGGGCCGAGGCGGGTCGCGTAGCGTTAAAATTACCAACAGGAATCCAGACCCAACGGCATAGCCTCATTTCGGTCATTTCTGGACAATTCCGCCTTTCCGGTTCTGCTGCCCGGACATGGCAGCTTTTGGTCGGACACCTTTCTTTAGACGATGAATCCCAGCAGCATGGTTCGTCGGAAATATACTTAGGAAAAATGTGTATTTGCTGACAGGAAATCCACGCCAAGACCGACCTGTCGCAGAGGAAATCGTCTCAGACTGCCAGATTTCAGATGGAAGTTAAGGTGAGCAAATCTGGGGGAGGTGAACTAAGCTGGGAATCTGGGAAGTTAAGGTGAGCAAATTGGGAATCTGGGAATCCGGAACTATTAGGACTAACATGGCCAGAGATTAGCTGTGTAAATGAAACGACCCATACGGTTAAGCGATTTTAGCTGCCCTGATTTCTCTTCCAATATGCCCGAACTTTCTGATAGTTCAGAATCAACGTTGACCTCCATGAATTTTCAGCCCGATTCAACAGTGTACAAATTTGCAGGAACTAGTTCCAGTCTATGATATCGGCTTTTCGAGTTACATCTATTGTTTTTCGGGTGTTAACTGACTGAACATAACATAACCCGAATTACAAAATGAAAGCGAAACCCTGATGACATTACTGTTTTTTTGGCGCATCAGTTGTTCCAGTACGTCGTTGTCCTGCATCATCTTCAAGTCTTCCCATCCAGTCAAGCAAAATAAATCGAAAATGTGAATTGACCTCCACGTAGATTAATAAAACTTTCTTCAGAAGCATTTGTATGCGTAGCTTGTGGTGACAAGCTCTGTAATTGACATCTAAGTATGTTCACCAAATCAAATTAAACTTGAGGCATTCTGCCTACTTCATAAAGAAGATAACCTTGTAAAAAAACTCATGCAAGACATGAAAGTCATGTAAAGTGTCGGCAACTTGCTATCTAAACGAACCCCCAATTACGAAAGAGCATCACTTTCGAAATGTCTGTATCTCAAGCTGCGTACGTGATACCCATTTTGTGAGAGTACAGTCCTTTCATCCCAGTTCATGTTATAAACGGCAGCATTTCGAAATTATAAGCCATTTCCTAGTTGCAGATGTAGGAGAGAATGGCTTCGCCACACCTTCCATTTCCCACTTGTTTTTGGCCTGCGCTCCTGCCATTTTCCTCAAGTATGGCTGACATTATGCAAACCAACCCAATCCAATGTTGACAAGAACATTTGCCCCAAAAGAGTACAGTGTTTTAACCTGTTATGCATTTCAGCAATCCCTGTGCACTGAGCAATCTACGTGTAATGATCAGATATCTGACCGAACTACGACAAGCCGTGCCTCGCAGCAGTGCTAGTCCTGTCACGTTGATCTCGTCAGGACTTTGAAGTTCTGGAGGTGTTCCGGGCTACGGCTACGGGGATGCAAGGGACGACGACTTAAGGCTTAGACGGAAGAACTTGGGCTCTCAGATCACGCTACACCACATCTTACAAGGCCCGTCTTTCACCCAGAACCACATTGACATGAAGACTAAGAGTACCCTCAGAGTGAATCTCGGCAGTGTTGCTACCGCCAACAACTCTCCACCCCACGTCCAACAGCAACAAAAGTTTGAATCCTCCTTTGCAATCATGCACTTGGAGGTTGAGGCAAAGCTTTTTGAGGCCCATGTTCGAGCGCGAAACGCCTTTGGTACTGCCTCCTTTTCCTAGGTTACGTATCTTTTTGGGCAACTGTGCTCCTGTGCCTTCTATGTGCTGACGACCCCCCACAGTCCAAATTTTGTCACCTGCATCTATATTGTTTCGGCTTTGTTCCGGCCTTTTCCCCTGTTCAAACCTGCATTGGCCAGGCGACTTCAACTGCCAAATCTACGGTTCAGAGTTTGCTTCTTTCTAGGGCTTTGTATTTTCTGGGCGTTGGGGCTTTTAGGGTGTTTAGGGTTAGGGTTTGGGGTTGCAAGGTCTTAAGGCTTTTCGGGTTTAAAGTGTTTTGGGTTGAGGGCTTTTAGGGCTCTAGAGTTTTAAGGGTTTCTGGCAGAAGTTTCTGGCTTGTAGTGGCTGTGTGCCTAAACCCCGGTTGGCGCGGCCCGCGCCCGCGCCCACCTGTTACAGACCTCTGTAACGCCCGGCTTGTTACAGACTTCTGTCGCGCGCACGTTCGTATCATGAATATTATATTATATTACATATATATATATATCTACATATACATATACATATACATATCCGCCGACCCCAGCGGTAGCAGGGCGGCGTCAGTGAAGACCCCCCACCGCCCTCACCGCCCTCACCCGCTCTCACAGCATGCTGCTCATGACACCTTGAATTGGAGTGTTTTTGCATTGTTTGGCTTCAGTGCATGCCCAAACCCCGCCACCCATCGCCCTCACCCATGACGCCTTGAATTGGACCTTTGACCCCCCCCCACCCCATCCATTCAGGTGGTTTAAAGGGTCCAGTGCCCGACCACCCCCCCCCCCCCCCACACCCCCCCCCACAACCCTCTCACCAGAGCTGGTCAAATGAGTCTTTCCGCCAGCCGCCCCCACCCTCTCCCACTCCCACTCCCTAACCCTCCCACCAACCCTCCCCAGCCCTCATCATTACCCCCTCCCACCATCGTGCACCATCCGACCGCCCCCCCGCTCTCACCGCTCTCATCGCTTCTTCATCTCTATGCCCCCCAGTCCACCCCTGCCTTCCGCCCCCAACTCCCTAATCCGACACCAACCCTCTACCGTCACCCCCCACACCCCCCACCCCCGCCGCCCCCCTTTCCACCCCCACCCACCCCCACCCCCCCCGCCCCCGCCCCCCCCGCCTGCCCGCGCTCCACCCTGCCTTCCGCCCCAATGCGACTGTCTTGGGTCTGGGGTCGGCGGCACTGGCGGTAGCCATTAAATCGGGCAGCGCGAGGTCCCCAAAGGACCGAGCAAATGCGGACCTTTTAGCCCGGGTCGTCCCGGGAATAGCCTTGCTGGCCTCTGGCCTTCTGCGAAGCAGAATTAGGCCGGACGCCAGTGCCGCCGACCCCCGCGTGCCGCCGGTGAACGGTTTTTTTTTCGTGGTTTTTTGCGTCGCCACGGAGGCCCCCAGAGGGCGCGCATCATGAGCATCAGCGGGTCCAGCCCGGGACCCCCAGGCGCGCATCAGGAGCATCAGCGGCTCCCGGGGCGGGACCCCGGGGGCGCATCAGGAGCATGATGCCCCCCAAAGGGCGGGCATAAGCGACGTGTCTAAGCCCGGGGCTAGGAAAAAGGGAGTTTAGGGGCCTTATAAAGTGCTTAGAAACGTTAAGGGAGTCTAGGAGCCTCAAACGCTTAGAGATTTGAAGGGAGTTTAGGGGCCTGAAAATGCTTAGAAACTTAACGCTTAGAGATTTTAAGGGAGTTCAGGGGCCTCAACATGCTTAGAAACTGCTCGCCCCGGGCTTCTGCGTGCGCTGCCCGCCCATGGGCGCAGCCCCTTAAAATACATATACATATACATATACATATACATATACATATACATATACATATACATATACATATACATATACATATACATATACATATACATATACATATACATATACATGCACTAAAAAAGTCTCAGGGCGCATTCGGGTGGGACAATAATGCGTCTATTTGGGGTGCACGTTGCTTACGCAGATGTCGCAATAGACTGTGTTTGGTCTGTCGCGGGTATGTAACGCACTTGTAACGGGGTATGTCGCGCGCCGGGAGGCATGAACACAGATGTTCGGGAATTTCGGGTTTCAGGCTTCGGGGGTGTCTTGCCTAAAGCCTAGAGAGTCCCCCTGTTGAGGACTGAGTAGGGTTGGCCGCGACAAGCAAGACCTGGAACCCTCACAGCTTCTTGAAATCTACGAACACTTACCCCCCGATAAGCAAGACTTGGAACCACTCCACATACTCAGCCTTTAAGAGTTTAAGGGGGTTTCAAATTCAGGGATATATATATATATATATATATATATTTGTTCTTGCTTCTTGAAACTTCGAACACTTACCCCCCGATAAAAGACTTGGAACCTGCAGACAACAACAAACAGGTCTGTCGCAAAACCCCGGCCATTGATACATACCCTCTGTAACGGGGTATGTCGCGTGTGTGGGCCGCGGCCCTGTTACAAGCATTTAATATTGGCACGGGTGGACCCCAAGCCTAAGAACCCTCGAAGCCCTAAGAGCACCAAACCCTTAAAGGTGTATCAAGCCTAAATGCCCTCGACCGTGAAACCCTCAGCCGTCAAAAGTACAGAATGGTGTGCAAAACCCCTAAACCCTAAAGCCTCAAAACCTTGAAGCCCTAAAACCCCGGAGCAATAAGCATCCTCTGCCCAGAAAAGCCCTAGCTGTTAAAGTCGACAGCTTCGCTAGGGTGCTTGAAGCGGACTGTTACGGTGATGTCAAAACTTATTTGCAACTAGCGGTTTCTGTTGCAAGCAAACACAGCTCTGTCTGGGTCCCCACATAATAAACGGGAGTCAGCCGTGGGTAGAGCTTGACTACACTAGACGTCCTGCTGTGGACACCATCACGGAGAAGGCCGACGAGAGCACGACGGCCTGGGACGGCATTTGGCAACAACCTCTTGCTTGGGCAGAGCATGGCACAGCGCACTCGAAGCAAAGAGTCAAAGCAACTGGAATTCACTGGGATGAACCATTTCAAATGGGGCTTCGGCGCCACGCGCCACCTCGGGCAAGCCATGCCTCAGGGCGCCATTGAAAGCCATCGGCAAAACATCTTCGGCAGTCTTCGGATTGATCACTGAATGCAAGTCACAAGCTACAATGTGTCATCGCCTACCTTGCCTACTGCATTCTGCAGTCTGCCCTTGTTACCCCGGGCTGTTACTGCCAGCCAGAACGCACGCAAGCTGCCTTTTTTCCATGCTGCGCTGCAGACATTAATTTGGCAGTCAGGCAGTTCTGAGAATGACATGTATCCCGCGCTCAGATGATACAAGGTCACTCACCTGCCCGACCGCCAGGAGGACGGCGGCCCGAACCACAGCAGCTGGCACCTTCCGGTTTTTGGCCGGATCTCTGTCAAGCCACCCCAAGTCGCCGGCCCTGGGACGTGACATGATGTGAGGTATCTGGAAAACACCGTCAGACTATGCTAATCACCTCGCTCCTAAACCCAGCTGGCGACAATTTCGTAAAATAAACCGCCGTTCCCCCTGGCCCTCTCCCCCGCCCCTCCCGCTGCTTCCCTGTTTTTACTATAATATTGTGGAAGCCTACCCCGTCCCGACGCTATCCTGCGCATCAAGCAGAACTTGTCACGCAGCCAACACCCTCCCCTCCTCACCCCTCCCCCCTCCCCACTCCTCCCCTACTTGTACTGCCCAAGAGGCTCTCGAAGAACAAGGCTGCTGCCCGGCCGAGGCGGGTCGCGTCGCGTTGGAGTTCGATTTCTAGAACAAGGCGAAACATTGTATAGCTTGGGAAGACAAGGCGCAGGTCTCCACTTTTCATGGCTGTGTCGCACTCAGAGATTTCTTTGCACTTTGCAGTGAATGCAGCAGGTCCACCATTGGCGATCTCTGGGAGAATTTGCAGCATTTGCGTCTCAGCATCTCCCAGACTGCGCGTGGGCTTCTTGCGTCTGTCACCGAGCAAAGCCTGGCATCCGACGTAGCGCAGCAAGAGGTGTCTGCAGCGAACCTTGGCGAGGGGTGCATCTGTTCGCTGGCGCTTTGGCTCCTGACCGCGGGAAGCAGACCACGAGAACCGCACTGCAGCTGCGACCAAGGGAGGTTCACCACCAACCTTGCGAGCTTCCTGCAGCAGTGCCACACACCCTGCCCGTGGCCGATCTGCCATGACGTGTGATCGTGCCAGGGCCCGCATTCTGGCCGGAGGCAATCCAGAATTCCTCACACCCTTTACCGTGAGCAAGGCTCCCAGGTGACTGTCCTCCAGCACGGCACAGTGCGTCGTCGCCTCTGCATCATCATTGTCTGGCCCGACCACCTCCAAGTTGTCCACATTTCCATCAGACTGACCCACTTGCCCGAAAATCATGCAAATCGCACCACCCGTTGCGGCCATAGTCAACCGTCCACCAAGCAGAAGTGCAACTGCCAAGGCAACACCCCTTTCTGGAGCGATTTCCTGCCTTGAGTCTGGATAAACGGGGCACCAACTGTAGAAGCTACGTAGTCGGGTCAAAAAAGACCGACGACTTAAGCTTCATTTATACGCTGCTTCAAAAAAAACCCTGCAAGCAGGTCTCCTCAGCTGCGCAATGGATTCCGCGAGAACGCCCTGGATCTCAATTGATGCGACGGCGCGGTAGGGTCGCTATGGAGCTTAAGATTTGTGTTTAGGATGGGAAGAATCCCTAAATCTAGCCACTTTGCCTCTCCAAATCCACACTTGCTACATGTGCCCAATACCTGCTCCGAAACTCACAACTTCGCTGGCGCAGACCGGTGTACTAGCAGGCAAAGCCTGTAGCCGGTCGTTCTGCCAGCGGCCGCGCCACGCAGCAAGGCGAGGCAGAAGCTGCATGTGGAGCCCTGCAACTGGGGACGTTAGAAACCGTTAGAATGCTCTCAGCTCACAGCCGGAAGTTCTTCAAGCTTCGGAGAGGAATCGACAGGCTAAAGGGCTGAAAGGGGTTTGGAGTAAGCGATGTTTCTTTGGACACAAACCATGATGTGATATCATGGAAATTCTTGAGCTCCTTTTGCAGCTGCTTCAGCATGCTCACCGCGCCCAGCAGATGCATCATAAACGGCAAACATCGCGGCTGGGCTATCATGGTGGGAGAAGTCGAGCTTCCTCACAACACATGAGTAAGCGACATTAGGGTGATGAACAATGCCTTTGGCGCTAGGTGTCAGTATGGTTCTCCCCAGCAATAACCAACCAAATGCCCCCCCCCCCCCCCCCCCACAAGCTTAGCCAACCGATGGATAACGCCGGCAACAAACTCACACAAGCAGGTTGTGCTCACATGTGTCGGCTGCTGCTGGTCAAAGTAACCTTGCAGTCTCTGCAGCCCATGGTAGTGCTTCCTTCGTCCTTCGTGCTTCGTTCGACAACTGACCGTGACTATGATTCCAAGCAGCATGGAGGCTGCAGCACGATGGAGATCATTGATGATGACATTCCGACTCGCTGCCTCCGCAATAACCATGCAGAAAGCCTTTATTCATAAGAGCAATGTCTAAACTCTCGAACCAAAAACCTTTTCGCAAGACAAATAAACGCTTCCAAATCACTGTGGTCACAGTGGTCACCCCTTGAAGGCTATCATGGTTGGGCGTGCTGGTGGTTCTTGCTGTGCAGCACTGAAATGGTCAACTTGCAGTAACGTGTCCTATAATATGCCACACAGACTCACACAGGCATGACTGCACCTGCCCCTTAGTGGACACCGTGGCAGCATCGCCACGAACTGTCAAGGCACCGCCATAATCCTCACCTCACGCAGCCAAAGCTTCATCCCATAAAGAGGTCAATCATGTGTCTGTCGAATTTTATGGAGTCTTCGATTGCATGTGCAGCTGTGTGCAGCTAATGGCTAAGGCGTCTTGTGTCAGAGAGCCTTGATGCAACTCATAGAGCTCATTGTGGGCATCACGGCAATACAGGAGTCCACTCTCCTCGAGTGCCCAGGGAGGTTGATCTGAAAAGCCAACAACAAGCCGTCTGAAGGAGCCACCAGTGATTTACCGGCACATAGGAAGCATATGAACTGATGGCCATTAAGGCGGCAGCGCGCTGGAAGTACAAAGCCTTGTCCCGATTGTACAGCCACCTGAGTTCGCAACAGATCTGTCTCGGAACCTTTGTACATCTCAGCTCTCACATCGACAGACATGGCAACGTCTCGAGAGCTCCGGTGCCACAAGCCTGGAGCCCGAACTATCATCCCAAACTGGCTGTAATCCGGAATTATCATCCCAAATTGGCTGTAGTTGAGCCTGGCTCTCCCACACGTTGAAAGCTGCAAACCCTCAAGTTTCCCAAATCCGCCACGGGCCACCCTGGCATCTCTCGCACTTGCTCGAAACCCGGTGGCGCAGGCTTCCCAGATGGCGCCTGATGTTATCTCGGGGCTGAAGCAGTTAAAGCTTGTCACAACTCAAAACGCAGCTTCAACTCATCGGCAAGCCATGATTGCAAGTGGATCCCCCAAGCTCTCCAGGCGTTCCAAGAGTAATGGCGGTTTTGAGTCGGAGATAGTCGGAGCAGCCTCTTGGGGTGCTCCGGGCTACGTGCATGGTCCACGCATTCCAATGTTCCCGTTTCGCCCAACTAGAAGGGAGAAAGCCGGAAGGCATGGCGGACTTTTGCGCGTCGACACGCCAGCATGCGCCGGGCGGGAAAGTACGGAAGCGCGCGCAGTCCACGTGGAGGAGTCGGCAACTCATTGCATGCAACGCGAATCATACTAGAGATGTGGCGTGGTGCAAAAGATGCTCTCAATTTATCTCACTGCATCCTCTTGTCGATGGTCTTTGCCTCAAAGCGTGGTGGATGCCAAAAAAAACACACACACACACACACACACAAACACAAACACAAACACAAACACAAACACACACACACACACACACAAACGAGCATCTATGTTGACAAGCAGTTTTCTGGAAGGCCGGTGACAAGATTGTGATTGAATCAGGCGCGTGTTTTATGAGATGCTAGAGGTTCGGGTTTTGGGTTTGCTCTTCCAGTCAGTCGAATGCTGTTTAGCACACATCGTGCGCCGGCGCTTATAGCTTTCCCACCGTTGTGCGTTGCAGCTGTTCCAGAAGGGACAATTTTCCGAGTGCCCGCCGGGAAAGCCATAAGATTGCGAATAAAACTGATGCTTAAACACCTCAGAGGCTCAGCATTGCAGGCGCAGTTGGAAAGGGGATCCGAACAGATTGTGACAGGTTGAGGAACTTGGTCCTAAATTCCGAGAGTACTTTCTCTCCGAGTGAAGTTCAGCACTACGGCCAGCGGAGCCCTTCTTCGAGACCTGGCCGCAGAGACTCCTTAGTGAGCCTTCCGATGCGACAGTCTCGAAAAAAACCCTAGCAGACATCCACGCTGCAGGTCCTGCACATGGGAGCATCAGGCAAGCTTCTCAGCAGCTGCTGCGAATGGATGAGGCAGAGGTGGAAGAATCGAAGTTCGACTAGTACGGATGGCTCTTGCGAGTATGCAAAGATATCGCCAGGACCACATAGTTTTTGCTTGACATTGTTCCGTGATGGGGTCGCCACTGCCTCAAGTGGTTCTCTGCCGTCAGCAGAAGGGAGGCCGCAGGCAAAGAGAGCGAAAGAAGCAGCAGAGGTCGAAGAGGTCCCAGGGAAGCAAAAGCCAACAAGATTTTTTGCAGGGCCTACCAAGCCCCCCAGGCACAAGCACCGCACCAAAACGCTGACCGCCATCAACAAAGCATCCGTTTTGCTTCTTTCGCCGTCGCAGCACCAGCCCTTGCCTGCATGGATTTGGGAGATTTTTTGATTTGCATCTGGGGCTCAAAAACAGGGGCGGATTGGAAGGATTGCAGCATTGCCTTTCCTGCAGGCTCACAGGTGGTCTGGACCAGTGGACTTGGGCGCAGCAAGACGCAGTAAGTGAAGGAATTTCATCGTAGTTTCAGAATGAAGCAGCTATGTGCCTTCGGCATGTGGAAGTGAAGACAGCGATCAGCAAACTTTGAAACCTACAAGACTTGGAGAACTGACAAACGGACCCGAAGCAAAACCCGAACCCGAAAACCAAGAACAGTACAAGGGCTGCTGAGCTCATTGTCTCCAGACAGGCTATGTTGCCTCCTGCATACTCAGTACTCCTGAATGCTTCTTCCGGCTCACTGGGGTTGCTTGAATCGTCCTGCTGGGCTATTGAATACTATTGAATAATCGTGTTTCTGAGCCAGGAGTGGGGCCATCCAGTTCACCTTGTCGCTGCAAGCTGCGGAAAAGGCACGGATGCCGCCACGCCCCCAAACAGCTCGGGCCGCTCTTGCTTCAGCTTCCATAGGTCCTTCCCGGAGTAGCCTGACAAGAGATTCGCACAGATTTGAGCAGGCAGGAAGATTCCAAATTCAGGAGCGAGAGGTGTTTTAACACGTGTTGTGTAACCTGTTCATAAACGAACGAAAAATATTCGCTAGTCTCCGGGCCTTGATTTGTCTTGTGGACAACCGCGATGTTCTTGGCCTCCTCGCTGTCTAAGATCGAGAAGTGTGCCATGGCTTCAACCTACTCCTGGACGGAGGTAGTTGGGGAGCTGGAGTATGAAGAGACTTTGTGCTTGAACCGAAGTCCTGGGACAATGTTGCTCCTTAGCTATGGGGATCTAGCTGATGGATCTTGATCTGATGGCAAATGCTGAAACCATGTGAGGCCGTTCGTGCAGGCCTCTCCAATCGACACAACGGCTACGGAAGGCTCGGCAAACAGGCAGGACACACTGGCATTCAGACTCTTGGAATCACTTCCTCATTGAAGTAGCGGGACCAGTCCCGCACACTGGTGCAATATTAGCATGGTGTGGTGGGGCAAGCACAGGGCTGCCAGGCTTCGGACAGAGGCATCGAACTTGGAGCAAGCTCCGCGGTAGCGGAAGCTGCGAAGCACGGCGCTCATCAGGCGGGACGAGGCAGGTAAAGGCGGGTCTCTGCATGGTCGACGGGGTTGCAACGTTGGGCGTGCCATAAGCTCAAAAGATTCGACCTTATTTGGCTCGTCTTGTTTTAGAGTCGGGTATGGCCCGCCATTTGCGGGCACATCATTCCACATGCGTGGCATGAGCCAAAAGCTTGTTGCCAATGCACGCGCATGTGAAACTGAGACCAGCTAACATCAGTGTTATGCCTAAACACTGCCGGCGCTTCAAGTATTGTGCGGCAGGTTGACGGCAACGAGCTTGAGATTGAATCAATAAGAAATCACTTGACAAAGTGCCGCAGACGGGCTCGCATGAAGCCAAGCCCTCTCTAACCCAGCCAGTCCCTGTCGAGCATCGATACATATCGATACCAACAAGATGTGAATACGAAAGTGACCAGCTAGCTGTACAGAAAACAGCTTCTTGACTTGAACGATCTTACTTCCTGATAACTCCAACTGAGCACTCCTTGCTTGCGTCTTTTGCTCTTGCGCGCGCAAAGTCTGACTCTCCTATTTCGAGCAAGAGCGAATCACTTCACGCTGCCACTGAGCACAGTCGCAGCGTATCCCCGGACAATGGCGACTTCTCTTCGGTAGGACACTCGAATGTTTTCGGTTCCTCTGATCCCTGGTTGAGCTACACACTTAACACTGAACCCATGAACCACATGCCATTGATGTCAAAGACCACCACGAGTGGTCGGCTGTTGCAGCATTTCTGCCGCAGAGAGCATTATCACTTTGGAACCTGTGCCGGCCAGTGGCGGCGGTGCTCCGAATCACCACAGACGAAAAAAGTTTGTAGCAAACTCTTGTACAGCAGTACAAGACTACCTCGCTGCCACGCCGGCAAACAAAGCACTGACCTTGCACCGATATGATCTGGATAGCAGACGTAGTCAGTGCAGCCATTGATTTGAGAGATGTACATCACATAAACGTGGATGAGAGATCGGAAATAGCCTATGCCTGTATGGAGAAGGCAACAAGCCAAGACCTTCCTTGCAGCTGCACGTGGTGCCATTCTTATTGCACCGACCTTGGCTCGGGCTTGCAGCAAGCTTACAAAAAAGCTACGAGTACGTTAGTCACATGGAGCTCTTACCATGCGAGCACAGGCGCTTGCTGATTTGTAACAGAGATGTTCTTTGCTAATCTGCACCTGGCTGGGCGAATCACTCTTGGTACTTCTGCAGGTCGAGGGTCAGGATCGAGGAGGTCTCCTGAATGCTCTCGTGGAAATATTGGGAAAGGAAGGGAAGCTTCATTGTTCCAGTGAGCCCACCTGGGGCTTGTTCTTCCACACACCTACCAAGGCATCTGCCCGCACAAAGAATCGGTCCTGCAAAGCAGCTGCCAAGCTCAGCTTAGGCTCTCTACCCCACTCCAGGCGCAATTTATTGCCTCTCATCGACACGAAATGTGCCTTCAAGGAAATCACGATTGTCTGGCAGTCTGCCTCGGAGGCTATGTATGTCACAAACAATTCCTGAATCAAACCTGCAGATGAGCGATGAGAATAGTTCGAACTGTCGTTGTGAGTGGCAGACTTGCTCCACATACTTTGAAAGAGCCCGTACATTATTGGCATCAAGGGCCGCGTCCACCTCTCTCAAGAGTGTGCATCATAGTGCATCAGCGAAGATGTAAGCGAAAGCAAGAACCCACTGATGGTCCGCTGACCTCGTCAAGGACCATGAAAGGTGGCCGCTGGAAGGCCTGCACTGCAAAGAGCAGCGCCATGGCCGCCAAGGTCTTCCTTGGTAAGCTATATTGGCAAATATTGGCAACTGCGACTGGATCATCGTTTTGCCTGGACTCCGTGCGCTGTGCATTAGGGAGGGAGGGCAGAGGGGGGGCAGGGCGGGCAGCGGGGGCAGGGGGGGCAGAGCGGGTGGGGTGGGCAGGGGGTTAGGGGGCACATACCCCAACAGCAAGACTCGTGCACTCCGGACAGCTGCAAGCAACTCCCCAGAACCAGGCACATCTTCAGAGAAATCGACAGCTCAAAACGGTTGGGTTTTTCCTCTTTTTGCTTTTTGCGATGTCCTTGTGAATTTAAATATGATTCGTACTACAAATTTTCATGGGATTTGCAGCAGATACATCTCCGAGCGAGGATAACACTGAAGCACAACGCCATCTTCTACGGACAACCGGCTAGATGGTTCACGTTGCCCCTGCTGACGATAATGGCAAGCGTAGCAGCTCAATACCTGTGACTCCTGTTATGTAAGCCTCTTAAAGCCAGAGAGTAAGCTCTGCAAACCACTGCATGACCGGAACATGATCAACCCTGTTGAGGGCGTTGAGGTCACACTCGACCCTCCCATCCCGGCTTTTCAGAATAACAACATCGGAAACCAGAGCGGCTGAAGCATGATTCAGGAAACTCTTTCCCAAACCAACAAACAGCGGGTTCGGACACCGGATGACACCGGGATGTAGCACTGAGGCAGCTCAACGGGAAACAACGGGAAACCAGGAAACGTCTGACATGAGGGTTCCCTGGAGGGGCGGGGCAGGGGAAATGGTGCCGGCTGTTTCTGCAAATAGATACCATGGCGGAGCTCTACTACTCTCCATTCCATTGCCCAATACAGCTCCCCTCCTCAGGCACCTATTTGTGCATGACACAGCTTCAGGGCTCATATGGGCCTATTCTCCCTTGCCAGCAGATCCTCATGTCTGACTCAGGCCGAATGGCTGGTTCGAAAACCTGGAAACGATTCAATGAGAGAAACCAGCAAACGGCTGACTCGCAAACCAGGTCGGAAACCAACTGACTGAAACCTGACTCATGCTGCAGGCATGGATGCTCTGGTGGCCAGATGCTCTCCCCACATGTTTTGCTTTGGCCGGCGTCCGCGCTCTGGTGGCTTGGTGGGTTGGCATGGAATGCGCATGTAACATGTAGCACGGACGTGATTGACGTGATTACACACACATACGCACACGGAACACACGTGTAGTCTAGCAGTCCCGTCACTACAGTAGGGTGTGATTCGCACTTTGCGTCTCGTGCTGATTGTTGTTCGCAGTTTCTGATTCGAACTGGTTTCTGATGCGAATTTTCTGATCTGGTCGCGCTGCTTCTGATGCGTAGTTCCGGAATCGCACTGGTTTCCGAGTTGCGGCTGGGTTTCGGGTTCGCAGCTTCTGACTCGTGCCGGCAGATTAGAATTTTGCAGGTGCGTTTCTCTGAATTGCACCCAAGATCGGAACAAGCGCAGGTCCTCGGTGCCCCTTGAGGCACAAGCTGATACGTATTTATTCATTGAAAGCAGACCCATGCACTCTCGCCGACTGGCGGTCACAAGATGCCAGACAAGTCACTGGGACAAAGTCTTGTGTGCAACATTGTGCAACTGTGTGAGGAATGGCAGAGTCAGAGGCCCGGGCTCACCTCCTGAGAGGAGGTGCATGTCACGGAAACGCTTCGCTGGAGGCATCGCAGTGTACTGCCAGCACATTTTAGACGCACATAGGAGCCGCACGAAGCTCAGAGGCTCGAAAGCTCGCAAACGAAACTAGGACCAAGTTGGGCCAAGGTTGAAGCAAGGAGAGGCCGGTAAGAGCGATTGCGGCTACCGAATGTAAGCATGACCAGCCTTGATACCACCATTGAACGGGTCTTCGGTGTCCTCTGCATCTCAGACGCCATGGATCAAGTTTGCGACAAAACTGCTGACTAACCTGCATCAACGCAACGTGGCCACGCCAAGACTGTTAGCACTTTACCTTGCAATATCTTGCCATGTATGAAACCCTATGAAGTCCTCCAGGTCCAGGTAGGCTGAACCACCATCGGCTCCGGTGTTTGCTGTGAGACGGCTGTACACAGGCCCGATAGCAGCCGAGACCTTCTGAAAGCACTCCATGAACTTCTCCTGCAGGATCGGTAGCTTCAGTGTGCGTGCAGCTTCCAAAGGCAAGACCTAGGGCGGCTCCTTGCGCGCTTTGCGCACGGTCTCAAACTTCCGGTCAATGTCCTCGATGCCCTTTCTTGCTGCATCCGCCTCATGGGATGCGGCCTGGGCTTTGTCAGGATTCCTCAGGTGGTTTAGTTCACGTGCCTCGCGCTCCTCTCCATGATTTTGTGATCTTGGCAGCTTTTGGCAAACCTGCCCCTTTCCACCACGGCTGCTTCAACCCTCCCCGAACCCGGACATCAGACATCTCCCCGCGACCCCATGGCCTGCACATTCTCCGCCACTCCCTGCAGCTGCCCAAGCGCCTGCACAAGAGGTTGAGTAAGCACAGCAAGTCCAAGCGTCAAAGGCTAAACTTGGGCAGCTGAACAGCTTCATCGCACAGATGTCATGCATTGTAATGCCACGAAGAGAATGATGTGAATTATAAAGAAGCGAACTAGTGAGCGAATGCATGAACTCACTGAACGATTGAACGAAGTGAGACAGGATTTTGGAAGAGGAAATCATTTGTACCCGCTAGAAAGAACTGGGTGATGAATCCAAGGGTCTAGAACTGTGGGCAAAAGACCTAAATTTTATATTCAAAATGGAATGCGTGCGTCCTTGCGTCCTTACCATTACATTCAATATGAAAATTAAGGGGTTTTGGGCTAGCACCAGTTCAGAGTTTGCAGGGGGATGCGAGCGCAATTGTCACCACGTCTTGCGACTGCTCTTTGACGGAAACGACTACAAAAGCCTCGAAATCACATCGACTTCAAACAGGCACTTGACTTCAAACAGGCACTTGTTCTCGTGCGCCTTCAGATTTGGGCTCAGGCGCTCGAGCTCAAGGCGCAAGCGCTCCAGCTCGCTTCGATACTCCTCCTAGGCTGTGGCAACAACGATGTATCTGTGTAGAGGTGCCCCAGTGCCCGAACGTTCACAACAGATCATTCCTCGCTACATACCCGAAATGGGCGAGCCACCTCCAACATCTGCGCCGCAGGGCCCTTGGACGCGGCACGCTTGTCCTTCGAGAGGTGACCAATTAACAAGCGAATCGTCTTTCCCAAAAGCTCTCTCAGGCCTTTGGCCAACTAGGCTGGAGACGAAGAGCCATGAGTTGCCAATCAAATGGAAAAGTCGGAGGGTTTGTGGAGGGATGTTCGAAGTCCTATACGGGGACAGTCTGTGGAAGCCTGTGCAGGGCTGCTGCGGTCCTCTGGAAGCAGGGCAAAGTCGATCACAATTTCTTCAACTTCCCCTGTTGAAGGGGAGTGCTGCGTCGGTGCATCAATGGACTGGCTCTCCTTCGCGCCCAGACCACACATGATGCAGTCTTGTAAAGCTTCGCAAACAACAGCTCTAGTCTTGGCATCTCCTTACATCTTTGACTATGCGGTTCTTGCATGTTTCATGCTCGCAATTCATTTGCCTCGGCCAACTCCTGCAAAGCCTTTTGGCCCCCACGCAAGAGGGGCACCTTTGGCAGCCAATGGTCAGGGTGCAACAAAATCAACAAAACCCTACAGTATCCTACAGTAGCCCGTTCAGGCCTCGATTCCATCCACGTGGCTCTGCCGAAGAATTGTCGAGCGGGCACTGATCAAGCCCTGCCAGAGAGGTTGTCCACTGCTGTCTGCTCTGACTGGCTCAAGATGAGACCGAGAGCTCGTTGGCGCCTGCTGCTCTGAACCCAAGTCGCTGACCTGCAGAACAGTACAAGAGTGAATAAGACACCAGGCTTGCCGGGAAACAGCCAACATGGACCTTCTTCTCAATAGCCATCAGCTGCTGACGCACATCCTGAACAAAATGACATCTGCGAGTGCGTTTTCAGCCCGACATGCAACTCACCCTGCCTTGCCACGCTGCCGCAGTCCTGACAAGGCCTGCATCGGCTCCAAGGAAGAACCGACAATTTAGGAGCAGCGTGATGAAGCTTTCAGACATGTGCAGAGGGAGCCTTGTCGCACTCACGCTCAGCCGTGTTGCTTTCTGCAAGGCGCTGTTCGCAGTCAGAAACCTCTCGACACTGAGGAGGCCAAAACAAAAAAACCAAGAAGTCCCAGGCGAAAAGGCTATTGGGCTAGCTCTCAAACACGCGATCATCGAAATGATCGTGCCACTGCCTGCGACTCCAGCTTCTCCGCGTCACGCTGCAGCCCAACTTCCTGTCGCCATCGAGTCAGAAACATGGACACAAAAAACATGCCAGTGTTAAGAAGAAACTTTTCCCTGCACCATCATGTGCAGCAGATTTCTGCAGCAACGCTACTACCCTCAATTGCAAAAGTGCAGGCAGCATCCTTCTCACGCAGCTGCTCCACCTGGCACTTCTGCTGATAATGAAAATCACAAGGACAATCCAAAGCTGATTTGTGGGAAAGCACTGCAAGTAGTATGGGACCGCGGATGATGGCGTGCCTCTTTGCTGAACTTTGCGATAAGCTCTTGGGGGTCCTTGGTTGCCTGCTCTGTAATGGTCTGCTGCAACATGGAGATCTCAGCCTGCAAAGAGTGCACCAAAACGGACACGAACAAATTGACATGGGCCTCTCTCGTTTGAATGTTGAGTCAACTTCATTGAACGTCAGTACTCTTCTGAGGAGTGTCCCTCGCCCCACATGGGTTGTCCCAACCTTGATGTTGCGTAGTCGCCGCTGAAGCTCCGACATCTGCACGGCAACCGCCTCTTGTTCACGTCGCCACTCACCTTGACCGATCTTCAAAATGGGTGGAACAGCTTCATGGGATCGCGGGTGCCGGGTGAGGCCTCACTGGACGGGCAAGTTCAGATGTGATGTGCGCAGCGCCGCAATTGAATACAAAAACGTTGCAAAGCGATTGATGTGCTGTTTCAAATATTCCAAACCGGGTAAGAGCGGTTTCAGATGTCAGTACAGAAGAGCAATGGTTTGATTGTACAAGTTCGGACCGGGCAGGATAAGGCTTTCGTTCAAAAAGGAGCCAAAACCGGTTGCTGAGCGGCATCACTCGTCGGGGCGAGTGGATGCTTCAATGAAAAGGCTGTGGTGATTTGGGGTTGAACAACCCCTTCACTTCCGTGAAAAAGCTCTAACCCAAACCTGCAAGGGGCGATGTCTGAAAGTCTCACACTTCTAGCACTTCTAGCTGCCTAGCTACCGAAAACCTTTCAAACCTACAAAGCCAGGCCCGGGCTCAGGCAAAGTCTCAAAAACCTCTACGCAAAGGATTGTCACACTTCTTGATGCTAAACAATGTTGACGTGCGGGCTGCAAATTCTTGAGTGACAAGGAACACCCAATGCTCGGTGAGGAGATATCGATGCTCAGAGCACAGGGATACTACAAGGGAGGGGCTGAACACGCATCTGGCTGTGGAACCACGCACCACCCCAATGTGGAGATGACACACCCGCACGCTTTTGGCAGCAGATTCCTACGAGACAGGCGTTGCACCTGAGTGCAAAACTCCAATGCGGGACTTGGATCAGTACCAGGCCCTGTTCGGAACGGCAAACCCCAGTGTGGACGCCGATCGATTTGTATTTACACGGAGCGATGCGAATTAACACCTCCCCACCGGTACCTTGCCTTGAGGTACTCGCTACGCTCAATGAGTTATTGGTTGATGGTCCGCATCTCACAACGAGGGGCATGCTGAGCGCCAGGAGCTCGACCAGTCACAGCATGGTGCTTTGAGGCAGTGATGCAAATTCGAGCTGTGCGTCGCAGAGGGGCCATGGGAATGAAGCGATCACGGCAAAACACACCCCTGCGCTTACGGTGTCCAGTTGGCAACTCCAGAAATGGTGGGCGAGGAAGCCGAAAGGAAAGTACAACGATGAGAAGCCGCATGATGAGCAGAGGAAAGAGAAGCAGCAGAAGGCGGAACAAAAAGGAGCATCAGAAGGAGAAGAAGGATAAGAACTACTTAAGAACTGCTCGATTCTTTTCACGCCCCAAAACATCAAGAGCCACCACAGCTGCTGGACTGCTGGAGGAGAAGCAGAAGCCGGCCAACGTCATGTTACAGAAGACCAAGAACGTGGAGACAAATAAGCAAACATATGAAAAGCTGCTCCAGAAGTTCCAGACTATGCAAGAGAAAGACGAAAACTCACAAATGTTCGAACCGACATATAGAACAATATGAACAATATACAGATACAGATGCAGCAAAGAAGGAACTTTTCAATTTCCAGCCCAAGAATCGCCGATGTCTGGGCCGACCTTGTTCCACCGATCTGAGTTTTGATCAACGAACGCCGTCTCAAGTGGACGTCAGCGGCACTGCTTCCCCTGAGTGTTCTCGAGGATGGCAGTCATCCGTGATCTTTTCTGCACGTCGGTCTTGCTCGTCTGGCATCCGGCGGACCTCTATGTCGAGGTGTCTGCGGCGGACAAGGTTGGCGAACCATCTTCTCGAAGACTTCGCCCAAAATGGCAACAGTAACAGTATGCAACGTAGACAAGAAGCATCAAGGACGCGCGCATGTCAAATTCGTTAAGCACACGCAGAGAGTCGAGGAGTGGAGCTGGGTTTGTCGTTACGATTGCACGCGTACTTCAACACAGCTACTACCATTGATTCTCTCGAATTTGGATCAGAGTGGCGCTCCAACTTCCGGACATCATCCACGCCCATGGCACGACTCAAGCTGGTGAAGTGGCCAGCCTCGCAGAGCTGAGAGTTTTATATCTCTTGTCGAAGCGTCCCGCAGTGCTGAATCCGCGCATAGACCACCAAGGCTCCCACAACGGCCTGGGAGACGCGGGCCTTCAAGAAGTGAGCATTGAAACAGCTGGTAACTCGGTAACGCACGCGCATGCGCGTCAGTGTGCATCAACACCTGCCTCGACGCTTCGCTGCTCTTCACGGAGGCGGGCCTGACAGGTTTGCTGGCAAGATCTGGCGGGTTTGCGTTCTCATTCATGTGGTGTAAACAGAGGAACACCTGCGCAATCCACAGACCACAGATGTCAAGAGGACTCTATTTGCAGTTGCCGGCCTCTTCGGCGGCCAAGCGCTGCGCTTCAGGTTGCAAGGTGCCGAGCGACGCCTCCACGGCGCTGAGTTCCTCTCGCTTCTGTCTTAGCCTCACTGGGATCAGGTTGACCTCTGCATGGGTCGCTAGTCAAGGCCGTGTCCTTGGCGGCTTGCAGTTTCTCAACTAACTGAGGCAATTGCTCATCTTGGCAAAGCTGCAAGCGTGTGCTCAACTCCTGCGCAACCAGAGTCGCCAGACCAGCTTCCAAAGCCACCATCCACAGCATGATGGAGAGCACATGTAACATCATCAAACCAATTGACAGCTCTTTGCTGCTCTGGGATCCATCTCGGATCACTCTTGAATCCAACGCATGCTTGTTCGATGTTAGGGGTCTCCTGCGCCTTGCTCTCGACACGGCGTAGATCAAACTCCAACGATGCCTGATCATGTCTCTGCCCCTGTGCCTAAACAACACAACTTCAGCATACGGCAGTCCTGCCTTCCAGTTTCTTACTCAGCTACTGGTGGAGAAAAAATGGTGGCTGCCAAGGCGCCACCTCACTCCCGCCCGATGTCTCCAAGGAGTAAATCCTTACGAAGGGCCGAAGGAAACGAGGCAGCGGCGGTGCAAGCTACCATGGCAAATGCTCGTTGGAGTCATCAGGCCAGTCCGCTGCAAGATTGATGACAACTTGAGGACAACTGTGACTGACCAGGTGATGGGGTGTCGTTCATTCTCAGTCAAAGCAAAATGCACGAAGCTCTTTCGAAGGCAATGGGTGAACGCAACTGAGATGAAGGAAACAAGGCCAGACTCTAAGATGTCTAAGCCAGGAGCTCATACAATCGCTTGTCGATGGCTTCGAGCCGAGACCTGGTCGCCTCGCATGCGGCTTTTGCACCCCACCACAGCGAAAAGGATGCGGTGATGCGGCCTCGACTTCGGTGAGGTCAAAGCGCGTTGCGCCTTCTTGAGTGGCATCAGAGTTGACCTGGCAGATGCGCTGCAAGGTCAGATTGGCAAGATGAGTCCACGCATGCTTGCTCTGTCTCGACCAATACGAGGCCCTCACTGACAGGTTGCCATTTTTGGCAATTGCCTCACCTGCGAGGGTCACAACCTGATGCATGGCACATCCTTTGAGAAACTTGGACTCTGGAAGTCTCTAGACTCTGGCTTTGGATGTTGCTGGATTCTATTTTCTTAACAGTCAGCCCTCTGGCACTAACAAACATGCAGCGATTCCAGATATTCAGCGTCCTTGAGTCATCCACAGCCCACTGTCCAGAAGAAACAAGATTCTGAAACAAGTGATCATGGTCTGGCAAGGCCTTGCAGCTCACCCCCAGGTTGCGCGCTTCCTCGAAAGCCAAGCGCCGTCCATCGGCCATGGTATCAGCCTTGGTTGCAACTGCAGCTGGCAGGCCTTATAACAATGCGATCGTCTAGCTCGATCGACCCGACCAGTATCCAGTATCTGAGCAAAATCTGGTGTCGAAGTGAACAGGACTGACTGCAGTGTACGAGTAATACATGTGAGGCTACACGGCTACACTTAGCACATGAATGGTTAGCATGCGTTGATTGGGAATTGGTTGGCAGTGAGCGAGATCCGTAGCACCAAGGGCCGGACTACAACGACATCGCCAAGCATAAAGTCAAAAGCTCTGGCAAACGTTTCGTCAAAGGCAATGCAATTGAGAGCAAGTCGCAGTCCTGATCAGGGAACAGCCAGATTGGCGCTGAGTAGGTCAAGATATCAGAAGCTTCACTCCTTCAACAGCTTTGGGACCCGCTCCTTTTTGACTGTGGACAAGGCTTTGCAGACGTGGATCTCGGTCACCAATACGGAGATCCGTCATAGGCAGGAATGTCATGGGGGGCAGCATGCGCTCCTTGAGGTAGCGAACACATGCCCTGGCAGTCCCGCTGTTGTCAACGATCACCGCATCCAGGTAACGTGCAAGCGCCACGTTCACGGCCACGTGTAGACGCTTTTGCGACGGCTTGCACAGATCTACAACTCGCCCGTAGACTCCAGGGCAGGCCTCTGCCAGACTTGTGCACACCTGAGACAGCTCACGGTCCTTCTCGAGCTGACGTTCCGTCGCCGTGAAATCTTGGATGAGGTTCACCAACTGCTGCCTTTCCTGCTGCAGCTGTTCCTTCTCGTCGCAGCGATGGCTGACGGAGCTGCGAAGCTGCGTCAGCTCCCTGAGGCGGTCATTCTTCAGCACCGTGCCCCGATCCAGCGCCGCCTGCGCCGAGGTCTCTGCCTCACAGATCTCACAGGGCAGTTCAGAGCAGATTTCCGATTCCGGATCAGATTTCAGCACGGGTTGTGCAAGCCCAGAACACGGGCACACGGAGTGCGAGCAAACGATTCGGTTTCTGCCTCGTTCAGCTCCATGACTCGGTGCTGAAGGTGCGCCTTCCGTGCCACAGCATCCCTGTGGTCACCCTCTGCCTGGATTCTCTCCGCACCTTGGAGGCTTCTTCTTCAGGGGATTGGGGCCAGGCTTGGGCCTAGTCATCCGAGGCCCAAGCGCGCAGCGCGAACCTGATGTTCGATCTGCCGCAGCTCGTCCCCACTGGCTGCTGTGATCTTCTCTGTGGCTTGCTTCACACGCTCGAACTCCTCGAGAACAGCTCCAACTTCCTACCACGCTGGCCTTGCTACATGCACACAGCTCTCAGGCTCTCAGGCTCTAAGGCTCTAAGGCTCTAAGGTCTATTTACCGATAAACCAGGGATGAACCACGTTGTCCGATACATGCCCATGACAAACCCAGCAAGGACAGAATGTCCTCAAGTTGATCTGCTGTGAAGGTCACCTTGCTCTCGGCCAAGCCCTTGTTCAAATCTTCCTGCCGGGCCTCCAGCTTTGCCTCTTCCGCACCTCAGCACTGCACATGTCGCATGTTCCAACGCATGCAGGGCATGCTTTTGGAATCGCAGGAACACAATTTTGAGTCAAAGTTTGAGTACGGGGCGGAGGCTTTCCAGCTGATCTTGCAGCTTGTTCCGCCTGTGTGACGGCATGGAACGACGGTTCCGGAGCCGCCATGTGTTGGTAACCATGAAAGAACTCAGAGATGCTCAAGGACCGTGCAAATATCAGTTGAAGGCGTTGACGCCTGAATCTTGTCGCGTCTGCTTTCTTGGGATTGAAAGAATCCCAATACTTATGAAAACTTGGAAAACTCGAAAGCACAGAATTTTTTCGACAAACAGAGGCAAACAGAGGCCCATGGGGCGATGCGCTCTCTCAATGTTGGAGTGAAGAGTAAAGTGTGAAGATGCAAAGATGTGACTTTCCGCGCGAAGACGCGAGATCCGAGCAAAGACCCGAGAGGCACCCGCATGTACTGACTGAGGTCATGACCCGGGCAAAATCCAGAAAATATAGCTCGGGAATCAATCAACGACGAGCTGAGTAACAGCTTCTCTGGCCCACAAAATAGCGGAGACCGTGCTTGTCTCGGAGCCAGTATTTCGCGAGGACGTCGGCAGCTTCATACAATCCGATCCCGACACAAGCGTGGGTTTACATCATGAGCGAGGCGGTCTTTTGCCTTAGGAAGACCAGATGCTTGCGGAAGGTGCTTTCCCAAGGACATCCTGTTATCTGAGATTTCAGGCCACTTCAAACGTGTTGGCCTTTACCTTTGATGAAAAGTCTATGTTGCAGGGGCTTGTCTCACATGTAAATGTCCTGTCCATCCCAAAGGTCTTTGTGGCTCCGTGCTTTGGACCGCCTTGCCAAAGACTATTTGCTTGTTGAATATCCCCTGAAAGTTGCCGAATTAGGGGGTTCCTCTCTGTTCTTTCTGATGGTGATGGCGGATTACAGCTTGTTTTTGCCGCAGCTTTTAATCTTGCTCTCAACCACGTCCCGCTGCATGAGCCTCCTGAGCCTGGGCCAGGAATGGAAGCACGTATCGACGGCCAGCGTCGATGACGCGCCACGCGCAAGATGCCAGGTCTTTTCAGCGCCTACATGCCTGTGGTTGGGCTACAGGAGACCAAGAAGGAGAAGGTTGCATTAGATTCTGCATGCTGCCCGCATACAACCGTCGACAAACGAGGTCCATCCGAGAGTCATCGAAACAAAGGACCATCTGCGCCGATCCTGGATGAGCAACCGCAAAAAACGCGCAAGGGGCTTGGTCGTTGGCCGTCCTTCGTTTCATCCGCCGTGCTGGAAAACCTTGATTGTGTACGGAGTTGCCTGTCGTCAACCCAGCAACAGCTCCGATAAGCCTTACGTCAGCAACTCAACATGTAGCATTCGCAACAGGGTCCAATCTGTGAGCTGCGTTTGCTGGATCGCTCCTGCCTGCTATGGCTGGAGAATGCTGGTAAGGAGACAGGACAGGGGCAGTCCACACCTCGTTGTGAGGGAGACCTCCTGGCCCCCTACAAGTACGTTTAAACTAGTATTTACCTACTTTGGACGAAAGATTGCACAAGATGTTGGGTTCTGAAAGGCATCAGATGTGTCGGTACTGTTCTTATCACCTCATGCTCGGGAGTGCATGATTCGGCCTGCGTCCATCCTGCTGAGCAGACTGGGTCATCTCCTCTAGCCTGTGACAAGCACAGGCAAGCTTGAAGTTGGAAAGGCAGCACTGGCGAGATGCGCAAGCAGACTGATAGAAAGGCGTAGAATTGTTTGATGAAGTGTTGGTTCACAGACCTGCCTCTGCTCCAAAAACTTCTGGCGGCTTCGATTCGCAATGCGCTCGGGATTGAGGCGCCTCGGCGAGTAACCACCCAGGATCAAGCGAGTCAAAATCTTGGTGCAGAATGGTGTAGCAGAAGTCTCACTTGAAGACTTGGCCGCACACTCCGCCTTCGCTTTCAAGCCGCCGAGCTCTTTCTGGACCTCTTAGTGCATGAGAGGGGTTCACAAAAAATGGCTCTCTCTCTCTCTCTCTCTCTCTCTCTCTCGCTCTCTCTCCATTTCCTCAGGCAGCCCCTCCAAGTGCCTGCTGCAGGGCCAGCCGGGCTTGCGCACGCTGCCTGTCGCTTGCCTTCACTGCGGACACTGCGGCATGCTGAGATCAAGGGATTCACAAACCCATAGCGGATCCTAATGGTGGAGGGAATGTGTTTGTTCCCTGTTTTGGTTGTGTTTGTTTCTTTCGGAGAGGGAAGGTGGGCAGGGCGCACATGTTTTTTCAAACAATTAACTCCTGTTGATGGCCACGCTCTGAGACCCTAATCCGCCGAGGCCTCTCCCCCCCACCCCCCCACCCCCACCCCCCCGCCACGCCTCCCTTTTTCCCCGCCTAAAGCCACTACAAAACCCAAGGCTCAACTGGTGTGAGCAAGGCCGAGGATGCATTACACGAGCTGAAGAGTCTAAGCTTGCACCTAAACCCTAAACCTTCAACCTTCAACCTTCAGCCCGAAGCACTCTCGAACCCCCCCCCTGCCCCCCTTCCCCCCTTCCCCCCCCACCCCCCCTACCCCCCTGAAGGCCTGGCTCAACCCTACGATCAATCCAAGCCGAACCGTCTCTTGAACCCTAAACCCAAAAAAACCCTAAACCCCAAAGCGTGAACCTTGAGCCCTAAGCCCTCAATCCTAAACTAACCCTCAACCCTAAACCATAAACCCGGAACCCTAAACCCTACACCCAACCCTTATTGCTTGCGGTCCAGCGACTTGGGCGCTGCGGAATTACCATGCTCACGCGGATGAGCTGGGCCAGGCCGAGGCGGGTCGCGTAGCGTTAAAGTTAATCAACCTAATTCACTTTTATGCTTGAAGAGAACTGCTTGTGATGTTTGTCATTCCCCACCCTCGGTGATCTTCGGTGCGAGCTGTTATTTCAATCAACCATTTTCCTCACCCTCCTGGACACGGTGTCCGCCTGGTCTCCGGGCCTGATCCCCTGGAGTGCACAACCCCAGAATCCGCCAGAAAACTCCACAGAGAGTCCCGACAAGAACACTTGGCCCGCCCACCAATGAAGCCGCAGGGACACCGCCGAATATCCCCGGAGTGCGCAACTCGTGCCTGAATTTGAAGAGCCCGCAAAGGTTCCACCGAGTATCCCTGGAGTGCCAACAGCCAGGGAAAGTACCGCCAGAGAACTCCGCGGAGAATCCCACGACCAAAGCCTGCGGTCCTATACTGCATCGGTTAGCTGTCAGGTGGGGATGTTCGAAGGAAGCAGATTGTGTTTGCGTGTTTTTTGAAAAGGTGTTTTGCGATCTTTGTGGGTTTTGACACCTTCAATGGTTCTATCAGGACGTTTTATTCAGCAAAAATCTGCATGGCTTTCGCCCACGTTGTATATGTTTCTCGTTCTTTACTTGCAAAGACGATGATCGCATGGTGGGTTTGAAAGGGGCCGCGCCGATTCATAAACATCATGCTCATATAACTCAAGGATTCGCATATCTTTTGGAGGGAGTTCTCCGAATGGCACGATGTGCTTTTCGAGCATGCAAGCGCTGCCGCAAAGGCAACAGAGAATGGACTGCCCCATTTGTAAACACAAAATTTGTTGAAATGATTCATATGGTTTTCATGTGGTTTTGAAAGCGTTCCTTGATGGCAGGACATTATTCAAGTTTGCACGGATCTGCACGGCTTAAAACAGCCAGGGAGGGATGGGGGTGGGAGCGACGCAGCCCCGCCGTCTTCACCCAATTTGCACACACACACACAAGGCTCACCTGATCAGGTTTAGAGCATAAGGAATAACGGTCGGCGTCAATACACCAGTGTCGCGGTCTCACAAATCGGAACAGGATTGTGAATCGAATCCGTCAAGGCGATGTAATTTTTCGGCACGACAAACCAAAGGGCTTGCAACAGCACTCACGCAAAGCCGCAAAGCTCACCAGTCGAAATGGGATTCCTTTGCACACATAGAGCTGCACACTCAGCGAACTTCCATTCTCACTGTCAGACTGGAGAGTCTTTCCAGACAAGCTCCAGAGTCAGGCGCATTGGCATTCAAAGGCAAATCGGCTCTAGTCCTGGGCAACCATTCCGGATAACAGTTCGCGCAGGCAAGATCCAACAAACAGATTCGCAACCAATCCAGGTCTAGCTTCCAAATCTTCCGTGTCCGAAGAACATTCCGAGACAGGCAAGGCTCAACAGTCACCGCTGCAACATTACGTCCTGACTCTGCGTGTTCAGGCGCGCTCATGCTGGCTCGCGTTGCGCTGGTAGTATCAGCACGAGCAACATAGTATAGCACAGTCTTCACTCCACCAGTCATTCATGTTCCATGACCAATCGTCACTCCAAGCACTTCAGAATACTCCAGACAGCATCAGAGTAGACTCTCACACTCTTCATCCCAACCCAATCGCCCAACGAGCCAATCCAGTCTTCGTTCCAATCTGGAATCACTCCAGGATCAACTTCTTCTTCATTCCAGTTCCAACTTTCTTCATTCTCTTCATTCCCTGAGGCTACCCACTGAAAAGGAAACATCCTTGTCCTTGTCTTCAGTATTTTCTTTGCCTTTGCCTTCTACGTTTGCCTCGGCACATTCCTTCCTTTCCTCTCATTCCTTTTCCGAACATCAATGCTCCAAGGTGCTGATGTGCTTCAGATGCTGCTGCACGTCCATTCGTTTCACTAACTCTCCATGATACACAGGAGGAAGGAACGCCTTGATCTCTCCATCATTTCCTCTAACTCCAAGGTCCACTCTCCTCTCTCGCAAGCTCCGGACTCAGTTTACTCAGTGCCGACCGACTTCAATCACAATCAACCTGTTGCACACGCAATCCATGGGCAATCCCTTCCGGCAACTCTGCGCAGTCGTGCCTTGATCCAGTCTTGAGCCACATGCGTATAGCATTCAATGTTGACACACTCACCCTGGGCTCAATAGGGCCGGTGTCTAAAAGTTTAACAACTGCTCCAGGAAACCGGCGGACCAGGGGACCACGGGACCAGGGACATGTGGACCTCGAGACTTAGGAGCCGCAGGACCAGCGGGCCAGCACGGGCGGCCCAGAAAAACGCGGAAGCAATGAAAAAGGAGAGGGGAAAAAACATAATTTAAAAAAAAACACCCTGCGACCTTAACAGAGACTGAAGAAATCAAGTGCAACAAGCATCAGCACAGGCGTGGGACAGCTTGGGCTGCCGCCTCCAGCTCTCTCTTGCCTAGCGCAAGCTGCTCGCGTAGCTCCTGGAATGTTATTGATGAGATCGCCCGAGTATCACATCTCCGGCCCGTTGCTGGATAATTAGAAAAGCTGAAAAATGCTGACAATGCGACAGTGCAGAGCATCTCAGAGCTGACATGGCCCAAAGGTGAGGGGCGACTCGCCGCAGAACAACATAAAACAGTTGATAGCGCAGCACGAAATCTCTCCTCCCGCTCTTTCACAGCTCCATCTCGTGTTTCTGTGGCGCTGTCCAGTTGTGCGCAAAGGCCTCAGGCGCAGACGAGAACGCCCAACATGTGCACAATAGGGAGATGTGGGAGCAGTGGGAGCCCATGCCAAGCGCGACACTGTGCAATCGGAAGAGACAATACTCCCGTTGGAGGTCGTTCCGTTGCGTTTCGAGGTGCTTGTACCTGGAGGGATTGCTTGGCACACAATGCGCTGCTTGTGACCTCCTCCAAAAATTCTGCAGGGGGATTTCAAAAAATGAAACAGGTGGCAGGTCACTCGTCTGCCTCTTCCTTTTGCTGCGAGATTCGCTTGCGCTCGTTCAGAGCATTCCGCTTCTTGGTGAACAAATACCTGGAAGGTGAAAGTCACATCACGCCACGAAAAACATGGCTCGTTGCCTAACGGAGGTGCGCACCGCGCTTGTTCCTCCAGCTTGGCTTTTTCAGCTGCCAGGCTGTCGTAGTCCTACAGCAACTTGTATTAACTGCGGCATGGTGTGACATCAGATGGAAGTGATGGAAGCACCGACCAGGACCGACCACATGGCCACGCCTGACGAAAGGCTTCCGAACCAGAGATCTGCTCGAAGAATGCAGTCAAGTCCTCGCAGCCAGCAAACTGGATTTCAATCTTCACTGTGTAGCAGCAGGCTGTGTGTCTTCTTAAGCGGGGAACCTTGATCTTGTGGGTGCGCTTTGGGTTTCTATGGGGCAGAACTGGACAACACTCCTCCTCTATTTTTGGAATAGGGAAGCAAAAACTAGGTTTCCTCTGTATTTTGATGGGACAAACCTGTGCTTTCTGAATTCGAAAGGAAAGCCCGACCTCCTCTGCCTACTATCTCGTTTAATGTGACGGGAACTCATCGAATTCTTATTGGATTGTTGAGTGTCGTTGTTTTTCCGAAGCCTGGCAGTCTGAGGCCTTAGCTAAGCCTGCCTTGCTTCGAGCCTCAGGCTTCATTAGGGTCTAGGCGTTCATGATTTTTAAGGCAACTTCCTGCCTGCTCAGAAGCTAAGCTTACATGTCAACATGATTCCGCTGAACACTTTCGGGAAGGTTCTAGTGACTTTAGTGGCCCCTCCAGGGATACTCAGCGGGGCTGTTCTGCAGATTCTCTGGTGATGGGCCCTCCACCGGGCACGGGAGAATGGCTGACTTGAAGCCTGACAACCCCGCACCGAGTGGGGAAAAAACAAGGCCTCCCTCACACACCGTTTATCTCTCTTGGCCACGGAGCTCCTTACCCTGACGTTGGGCCGTGGCTTCCACATCTCCCTGGAACACCAGAAAGTTGCGCACCTCACAGCTGAGCGGGAACATTCGGGAAGCTTCCGTAATCCTTGAAATACCGCTGGGCCTTTGAGAGGATGTTGATTCCCTCCAGGCGCTTGTGGTAATCAGCTTGTGACACATTCACGTTGTTGACCTGGGGCATGTTTCGTCAGGCGCTTTGGAACAAAAAGCGGTGGAGACTTTCTGTTGCCTGGAATTTGGCTTCACCAGACCGGGTGATGAGCCGACCTTGGGCAATCAGCAAGGTCCGACATATCTAGGCTTGCAGACGGAAAGCTTCTGCACAACAAAAATTAAGAGTAGACTGGCGGCGGAAAACCAACGTCTGGTCACCTTCTACAGCATCATCAACCTCATGCAGGAAAGGATGTTATCCACTCGCTCCGCTGAGACTCGTATGGAATGGCGCGCTGCCCCAGGGATCCGGAACTCGTCCGCAAGTAGCCCCAGCAAACAAGATCGCACAGCTCAGCTGGCAGCATAGGTAAGCTCAACCGACGCCGTGCGCCTCGAAGAGAAGTCTTGTCAGAGCTCTGGCAAATCGCCCCCATGCCCATCGCCACCATGCTTTCTCCCATCTGAGGCCACGTCTGGTTCTTCTTCGGGTCCTACATACGGTGCAACATGATGGCCGCAGGCAGCCCACAAACAGAGTCGGTTTTCAAAAGTCATCGTTTTCTTTGTAAGGCTTCTCTGCTAATATGGCAGGACTAAGTCGACTAAGTGTTTGCAGAGATGATCGATACGAGGAATGCAAGCTCTGACATCCATGCAAATACTCGAGTGCTCTTCAAGAGCCGTTCACGCAGCTGTAGATTGGCTCATGTGCCTACTCGGAAGTGAAGCCCACCACTCCAGATGCACTGTTACTCTCTTCGGGCTGCTGATTACGAACAGATGGTACCCGTGACCATCTAAACAGTGGACTCCGAGAAGGCATGCACTTCATGCATCCTCTTTCTCTGTGCGGTAAACCAAATCGCGGAGTCGTTCCCCTCGCAGTTGCCGAGCCTCCCACGCACAAAGGGTGGACTGCGACAAGCAACGCATGCTCCAACCATGCGGGAACAAAAACCCGCAGGACCTGAACTCCAAGAACAAAGCTCACAGCATCCATGAGGTTCGACCTGTGCCACTCACAAAGCATCAGCCCTACCCGCATCCGTGCACCATGAACACTCCACAGGGTCCCGGCTTTCCAGACCCATTTGGCCCGATGATGCAGGTGAACTTCCTGCTTGGCTGGAACAAGATTGGGGCGAAGAGCATTACTATTATTCTTATTCTTATTATGATCATTAGTAACTTAGTAGTAGACCAGGCGAGACAGGATGAAGCAGGCACTACAGAAGGCTTTGTTCCGATCCGTTCATACGAGTAGTGTTGCTTTGCAACACTGCTTTGTAACCCCCGGCGGGCTTGAAGGGGCCGATGCGTACCCGGTCGTGGTACGACCTCTGCGTCATGCACGGTGATTGAAGGAGATTGAAACGATTGAAGCAACTCGCACCTCAAGCTTCCACGATCTTCCGAATCTTCTGACAAAAATGACTCTTCGAAAGGAAGAGCTAAAGGAACCGGCTTGAAGTTCTCGACGACCATCTCGTGGACTCGACCCATATCTTCTTTGTTGCAAATTCCTGCAAAGCAGCAAAGCGAAGGATTGGCGGAGATCGCAGGGCGGGAGGTGCCCAAAGGTGCCCAAAGGTGCCCCTTGCGTACAACTCACAAGCACATGAACAGATAAGATCCGCATATTGGGAATGGAGCACGCCAGTACAACACAGGAACTGACAAGCCGCCTGGGAGCCGATTCGGGCGAACATGCAAGACTGCAAGAGCCAAAAGCTGCAAGTCCAAGCTTGAAAAATTTTGAAGCCTAAAGTCGTACAGAGGGCAGATGGAGTCGGTTGGCCTGAATCATCCAGCAATCTCGCCCAGTGTGCAATGCACTTTTGTCTCAAGTCCCACACGTGAGACCTGGTTCTGAACCCTCCGCCCAAGTTTCAGGGTCAGGCTTACAAGCAGCATCACGCAACGGCACATGACCGCCGAAGAAGCTGTTCACAATTCACAATGCTTGTTTGTCTTGCCATCCGTGAAGTGCAGGATACTGATTAGGCAAAAGACGCCTACAAAAAAGACTGAGAACCTCTCTTGGCGAGATTCGAAGCCAGGACGGATTGTGATACAGACATGCCCAGGCCGCCTTTCACTCTCTGGATGTCTTCGCTCAAGCTTCGCATGTGCTGTTGGACTGATTGAAGAAGCCGCAGAACTTGGATATCATGCGCAGGTATTTCCTGCAGTACGACACGATCAAAAGACAACCAGTTGCTTCGCCTTGTTGCACTGCAGCACTGACAAACAAGCGCGTCCTGAAGAAACATATTCACCAAGCCGTCAATAAACTCGTCTTGAGTCAACTGCCCTCCATCATCTACATCCAGAATCTCGAACAGCTCCTGGCATGGCTGCGAAACTGGGACGGCTCAAAAAACGACGATGGTGTTTTACCCGTGTGCCTTTACCGTTAATCGTGGGCTTAGGCTTGCGGTTGGGAGTTGCACAAACAAAAGCACCAGGATTTCCCAGAGGAGCTGAGAAGATGTGCTTATGCTGAACGAACCTATGCACAGTGTATACTGAATGTATGGGCCAATAGGTGTGAAGTGATGTTGATTTCAATCAACCTTGGTTCTGACGTTGAACGCATCACCTCCTTGCGACTCATTTTGCAATATGCGCCCCGAGAGCACCGAAACAAGTGATAGTCGAGGATGAAGAAGAGAGCCATGCAGATGTCTATCTATGTGCGGGAAGGGTGCAGCAGTTTCTGCGAATCCATTAAAAAGTGAAACTACTTCGGTTAACTGCAATCTTTGAGGGAGCTTTCTTAGTTCCTGCCGGAGGATCCGGAAGATGTACTTAGCGCATATAGCGGCAATACAGCCTTGATTACATTATGTATTGTGCCCCCCCTGACGCAGAATAGTTGATATTCTCGAAGCTTATACTAGTTGCGTGAACATATTACGTAGCAAATTGTAACATCGGTTCCTTCGAATGCCATAAGGCCGGAAACAGGCTTAATTGCGCTACATCTGTATACAATCGATAATTGTTTGGGCCCCCTGAACACAGAGGAAATACATGAAATGGAACGAAACAACGTAGCACGCTTAGTTGAATTGCACTCATTAAGCCTCGATTATGTTGTGTAAAACATGGAATCATATGAAGGGCTATATTTCTGTGATTTTCAACTCTTTACAATCTTTACAATATTGTTGCCCTCTTTGTCGGGTGACCCCTGAAGCAGGTTAAGTGTTCTACGGATGGTTTAACATATTCGTTGTCAAGTTATCGATAACCCTACTAGCTGTACCAAAAGCACGCACAATTTATGGGGGGGAGGTGAATGCAACAAGGACGGGACTAGGCTTAAAAGGTAAGATTGATTGCAGAATTTCATTCTCCGAATTATGCCGTAATATTCAAAAACAATATTCAGGGGGGGAGGGGGGGGGGGGGTTGCCGAACTGAATTTCATATTTGGCAAAGAACTACGCTAGAAATATGAACTCTATTTATTCTCCGGCCCTCCAACAACAACTCACATGGGGTAAAAGTAGTTTAGGCGACGCTATACTCGATCGTTGGCTTTGTTAATGATACTAAAGATTTGAACGGTGGTTGTTGTACTCGAAAGTTGCATGATAATGCGTACATTGTCTCGATGAAAAATACAGTGGCAATGTGACTTACAATAATGAGACTAGTCATATCAGCTTCGTTCATTCCAGCACTGATGTTACTACTGGTAAAACTTGTGTCGTCAATTCGCTTGATTATATGAACCGTATGAGCAAGGTAAATCGAATAAGTTAGTGAACCTATCATGTCAATTGCGCTTCTCCCTATGCTCCCTATACACTATTCACTGCACCAAATTGCCTGAATTGGTTACCGTGTATTCATTGTATTATTGGCATTGGTTATCCTCACAACACTAGGTCGGGTTAATCATCTGAAATATGCCATGTGAGGCCGGGAAATCAACTTAAAGGTGATTTTGAACCGATGTGGCCCGGTCGGGATTAGGTCACGGGAAATCATGGGGCTCATTGACGGATAATATTATTGGTTTTACGGTTTTACCAATGAATTTAAGTCCGGCCTGTGCTATCCTGTGCTGATCTGTGCTGGATCGATGCCAAGTGCATGGCAGAAGCATTCTGAGCCTAGCAAACTGGGACCCATGACAATCATCGGCAACCTGCCTTAGCAACAAGTTCCTCAGCCCACGCTGAACTTATGCTGAACATTCTTGAAATGCACTCCGCACAATACCGCACACCTGCATGCTTGAGACATGGCTGTGCTCAAAGAGTCGCTCTGGAAGCACATCCAGCGGTACTCTCTCGATCTCTTCGCGTGAAACAGTACCATCGCCATCTGCATCGAGACTGATGAAGATCGATCGCAATCGAGGAACCTCGGCGCTGGAGAGTCAAATGCGGAGAGAGGTCATAGAGCATAGTCATTGAAAGCAATGGAGTAGTATTCGAGCAAGTATGAGCATGTCTCTATGGGATTCCGGGGGCATCCTGGGACCTGGCAGGCAAGCCCTGCAGCGATCCAACCCAAGATGATCCAAGCGGCACAGTCCACCAGCTTCTCGTGCAGGTCGTGCTTGGCAGCCGCGCGGTCATGCTGTGCGCTTTCGAGTGCCCCCTCAACAAGAACAGCGGTAACCAAGTTCATCAAAGCAATCGAGAGTATCAGCACGATGGCCCCAAAGTACATCACCAACCAGGGCCTTTCGACCACAAGCGGATAATAGACAGCGGCAATAGAATCCAGGGTTACAAATTGTGAAAGCGTGAGCATGGTGATGGGCACTGAGCGGAAGTGCTTGTTCACTATCTCTTCCACATCCGCGTGGACAGTTTTGAGCTGAGTGTCATTTGTGATGAGTTCAATACCCAGACATGCAAAAATATAAATCACCAGGACAATCAGGCAAAGAGTAGACGCGATGGTGTTGATGGAGGTCAATAGGCCAAAAACCAGTCGCCATACAGTACGGAAATAGCGCAGCATTCGCAGAGTCCGTATGAGCCGAAGCAGTCGAAGCGCTCGAACGACCATCACGGATTCCAAGAAGGCATATTCGCCAAAAGAAGAAATGGGGACTATGATGGCACTCAGCGTGCCCAAGACCACTAAAATAAAATCAAAAACAAACCAACCATTGTGGAAGCTTGCTGTGCATCCATAGGCGATCAATCGAATCGAAATCTCGATGATGTATATGACCACGAAGATGATGTCAAGCCAACGCCACCCAATCCAGATGGTGGCGTCTGCGGATTCTATCGAGGCCTGAGCCTCTATGCCAATGCAGATGGAATTGACAGCGATGATGATGCCAAAGAGGTAGTCGAACCAACTAGAGGATACCAGCCTCTGGCAGCTCGTGACAACACAGACTTTGAAGCCCTGATTCAGAGTGAGCGCGGGCAACAGTTCCGTGCGCATCTCTTCTAGCAAAGCACGATATCTGGGCTGGTGGTGCGTCCTTCGTTTGTGAGATCTCCGTCCCACCTGAGCACAGAAGCCACATGCCAAATGGATCTTGGGCGATCCCCTCCTTCGGGTCACGGTTTTCAACAGTGCACAATCTTAACAAACTACATGTGCAGTCTCAAAGGTGCCGCGCAGTAGAGTGTCAACTTGACACTCACATGGTAGATGTACATCCAGGGCTACATACATACACACACACACAGACGTACACACACTCGCGGCGCATGTGCCCTAAAGGAAGACCCAGGTATATAGAAAGGTACATGGGCCCTGAGGGACATTGACCAACATGAACAAGCTAACGGAGATGCGCTAGCATTGATCATGAGTACGAGCTCGAGCGCCAAGGAACAGGTGGTGGCAAGGCATGCTTCACCTAAGCAAGGGCAGGTTTCACTCAACAATGGCTGGACATTCCAGGCCGTGCGGATTCAGACAACCAAACTGACAGTGAGGGAGGCGCAGGTTGTGTTAGCAATTGAGCTGCGTCATCTTAGGGTTGAGGATGGAAATATCGGCTGTTGGCTCTTAGATGCTGTGGGCTCTAGGACCGGACCAAAGACGAATACATCTGAAGCAGCAACTAACCCGGAGATTGCTCGGAATTTCCGTATATTGCACCCGGGCATGTGCAAAATTCTGCAGATTCTATATTCCATATGATTGTCATTCAAAATTATCTCAGCCGACAGGATGCCATTTCCGACAGGTCCCTGCTCGCAGCATCCGACTCCTCGCATCCAGCGTAGAACTCATCATGGTAGTGGGCTGCGACCTCCCGCATAGGTCAGAACCGAAACCGTCTGAACCGGAACCGACAAACCGGAACCGACAAACCGCTTATGTTTTCAGGAACTGTTTTCAGGAACCGCTTCAAACCGAACCGATTCCAACAAAAACCTCTCACCCCCACGCCCCCGGGAGTACGAATTTCGGGCTTCATCGCTGAAATGCGTACTCCCACGCCCGGGTGAGCAAATCTCGGGGGTTGGGTTCGGGGTGCGGATTTTGGATTTCTGCCACTCACATATGTTTCGGAAGGCTTCAGCCTTCAAACTGCGGAAATGTACCCCACCCCCATCCTGCATTGGGGGGTACAAATTTTAAAGCTGTCAACCCGGCAAAACTGCTGAAATGTGTACACATGTGTACTCCCACGCCTTTGTCAGGAGTTGGGGTTTCATGGTATCAAGGCTTGGTAGCCACAAGGCCCATGGAATTGCCCATATCCGGGACCCGAAACACAAGCTATCCGACTGTTACATGTGACCCCACAACTTCGACAGCTCCTGAGGATTCCACAGCGTGCGCCTTCGTAACAAATCATAAAGCAAGCTTCTTACCCAGCTTAATACATCTCTCCCATGTAGAGGTTGAGGCTATTCAGGTCTATTCACGTGGGCTAGCCACTACTGACTATTGCCATTACCAGTACTGCCCCCAAAAACCATATGCAAGCAGCTTTATGCGTCGCAGCGAGGCCTGATGCTGGCAACGATCCTTCTGGAGGGCCTCCTCGGCCTGCTCCTCGAAATGTCGCATGACATCGCTGATCATCAACAGCGCCTGCTCCTGGAAATCAGCCGCACGAAACCAAGGTCAATGAAGCCCAGCGGAATCTAGAGTCGAGGGGTCACAGACGTACTGCACTGTGTTGTAGACATATGGCCACCGTTGTGCAACTGAAGAAGATTCTCTTACCTTGGCCTCAAGAACCCATTGCCGTTTCGAAGTAGTCCGTCTGCAACAATCCAAAATTTCAACTTTCACAACTAATTTAACGCGAACGCCCCCCCCCCCCCACCCCCAACTATCCCTGTGGACCATTGCCTCAGGTCTAGTCTAGAAGCCAATAAAGTGGCACTGAGGCCTTTTCTTGTCAGTCCATGCTCGTCCAAGTCCATAGCTAGCTTAAAACACTCTAAATTCCTCGACGTTCTTAAATACCGCACCAGGCACTGACGCGCAGATGCATTCTTTAGAAAATAGCTAAGCCAGTCTTGAAGGGACTGAAGGTTGCCGTTGCATTCGCGAAGGTGTTTAATCTAAGCAACAGTTTGCAAGTCATAAAGGCAAGATGGGACTTTCCGAGATTAGGGGTACCTTGCTGGGGACCTTACGATAAGGGAATCCTATTTTCGTAAACCCCCATTGTATCCGGCGAGGCCTCGGGCCGAAGGTGTATAGGTTGTCAAAACAGGCACCCCCCTCCTAATCCTTTTCCAAGCCCCTTTTTTACCTGGAAAGGGTACCTGTGGGCGACACAATCTGAAAGCGGACGGTTCGCCAGGACCACTAGCAGTGCACCCCCCGCTTTCCACCCCCCCTTCCCTACACCCCCCTTCCCTGCGCCCCCTTCCCTGCGCCCCCTTCCCTGCGCCCCCCCCCCTTGCCCCCCCCCCCCCCCCTGCCCCGCCTTGCGGCCTGGCTCAACTTTACGATCAATCCAAGCCCAACCGTCTCAACCCTCAACTTGAACCCTAACCCAAAAACCCTGAGGCCTGAGGTTTAAACCCTAAACTAACCCTCAACCCTAAACCCCAAACCATAAACCCGGAACCCTAAACCCCAAACCCAACCCTTATTGCGTGGGGTCCAGCGACTTGGGCGCTGCGGAATCACCATGCTCACGCGGATGCGCTGGGCCGGGCCGAGGCGGGTCGCGCAGCGTTAAAATTAATTTTGTGCCGGGCCTGATGCGCGCGGGCGGCTTGCAGAGATTCGTGTGCATGCTGGGAGCTTTCTATCTGCAGTGTCGGCAGTGGCACGACATCCAGCCCATTTGCCACCTGGGGTTTTAGCAATCCGTAGCAATGCGAAGAGAGGGCCCTCACTGATGCATGCACTACGACCTGCACCACCAGAACTGAGACGCCGGCGCCAAAGCCCTCACCGGCTTCACTCTCTTCGGTGCAGCACAACGAGGGGCGGAGGGTTGGAGCGGGCATTGCAGAATCAAGGCTACCGCGCTGTAGACCGTAGGCAAAGCTGACATGATGAGCCGAAGCACGATTTCGGACTGCAAATCACCGAGAATTTGCTCTGCGTCAGTGACAGGGAGCGATTTGCTCTGCTGCTAGACAAGAGTACACAGAATGTGGCTGCAAAACATCCCAAAGCGAATCCCTTTACCTGACTGAGATCTTCACCGGGCATCGCTTAGAATAAACACCGAATGCCGCCAGAGTAGGCACGGCTTAAATACTGGAAACATTGATGGTGGTGCGTTTGCGCACGCCAGGTGTGGCAGCCAGTCAACTGCAGCCGTGCCGGCTGTCAGGACTGCAACGAGCCACATACCCTCAGGGACTGGGCGAATGTCATAAAGTCTGTCAGTCTGTACTTAAATTCTACCTTCCTTGGCACGCCGGCAGCTTAGCTGAAGCGCGTTTAAAAAGCAGGCACTGAGAGCACCAGCATGAGCCAGCCAAATCTCTTCTTTAGTTCTTTGTGCTTGCCAGATGCTCCGCCACAATCTGGTTGATGGCGATGTTGTTGGTGAACACCTGGTTCGTAGGCTCGGCGTGATCGGATTCCTGTTCTGCAGCCGGTCTCCCTTTTCGAGTGATGAAAATCTCTTTCTTCTTGGCAGTCACTCCAAGTCCATCTGACGTTTCCATGCTGCCATCACCAAGCCATCGGATCTCATCATGCAGGACATTGATCCGAGACTCCAAGATGCGAAGGAGCCGCAAAATTTGGATAGTGTGAATAGGTACATCGAGTAGGAACATGTTTAGGAGCCCCTCCACAAACCTCGGTTGACGAATTATGGATTGTCGGAGAGCCGAAACAAACTCAACGCCAGCACTGCATAGCACTGGCTGTTAGTAGCCGCACCAAGATACTCCGATTGAGAGAGGAAGCCCTTGCCACTGATGTCCAGAATCTCGAAAACTTCCTGCAATGTCTAGGGCTGCACCCTTCATGAGACAACGGTGCACTGGTTCATCTTGCTCCTGCAAGCTGGACACGCTGCTGTTGTCAAAGAGCTCCTGTGGGAAGACATCCACTGACCTCAATTCATACTTCACCACACTCTGAACTGTTCGACCTCCTCGCCCAACTGAGGCTAGCATGCTTGTCATCATTGCTGCCTACAGACATCTGCATGAACTCTTCCAGAGACACTGTCCCATCCTGGTTTACATCCAGCGTTTCGAACATTGAAGACAGCTTCGGTGCCTTAGTTGGCGCAGCGATCCGTCCCAAGAGCCCCTTGCGTAGCTGTCTCCATTTACGCCATATTTCTAGGCACGTGAACATCCTTGAATTCATAAGAGGAAAACCTATTTACACGCACGATCTAGGCAGCACATTTCCACATTGTGCTCGACATCAGGCATCACAGTGAGCATTTTTGGTTCTACCCTCCAGGCTTTGAGCATGCGTTTGGCCTCATTTTGGCTCATTTTGGCTCATGTTGGCTCATTTTGGCTCATTTTGGCTCAGCTAGTCAGTGAATAGAACTTAGTCTGGAACGGTGGAGGTCGGAAGCGAGTTACCTGCTTTCTTGCAGATGCAAAAATCACGCACGCTGCTGTTGGGCTGTCCACTTCATGGCGGTGTCTCCTTAGTGGCCTCGTGTTCCCACCACCTCAGCGCGCAGTGTGCTCGGAACTGCTTGCGAGCTGCTTGTGGCTGCTCAGTCAGCAGCTGGTGCAAAGTAGAGGGCACCTAGTCTATTCGAAGCCTAAGAATGAGATTACATGGTCCTCCTTGCCTCATATATCACCATTGTGCTTTAGCATTGCTAGTTGCCGCTGCGGCGTCGAGGGGCCGTTGCATTGCTTTGCCTTGAAGTGCAATGCTGACCTGACATGTCTTTGCGCCCTGAGGGCCGTGGGTGTGATGCACAGTGAGCCAGTTGTACTCTCGAATTGTGCATGCTGGTTATTCTTTGTTGCTCTCCCACTGCTCTCCCCCTTGGGTCCTGCGGCCTGGCTACATGGGTGAATCATGCGGTGGGCTGTCAGTGTAAAACCCTTACACATGCAAATCGCTCCTACGCAGAGAGCGGATTGTGCCTAAGCCTAAGCTGTCCGTCTCGCAGGAACAATACGGGGAAAGAATGGGATGAACAAGTGAGGAGTCCTACAAGGATTGAGTGGGAAGGACGCAGAGTGGGCCTTTGCATTCCCAACAATGTTCTCCCACAGCGTAATAACATCAGGAAGGTATACCTGCGCCCAGGTGAGCTTGATAGTGGATTTGATGCAGTCCGCTTAAATCGCAAGGACTCCGACATGTGTGTCATTGTTTTGTACTTATATCCTGAACCACATCCACCTGCAACGGAAGTTTAGCGCGACAGCGGGCTAGAAGACTTAACGCTTCCGCATCTGCTTTCATTGATAGACTGCCGCGCAGATGCTTAGCAATCTAGCTCACGGATGTCAAAGTCCATGTGCACACGGGGCTACAACAAATTGCAGGACGGCTGGCTGCACAGGGTTTCAATCGAGACAACTGGCCCCGGCGAAGAACCTGCGCGCTTGCTACTTGAAGCTTAGAGAGCCTGGAAGCTGAGGCAATGCAAGACGGGGCCTGGTTGCGTACGAACCCTCGCAGAAAACATCCCGTCGCGGATATTTCGCGGAGGCGTATCTTCGGACCTTTATATACATAGACATATATATATATATTGCAACGGTACAGTCAAACATAATGTCATGGAACAAAAGGCAATTAGGTTCAGATCTGGCACTGCTCTCCGGAGCTTCTCCTGCAAGACATGCCTTTTCAGCTCTCGATCATGTTGCGCGTTCTCCAAAGCTCCTTCCACCAGAACGGCCTCAGCGTATCTCAGCAACTTCCACTCACCGCTCCACATATTCGACTGAAAGACACTCAAAGGAATCACACTCCAGCATGAGACTAGCACTCAAGACTAAATATGCCCACATGACGCGATCTGGGCATGCTTTGACTGTGACAGCTATCAACTACTATTTCCTACTACTGCCATGAGTCCTGGCCTGCACTTTAAACTGCTGAACATCGAAGTTGTAATTTGTTGGAGAGCTGCATTGCACATGCTGGCAGGTTGCTCAATCAACTGAGGGCCACGCAGTCACTAAGTTCATCAAAGAGATGGATAAGACAAGGATGATCCCGGAGAAGTACACGACTAGCGCTGGCTTGAGATAGACCAGAGGTCTGTAGATATCAGCGATAGAATCCAAAGTTACGAACTGAGCCAAGGTCAACATAGTCATTGAGAGGGAGCCGAAGTGATGCTGAACGATGTGTTCTGTGGTTGGATCCGTTGTCAAGATAGCATCCTTGGAGATGAGCTCTACTCCCAAGCAGGCCGAAACGTAGAGAGTCAGTAAGACCAGTCCCAATGTGGAGGTCATCGTGGTGCCAGATGTAAGAAGGCCAAAGACAAGTCTCCATGCCGTGCGGAACCAGCGCAGCATCCGCAGGGCCCGGACGAGCCGGAGCAGGCGCAGGGAGCGCACGACGATCACGGAGTTCAGGAAGGACAAAAACTCCGTGCTTCCGAGCATGGGGCCCAAGAGCTGCGCAATAATACTGGCCGACCCCAATACCACGGAGACATAGTCAAACACAAACCAACCATCCGTAAAACAAACTCTCCAGCCCCAAGCCGTGAGACGTATCGCAATCTCACAAATGTACATCGTCACGAAGAGGATGTCCAAAGGCAACGCCCAGGTTGGTGGTGATCCAAGCAACCCCGCCTGCACTTCGACACCCACACATATGGAGTTGATGAGTAGAACGAGTCCCATGCAATAGTCGAAAAGATACCATGATGATAACCTCAGACAAGCGAGACCCACGTCCCTAGATTCTGAACGTTGCACTGGCGTTCTGCGAAATACATGCTGTCTTTCATTCTCACCCGTGTGCAAGCTAAGTAGCCTCTGGCATTTGGTCTTCAAATAATAAAAGCATGTGTTGGCCGGATCTGCGGACTTCTCCTCGTCCGGATCACTTTCTTGCATAGCCCCTGTGATCCTGCCCAGGTATGTCGAGACGGCCTGCGCTGTGCTGCAGCCATAAATGCATAACCCAGCTTGCTCTAGTCAATGCGTTGAAGTTCCGAAGGTCATTTCGAACGATCAGTAATCGACGCATGGCTAGCAGTTCTACACCCCCTAGAACTAACCGCATGGGCAGCTCAGACGTTCCTTCTCTGTCCCTATATTCTCATGAAACCACGAATCTATAGGCACGAACGCATGACGGAAATAGCATGCCACGGACCCGCTTCCGGTGCAAGTCAACTCCTCACTGGGTCGTTTTGGCCCGCAGCCCGGCTTGGCCCAAAATGTGGGCATGACGCAAACGTCACGTTTGGGCACCCTACTTGCGATGCCCAGCGCCTAGAACTGAAATAGCACCCTCCAAATTCCTAAACAGGCCATGTGCATATAACCCCGTCAAGGCACGTAGTCTTCCATGTCTCCTGAGGAGAGGAAGTCGCTCTCACCCCGTCCAGGGTTCTTCTTGTTTCGTCGTCTTGGCTCCCGAAGAAAGCGGCTATCCTTGGCCAGGGATGCGACAGTGTTCGGGGGCGTGAGGCTGCATGGGTCAGCAGAAAACCCAACCTTTCTGCGGATGTTGGTTTGGGCATCGACGTTTCCAAGGGCTTGGTTTACAGGGTTCCAATGTTGCCTCCACTTTGATCGAGGCCCTCCTAAAAACTGAAGTGAGGATTTTTCTCAACTTGTTGGGGTTCCTGAGCTTTTTAATAGCAATGGTCCGCTACACCAGGCATTCGGAGCAGAAGCGCTTGACTCTCTTCAGACAGCCTCTGGAAAATCCAGGAGCCGAAAAGACTCCTTAAAAGTCGGCCCTACTTTCTCTTGAACGACGGCTCCGGTTTCCTTGCGATAATCTTGCAAATCAACTGCCCCGCGACGGAAAGATTCACAGCAGGTAGCCTAGAGATACTCCAGGATGCACTTTAATGGGTTTGTTCATGGCTTCTTCCGGGGCTTGTTCTGCTGGCCGGGTGGTCTGCTTTAATTTCTAAGTGTAGTAGATCGCTGCCCCGGCTGTGAAGCCGGCTACGCTGGCTGCAAACTTATTCCATCGTTTGGGCCACACGAAGCTAAGTATGTCAACTATTTGCTTCAGGCGTCACAGCCAGCAACAACCTATTCTTCCAATCCAGCTGTTTACAGGCATTAGATTCAAGTGCTCTGCCAGTGCAGAAGACTAAAGGGATGCTCCGGCTGTCGCGCTCGAAGACTTGTGCTCAAACGCAAGGAGATACTGAAATGGTCTATCCTTGTCCTGCCTGTTCCGACAATCTCAGAAAGCCCAGCGGCGATCTCACGCAGGTGATCCACTTGCTGAACCAAGGTCGACAAGGTTTTGACCAGATTTTCCTTTCAAGGCTGAAGATGCTTCTGAGCGAGGTACATAAGCGCAAGAGTCGAGGAATGTGTGAAACATATTCGTTGGAGTACCATGTACATCAAGGATGCTGCATGTCGCTAGTGGACGATCGCTTCTTTGATTGTAGGCTTGCCGGAAAATCAGGGAAACCAAGACTAACTGGAATAATTGGGTCGAAACAATTTACGAGAAACGAGCGTAACAATATACAGGCTCTCAGCCATTCTCAACCAAGTCTGCCCGTCCTGCTCTGCTCGGAATGTGCACAGCGAGTGGTGAATCTGCACGATGTCGTCCGACAGTTCAGTTTGTGAAGGCGTGTCCTGTGGAAAGGCTGCCTAACGAGGCCGACGCCACCCGTCGCACCCTATCACCACTGGCAAATTGGCACAAGCACCAGACTCCGATACAGAAGCTCTCACTGATTCTGCCCAACATATGGTTGAAAAAGGCTGCTGTCAGTCATTGTTTTTGCACACTTCATACAACAGCCCCGTGACTGTCAGTCTGCAAGTTAAGCGGAGGAGGCGCTTCTATGCACTTTCGTGCCACAACATACAAAGTTGAGTCACAATATCAGCCGCATTTTCCGACTGCTTGACTCGATGTTTTCGACATGTTTCGACTGTTGGAGTCCGAGGGTCCTTGGAGGGCTGCTGCGCCACAGGCATCTCGACATCGAGATGTCCTTGGAAGGAGGCCCATGTTCCTTGGCTGCCACGGTGTCTCTTGCTCTACTGACGACACTCTAAGGTGCACACTCGACCTCAGACCTCTGTCACCTGCCTTCGTCGGAAATTCTTCAGGTACCCTGGGCCCTCAATGCAGTCCGAGGTCTGGTCGGCACGGGCATGTCTGCCTACTGTCCAGAACTGGGCGAGAAAACACCTCCCGTATCGTCTCTTTGTCCAAGTGCTTGTGTCTCTGATTCGCTGTTTGACGTCTGCTGCCTGGGCTTTGAACAGTGTTCTTCAACCAGGTGCCATGTCTAGAGTTTTAGATGAAATTGCCGTCGAGCAACATCACAGCTTGTGGTCGTATGATGTCGTATGCCCACAGGCTAAAACCCTTTAACGTGGACATTTAAGCGGCATTTGAAAAGTAAAACTGAAAGCCAAGCAGCCCAAAGTCTAGTAAGTGGGAACGCATGATGCACAAACGCACGACGCGCATATGAACCGCTACCGTGCCATGCCGCACTGAGTCTCAGGGGTCACTAAAATTGCAACAACCTGCAAAGTAGACGTAGGCCCTTTTTGTTGTTTTTCGTTCGCAGCGCACATTTCCCGCCGCCAACGAAGAAGCTCCAAAGGGGCACAAGCCAAACCCTGGGCTGGCCGGCCGTGCCTGTTACGGCATTGCTTTCGTGCCGTGCCAACTTCTTGCATTGCAGGGTTCTGCCTGATATCGATGCATTATCGGACTATATCGGTGACTATCGTGCAAACTCGTAGCCGGAGCCAGTTTTTCTATACAGCGCGGCCCGGGCCGGGTGAATGCCCTTTTCACATGACGCCACCTGGACATCAACGAATCAGAACTTTTCAGGAGATGAGTGGTTCCAGTAACTAGTAACAAGTAACTAGTAACAAGTAACTAGTAACTAGTAACTAGTAACTAGTAACTAGGTTGTCTGTAAATGGCCCGATGCTGGAGATCCTTGCAGATGCAACGATAGCGTCCGCGAACTAATCAGGTTACACATGTACTCTGGCCGCCGCCTGAGAAACCTTGACGACTCCACTGGGTCGGTCCCACGGGTTTTGAACAGATGGACGACGAGCTCCATCGTCCACATCGTCCACCCACCTCTCAGTTGAGGTTTCACGTGCCGAGCAGGGGCGAAAGCCCCGTCGGGGCCTTCGCTCTTGCAGCAACTCTCGAAGAGGTGGCGGAGCACATCGGCAGAGTTGATTGACGACCAGACGGCCCGCCGCATACCGGGCTTGCTGAACATCCGGTACAGGATGCTGTGAAGAAGTTGTCAGCAGAATTCGATTCGAGCACTTCTGCTCTTCCAACCAATCGGTTGTCTGGATTTCCTGCTCCTTCACCTGAACTCAAGCTAGCAATAGCTAGCAAATCGGGGAATCCGCATGCACCAAGCAATGCACAAGCAACAGTCCATCGGCCAAGCAACAAGCACTTCCAGTATGTCGATCTGCCCACCGACTGAGAGGCGCTGAGCTGCTTTCCGAAGAGCCGACGACCTCTTCTGAGCCGATGGGCAGCGCCTTGCATCACATGGTAGCATAATGGTCGCATGAGCAGCTTGTGTTCCCAAGCCTGGAGCTCAGTAGTTGCTCAAAGCATCCTGAGACCGACCTTTGGTGGGTTGAGTTCCGTGCTTGAGGCATAACAACGAAATAAAAACAAGTACAGATTCGAACATGACCACTCAACTCCACTCAACCTACCCGACGAGATGATACTGCTCTACAATACAGATTACATCACGATGATGAGCAACTCTGCGGTACCGGCGTCTTGCAGCGGAAGCTCTTGTGGCGGAAGGAGCCCCGATTCCTGGCTTGCACTTCGGGAGCATGTGTTGCAAAGCTGCACAACGACCTGCACAACTAGGGCTCACAGGGCTCACGCAATACTCGGGCCCTAGGCCCTTCAAACAGATCCACTTCCGCAAAGGAACACGTTCCAATACGATGCCACTGCAGGCTGCCCTTTCCGGCCTTCCAGTATATCACTTCACTTTACTCCCCTCCCGAGGCGGGAACTCTTCGGCCAGCCGTCGGAGATCCACCTCTGCCCTTGCCTCTCCAAATCGAAACGATCTTTCGATCTTTCAAAAGGGCCACGGCTGGGCGAATAAGGCTAGACAGCACAAATGGCACAAATCTACCCAGAGCTTTGGGGGACGCCTTCTGCTCAGGAGAAATCGAAATGTAAGGATTGATGGCACACAGCAGACTGCTGCCTCGCACTGGACGCCGATGACATGGATCGGCCTGGTCAGAAATCGACACGGATGGCGGACATGTGAGGAGGCAATCAGTGCAGGAGGCTTGGATCGCACGATGCGGCGATTACTTTTTCAAGCTGCAATGCTAAGATGACGAAATGCGCTGCCCAGCGGCAATTGACGAAGATTGCGGGAACGAATATCTGCCCGGCAATACTCCTAGGTTGCCGGGTAGGGCACTGCACTAGTCCCAGCTGCACGGCAGAAAGTGGTTGCCACTGCTCCATGCAGAGATTCATAGAGATCCCATGTGACTAAGCATGGCACAACATCCGTCTTCTTGCAGAAGCCGGATGTGATCAAGTACACCATGTCCTGGCGTCATCCAGGAGAGCATCCAGCGGGCCATGCTACAAGATGCTACAAGGAATGAACTGCCTTCTGGAACTTTCATAACTTTCGCATGTGCTATCTACGCATTTCTACTCCTTCCCTGCTCTTCATTAAGGCCGCGGCGGCTTCGCAGCTTTGCACGGCCCATCTCATCGCCTTGGGAAGGCTCCCGATTAGACTTCGTCGGCTTCGAAGGCGCAACATGTGATCTTACCATTTCCCGGCGGAGCGCCTCCAAGAGGTCCGTTTCACTGCAAGGCTGCGCCAGGTCAACAAAGCTTTCGGCCTTGAGACATATTGAATCTTGAGACCACATGCATCTGCATCTTCGAAGCTCTTGTTTGGATGCCGGGAACTCTCGGTGATTCTGGGCGCAATGCTTCCCGCAATTTCTGGGCCACTGGAGGCACAAGGCGGTCCTGCAGAGCAGAGGCCAACAAAAAACAGAAGCAGCTACATCAGGAATGCATGCAACGCACAAATCGCACGTCAAGGCAAACCAGGCAAGTTGTGCACGGAGCTCCTCCCAGGTCACAGCCTTCCCGACGGAGTTGAACGTGATGAGATTGAACCTTGCGCTCATACGGCTTGCCACCAAGGCTGCACATGCCGGATGCCGGCCTGCTCTTCGCCACGATGAAGGAGTACCTGAGGAACCGAAGAATGCAAGAACTTCCTAATTGTTCTCAATGAGTTTCACAGCTTCACATGCTTCAGCTCTGAAGGAGCTGGGGGCCCCCTGCATCAGCCGCTTGATGGCTGCCTTCACGAAGACGAGGTTCTGACCATCATCGGGCACTCCCGACACTCCCACAGAGACAAGGCTTGCGATAAGGGAACCAAAGATTGGATCAGCTTGCGCTCAATCCAAACCACAGAACATTTCAAGACTGCAAGACCATCCTTATAAGTGTAAGCTAGACTGACAATCCTGTGGCCTGACCAAGCAGACCAGATGTGTCCAACACGATGACAGGTCGAAACCCTTCCACCTGGTCAGGAACAAAGGAATAGCCATCCACTTTCGTGGCTCAGAAGCACTTTGTAGGATTTAGGGTTTAGTTTAGGGTTTAGCTTTTGGGTTTTGGGGTTTGGGGTTTAGGGTTTAGGTTCCAAGAACTCAGAACAGGTCTCCCGTCCATAAGCCCATGTGCTGAGCAGCGTGTCAGACTGAAAGATGTGGTGCGCACCGCGCCTGGCCAAAAGTTCCTTCGTCCACTTCTTCGAGAAGGCTTCCGAACTCCTGCTTTGCATCAGGGTGATGCTGAGCAATAAGAAACACCTCTTGGCCAAGCTCCGTGTCTGAGCAAGAAAAATGTGTCCTCATCCTGCCTGTAGCTGTATGGGAGCCTCATCCACTCACATGCACAAGAACCATCAAAGACGCCTGGCAGTGCTCAGCTCAAGAGGTTCACTAAATTTTGGCAAGAAGTGATGAGAAATCTTCGAGCTCGCTGAGGTCCACACATGTTTGGAACATATTCCTGTCCATCAGGAGACTCACACTCGTACCCTGCAGTACATGAGCATGAGCTAAACGACGTCACGAAGCATTTGACCAGGGCCTCACGAGAAGCTCCACGATCCAGCAGGGAGTTGAGCGCCTGACAGCGCAACAACGTGCGCTTTCCGTGATTGCACGGGTTGAAGTTCTGTTGCAATATCCCTTCGCTGAAGCAACATAAATCTGCAGGCCGACAGGTGGGCCAGGTGGGGATGGGAGGGGTCCTTCAGCCACAGGGGAGGGGGGTGCAGTGATGCGTTCTGCGAGGGGGGACGGGGGGGGCCAAAGCGACACAAGAAGGGCGTAAACCGGAACCCCCTCAAGTTCCAAGGAGATAGCTTTCGTGACTTCAAGTGTGCGGCACGGTTCTGGCAAACTTCTTGGCCTCCAAACAGCGCTTGAAGAAGTCCAGTCTCATGCGGCACTCCTGCACGGTATCAGCAACACGATGAAGACTCTTTTCGTCCAGAGGACCTGCGCTTTTTCGTCCAGTGGACCAGCGCTACCAATTTGCGCTTGCACCACGGACGGCTAGTTCTACTCCCTTGCTCCTGGACTTTGCGCCCAGCAAGGCGCTCAAACTCGATGATGTCCACGCGTGCCACACTGGCAGAGGCTTTTGAAAGACAGCTGAATCTCAAGAGAGCAAAGGGCCGGGGGCGAAAGTGAGCGGTCAGAAATACCGTAAACTGGCTACAACGGACATTCGCAGTTTGGACTCTCGGCCTGTAGTGGACTGGCAGTGGGGACACCACCGAGCCCGCTCGCTCACGCGGCCGCAGGGACACCTCACAATCGTCTGACGCGCTGCTATGTGCTGCTATGTGCTGCTGCTTTCGACAGGCGACTTTGCATGAGAACAAACACAGCTTCGGCATCAGTCAGAAATTGGGCTGGCACGACAATATAAGTATGTCCAGGATCAGCAGGCATCTCGTGCATCTGCACAGGGAGAGCCCAGTAGCATTCAGTGCCCACACGATGTTTTATGTTCGGCAAAAAAGTCGCTTCATGCCACGGCCTCCCTGAAGCGCGCCACAACGTACTCTCGCAACTTTGGGGTGAGCTGCTCCACCTTTCACCGACTTTGCCGGCGTTTCTGGATCGCATTTTGAACTGGTCCAACCTCCCAGTCGCAGCGGGGCAGTGATGGCTCCTTTGCCAGCTCAATGGCTAATGGCAACACTCAAAACTGAGTGTCAAGTGAGTCAACACATGCATCTGTCGTGACAGCGATCGCCTGCTGTGATGTCGAGGACGATAGGCCGCCAACCGTGCGGCCAACCGGCAGAGATTTCACATCCTCTTCGAACATCTCAACAGGACCTGTATCGAGTCACCGTCAAATTGAATCCAATTCCCTCAAGAAGGTAGTTTCAAGCCTGGAAGGAACTCTGCAGGAGCCACCCCAGGCAAGATGCTAACAGGAGCTGCAGGCCGAACGACCTCAGCCATGTGGAATGCTTGAAAGGTGGCGATTTCGTTTTGTTTACACTAGGCCGCAAACCGTGCGGACGATTGGCGGAGAATTCAAGTCTGCCTCGAACATCTCAGCAGGACCTGTATCCAGTCCGACTCCTCCTCACGCCGCGCCATCAAGCAGAATCCAGCATTCTGGCCTTGTAAAATCTCCGCGGCGGGAGCAGCCACGCTAACAGGAGCCGTCGGCCGAACGGCCTCATAGATTTGGAATGCTCGAGAGGTGGAAGAGCCTCAAAGGGATGGGCCCTTGACGTCTTTGGGCGTGGAGCGACGCAGTGTCACATCTTCTGCCTCCCAGGATGTTGCATTGTCATCATCCTTCACCAATTGCCCCAAAAATGTCCCAAAGGAGCCTCCGCCGTCGTGTATCTCGGGGCACTTGTGCCATTTGTGAAGCTCATAGCTGCCTGACGCTGAGCTTACAGAGCTGTTCACATCCCTCGCCCTCCACGCGTACTTCAAGCCCTATGGCCGTGTGAGCCATTCCCAAGCTATAAACAAGCCCCGAAACTAGCCCATATGGCGGAAAACACCTTCGGCCCACCACGTGAAAAGCAAGGCCTCAGCGCCAAATGGAGCTCCAACCCTACCCACGCTGGAAGCGTGGTGCCTCCAGGGCGGCTGGAGAACTACAGGCCACGGCATGCACGTGAAAGCCGAGGACTTGTGGACAGGAGATAACGAAAATCTACGAAGTTCGTCCTGACGAGCCATCCCCTGCCACTCCACCCCCCAGCCCCACCTGCAAACCGCTGCAAACCTCAAACCCTCGCACACGAGGACATTGTATTATTGTCGGATCTTTCAACTGTCCGTTTATCCCGTGCGGCGGCAGGGGGAGGTGCAGATCACCTGTTTGAGTGCCAGGCATGGCTATTACACGAATATACGCGTATCAACATGTTTAGCACGCTCCGTTCATTAACTTCGTCTCTCTTGGTCTCTTCTCACTTATGATCCATGTCATATTGTCTAACCTCCTATTATTGTTGGCTTTGGGCTTGATGGCCGACTGACATGGATGGCAAAGGGCGTGGGAGCTTGGGGGGCCTCTTGTGTAGTACAAAAAGAGTATAGTCGCAACGTGGGGTTGCCTTGGAATTTCAGAAACTTTCACACATTCCATGCGGCCGCATCGCTTTGAGTTGTTTCTTGGAGCGTACGAAAACAACTCGCAGTTCAAGTGGTATCGCTTACGAAAACCTCACAAAGCACGCGGCCTGGAAGGTACACAACCTTGCAAATCACTATCGCACACGGGGCAGCATGCTTTTGTTGCTAGTCTGGGGTCGCAACGGGTCATCAGGGCCTTCTCCTTGAAGGTGGGAAAACGTGAATTAAATTGGGGTGGCATCGTTTTCCTCTATTCGAACGCAAAGCCTCGTGTATTCATGGAAAACAAACCTCGGAAGTTACAAGACGCTCCAACAGTTCCACAGGAAAACGTTGAACCTCAGGTAATTTACGAGGTTGTCGCACATCCCACGAGGGCAAACTCTCCGATGGCAAGTATATATGTACTATAGGTTTTAGCACCTTCCGCGAGCGGAAAACATTTGGAGTATTTTACGAGGTTCTCATGCATGCATTCCACGAGTGAAAATTCAGGTAATACAAGGTTTTCGCACGTTCCACGCGAAAGGAAATAGTTTCAGCGGTTTGCGCACGCTCCACAATGTTCCACAGGACAAGTGTTGGACCCCGGGAAATTTACGAGGTTTCTACACCGTCCACGAATTGGAAAGCAAAACATCCAGCAACGGCTCCCCCAGTCACCAGCCTCGCAGCCGGGTCTTCCGGGCTACTGGCAAGCACCTTGGCAAATTGGAGCGGGGATTGACGAAGCAACGACGGCTTCGTAAGTGTTAACATCCTTTTTACTGAAGGCTTTACAAGTGCACAGACATTCACCGCCCGAATGCAGAGTCCTGAACCGCCATCACATCCTCGCCATCTCGCAGTGCATCTCCCACGCGGTCATCATCAGCTAAGTGCGCTTGCTTGGCGTTAGTTAGCCTGCGAAGTCAGAGCAGTTTCAGAAGGTCGCAGCATGGAGCATAGTAATTGCCTCAGCAGGCGTCCCCCAACACGAGCTTTCGCCAGTGCCGTTCGGATCTTCGACGAGAGATACTCAACCTGCACTGCGGAAAGTAAAGCTGAGGCTCAACCATAAGCACAGCATAGCACACGACTTACATAACCAGGAGTCTAGACCTGCAGTTGAAAGTGTAGGTTCTGGTCGTCCGACTGTTTCGAGGCTTGCAGGAACTTCGACGGGTCAAAGCTGAGGGCGCAACAGTCGCGTCCTCGTCGATGCAGACGAGAAGCTTTTCTACGGTCCCATCACCTCTGGCTTAGGAGTATGTCTCCAAAGAAAAGGACCACGCTGCCCACGCTGAAAAGGCCCTGCCTAAGAGGGCGAACACATTGAGACGAACCTTCTGTCCATACCTTAGTTGGATGACTGCCACGAAGCTTCCGCAAACCTTGGCGAGGATGCCCTTCTTAGGCGACAACGCGCTCCCTGCGAGGGACATTGGCCAAGGGGATGCCCCCAACGCTCTCAGCGTGGCTGCAGCCAAGCAAAAGGACGGTTCAGAGCGCAAACAAAATTCATATACATAAATAAATAAACAAATAAATAAATATGAATATATATATATATATATATATACATATATATATACATATGTATACATAATATGTATGGCTGGTTTCAGCCCTTCGGTCCACGCATTGCGTTCAGAGTCAATTGTTATTCATGGCGCGTGGTATCCTGCACCTCACCGAAACCACGCCGCCACAATCTCCGCCGAATCTACGCTTACCATTTACGTAACAAAGTGTGACAAGAAGCTGATCGCCAGGTGCACTGCCTTCTCTGTCAAGCCATTTTACAGTGTCTTTTCCTGAATCCTGCGGGAATCTTTGCCCGCTCAAACTGTGGGTCCACGGCAATGTCAACAGAAGCCTGAATCGGGGAAAACCGCTTTGGTCCACCGATTCGTACAACACAGATGCTGCGAAAACTGCACAACACGCCCGTTGACTTCAACAACTGCACGTTTTGGGGCCTCGGTCACCGGCTACTGGTCACTCCTGCTCCCTTGCCACACCTTGTTTCGTGGTCCAGAAGGAGGACGTGGTACTCACAATCAAATGCACGGGCCTGCATCTGCTTCTCAACCAAAGACAGGAAGCGCTCCTGCTGAGGTTCACGCAGGATCGTCTGGCACTAGTCACTAGTACGCACTTTGGAGTTGCAACTTCGAGTATCGTACGAGCTCCGACAATCAAGCTGATCTGCAACCTCTAGCTTCTCTACATAAGAATCCCCAAATATTGCTTACAGTACACACGCACGTGCGCTTAGAACTAGGTAGGAGGGCATCCGATGAGTGGAAACTGTTTCGGCCATTTTCCGACTGTATGCAGAATGGACCACATGAAGGTGTGATTTCCAATATTTGTTAGGGCGGGCGTTCCGCTCTTTATTTCTAAGCACTTCCAGGAGGGCCGGAAACACTGTCAACTACAGCATTTGCTGGTTTCCGGAAGCTTCATGGAAGTATTGAAATATTCGCCAATCTGTGTCTCGGGTTGGAAGGATCTTTTGACAGCACGTGGCATAGTTCAGGTCTTGTCGTTGTCCACCCCTGACCAAAAAAAAGCTACATTTGTCTTATCGTTGGAAGGGGCACACAGTTGAAGATGAGAGACCTAAACTACATCAAAAGCTTGTGATGAAACGCGATATGGAACCAGTTTTCTCTTGCTCATGGGGCGCATAGCCAGAGTAACCCAGCTGTGCAACCCAACAGCCAACGCGACAAAGATGATCAAGTTCCGTTCCGTTCCGCCGTTCCGTTCCGAGGGCTTCGGAGTGGCAAATGGCTCCCCGCCTCTAGAAATAGAAAAGCAACCCTTCGGCTGTTGGGAATTAAGAAAAGATGCTCCTCAGAAAAAGCCACGTCTGCGGCGGATGTAGTAGTTCTTGCCCTCCCTCAAAATGCTAATTACATTTGTTAGTGCTGTCCTGGGAGGTGACACAGAGCTTAGGGCAAGACACTTAAACTAAGAAACATGCACTTCAGAATAAGATACGTCTGCGGATGCAATACTCATGCCCCCTCGCCAAAAAAAGCTTTTGTCTTCTCTCTGGAGGGGGCACACGGTTTCAGCGAGGCGCCTAAACTCCGTAAACTTGAGATAAGACGCTGTTTGCGCTTTCAATGCACGCTTATTATTAACGACAGGTGAAGCTAAGGAAATAAATTGTGTGCTCTTTAGACTTACGCTGCAGACAATATGGAGCCACTACATGCTATACCGATGAGGGAAGACAGATTTCCTGCAGATGATGCATGTAAATCTACAATTGTGGCTTTTCTCCGGACGTTCTGGCGTGGGGAACGTTCAGAACGAGTCAAAAACAATCGTTATATTAACTCAAGATGGCTTAACTGTACCGACACCTAACCACCGGAGAATGTGGAAATTCCAAGTTCGCCTGGTTCCACGGATTGGAACGGCTCGGTCAAACCTGTCTGTTACAAGTAAACAATTCTAAACAATTCCCTACAAAACTTTCTATAACTAGATCACTCGACGCATCATATATAACCCCGTGTGCCTGATCAACTTTCTTGTCTTCTGACTTGTTGCGAAAATCACCCACGGGGCCGCCACGGGCCCAAGGGCCCACGGCACGCTTTTTTGAATAGTTGGCCTGCGTTTGCCTCTGTCACACTCCCTCCCCACTCCCTTTAGCAAATGAAGCAACAACCAAAAAAGAAAAAGCGGCGCTACAGCCTACTAAGGTGCCTTGCAAGGCATTGCGAAAACTCATTTGTGGCTCCCGGTCAAGGTCTCGAGTCTCAACGGCGTAAGTTGCACTGGCGATGGCCATGGCCAGCCCGCCTGCTCTTTCGCCAACATGGGGCTGCGCATCGGTGCAGGGTCGCCGGGAAGCACCGAAAGTGCTTCAGGGGCGAAGTGCCTGCCTCAGACCACTCAGACAAAGCACCCAAGAACCAGGATGGCCAAGTCATCAAGGATGCCGCATATTACCCGTGCCAAGGGACGCTGACAGAAAGATAGCAACAAACACAAACAGGCCAGAACCATAGTACAGGCCATAAAGATTGGAACCTGCCATTGTGCCATGATGCATCCATGCTTTCACTTCACTGCTCCAACATTGTGCATCATTTGCGTCTGTCAATCGAAGGCAAGAGGAACCATCGAAGCATCGACATCCTCGTCAAGGACAAAGGGCACCTGAGACGAGACGTCATCTCGTCTCAAGGGGTCTTTTTGGATGCCCCGAGTCTCTTGCAACCGCCGTTGCCAGAGCGAAGCCGATGCCGCACCTTGAGAGTCGCTCAGAGGCAACCGTTTTGAACAAAGGCCTGTCCCAGGAGAATCACGAGTGCACGAGTGCGTGGCAGGAGTAGCTGGTTGCCACCGGTGCCGGACTCAGCTCAAGCTCACTTTCGGCATCTTGCAACTAGGTAGAACGGAGGTTCGCATGCCAGTGCAGAAGATTATTAGAGCATACGCTTTTTGAGAGAGAATTCATCGTTAGCCATGAGTGCATCGACCTATAAAATCGCTACGACACTTCCTGCCTGCGATCGAATCTGCGACGCGGCACTCTTCTGCGAGTCCAAGGCAAGGCGAAGAGCCTGCAAGCATGCGGCGTTGCGCTTGTCCATCATGTCCGAATACATCCACACAGTATCCACAGAATGATGGCCTCGCAGTCGCACTTCAAGATCTCCAGCCGATCCTGAACCCGCTTTTCCAGAAGCTCCTGATTTCGCACGCGTTCGCTTGGGATTCTGGATCCGCCATGCGGCCATGCGCTCTCTGCAAGGATGCAAATACACAAAAGCCTACACACAAGTCACGATGAGGGGGGCACCTGTGAGAATCGAAGAGCTCGACGCCGTCCAGCATCCCACTTGCTGCCACTTTCGCCTGCATCGAGAACGTCCAATAGCACCGCCAGGTCCCCGGTGGCAATGGGAATGATCTCGAAACGCCTTCCCAATGTTTCATAGAGAAGGCGCGATGCCTTGGCGAGGAGCTGTATTCTGTCCGACTCGCGCTTGAGGAGGTCAGCACGTGAAAGCAAAAATTGCAGCTCAGGGGGCTTGCCTGCACTGGAAACTGTCTTCAGTAATGTCAGCAGCTCTTCCGAAGGTTGTTTAGCCAGCGAGTCCAGCAAGCACACCACAATGTCTGCACACGAAATGATCCATGTAATTGGCTCAACATCTTGTTGAGCAAAACTTGCAGACACTTCAATGACTTCGATCCCTCGAAAACATTGTGCTGGCACCCTCCGACAGGATCTGGCCATGGCTGACGCCCGCTGCACCCAGTCTGGAAACTGTCCTGCTGCATCCAATAGCAGGCTCGGCCACTCTCCTTCATCCACCTCTTCAGACACGTGCCATTGCGCTGGGAGAGTTGATGAGGTTCTCTCATTCAGAAGGACGAGCTCTTCAGCCAGGGCATTCACGAAACTTGTCTTGCCAGAGGAGGCATCTCCTAAAACGGCCATGACGACTTGAGTTCCATGCTTTTCGAGTGGCACACCGAGATCTGCAGCGAGAGACTGCAAGCTCCAACTGCAGCTCGAAGGTCCTGGAAATTTGGGGTCTCCCACCTTTGCGCCACGGTAAAGGCGATCAATACGCAGAAGCACTCCATCGCATGCGTTTGTCTCTTGAGGTGCCATTGACAAGATGCGGCACGATGGTTCACGATGCTTCCCTATGGCTGAACTTGGAAGTGCGATTTATCTATCAGTGCGATGGTCCTGGCACTTCCTGCCATCCAGTCACATGAGCTCACATTCCATCCCCAGGCTAGCAATACCTTTGCGGATATCTTTGCGTGACGTGTAGCAAGAATGCTCGACGTTCGCGATTGCTTGAAAGAAAAACTGCTCGAGCAATACTTGTAAAGGCTTCATGAGTTAATTCAGCTCGCACGGGGCTGTGAGTGAACGTGGAAGGTTGGGGCACCATACATATGTACACATTTGCATACATACATGCACACACACACACAAGCAGAAACAGACGCACAGACGCTCAAACACACAAACACACAAACACACACGCACACACACACACACACACACACACTCTCTCACATACACCATGACACACATGCACACACACGCACCCGCACTCGCACCCGCACACGCACACGCACACACGCACGCGCGCGCACACGCGCGCACACGCACACTCACACACTCGCACTCGCACTCGCGCTCGCACTCACACTCGAACATTCGCACCTTGATGACTAATATATGAAGAATGTAACGCAAGGCCAGCAGAAGGCTCCAAAGCTGTCCGAAACAGAAGTTTCAGGAAAGCCATGTGAAAACCACAGGTCGTGCTTCTTTGTATCGCAAAAAACCGCCCTAATGAGATATAGCAGACGCCCACAAAGAGAAAAAGTCGCATGTATGCGTATATACATGCCTATACGCTACGTACCACCGCCGCCCCCCAATGCAAAGGTGGCTTAAAGCATCTTCGACAAACAATCACGCTTTGGCTTTAAACAACTCAGAGGAACGAACGAGCGAGGACATTCCTTCGTGCTGACAGCTTGCAGACTCTGTGAAATTGGGAAACAATGAGGGACAGCTACTGGACTGGAACAACCGATGAGCGTAATGAGCTTCCGTGCTCGAAACCGAAACCCCTCGACCGGCTGTTGTTCTGATAGATAGCCCGAATCTTAACATCTATAGTACATCATTAAGTTCGTGTCTGATTATACAGCCATTGAATCATGACAAGACTTCGGATTATACGAGTGACCTCCAACTATAATACTCACGTTGACAAAAACTCATCACATTTCCAACCTGGGAGAACTCATACAACAAAGAGTCTATTCGTGTGCGCTCGACTCAGAAAGCTACTGAAAATGCAATTAAATAGAAGGCTTGTCATACACTTGAGGTAGTGACAGATAGAGAACAGAGTGAAGGAGACGGAAACAATGAAGAGGAAGGAGGAGGCGGTCTGAGAAAGAGGGCCGCTTGAAAGATGAGGGGTGTCGCAGTGTAACTTCCCTCCTCTCCCTTGCCTGTTGCATTAGCAATTCAAAAGGCAAATTGAGGAACAAATAGCCCAAAAACAAAACAGAAACGAAAAAGATAAGTTCTCTTGCTCTTTCTCACAACCTTGTACATCTTTCTGCATCTCTCTGACTTTATTTGTGTTGTTTTGCTGTATTGCTAAGAGCTTTGGGCAATAAGCGGTTTAGGATCATGATGGCGGTATGTCTCCAAAAATAGGAACAGGAACAACGAAGAAGACAAGGAAAGAGGAAGATAATGGTAGAGAGAAAGGAGCGTCTTGGCGTACCCCATCCACGGTTGCTATCTTGTTCTTGCTGAAGAGCACGAGGAAAAGCGAGAAAAGAAACGCACGTGTTTCTGCCTGCCTTGTTCCTCCCTCTCCTCTCTTTCTTCCTCTTCTCCTGCTCTCCCTCCCTCCATCTGCTCTCACTCTCTCTCTCTTCTTCTTCTACAGGGCTTGAGGGGAGTGAACTCCCCCACCCGCCTGGGTCGCTCGCTCTCAGTTCTTTCTTTCTTTCCTTCTTTGGAGCATGGGGCGCGCTCTCTTCTTCTTCTACGGGGGCAGGAGGGGCTCAGGAAACCCCCCGCGTAGGAGGCGGGGCGGGGGGGGGGGGGGGGGGGGGGGGGGGGCATTTTCCAGACTCCAACAAGGATTTACATTACATCTTCAAGGGGTTAGTTCTACATGTTGAATGCATCTGAACTCGGGTGCCTTCAAAACATACCCTTGCTAAATTTTGTTGGTTTGGACTTTGGGACTTAGCTTCACCCCAGGAATCTGAACCTTCGGGCATCTCAGCATATCGGGCCGCCCAGGGCCCAAAAAGCCACTGATTATTTCCAAGCTTTATGCCATGGCAGCCACACGAGGCATGTGATCCAACATTCAGAAAATTAAAACAACAAAATGCAAGAAGCATATATATGTATAATGTGTATATCCAGAAATGTAGCAAACATACTGTGAACCACCATGCCTTCTGCGTCTCAAAAAAACCAGCAGAATCAGGAGATGCACGAGAAGTCCGAGAAGGTATGGCAAGCACATCAGAAGTGTGTGGATACGTACTTACATACATACTTACATACATACACATCTGCAATTTGTGCATACTAGTTGTGTACATGTAGGGCGAGCAAGAGCAGATGGCACATGGCCTGAGCATCAAGTCAAACCACCCCAGAAACAGAGCAACCTTCTGTAGCTGAGCATTTGTTCATGTGCCTTGCACCTGCCAGCAAGCCCGGCATCATTCAGTCCAGGACAACATGCACTTTTAGCATGTTTGCTATGCAAGACAAGTGACCTCAAACAATTCTACGACTTCCACACTGCATCTTGCAGTCGGCTTCCATACTGCATCTTGCAGTGAGGTAGCATATGCAGAGGACGTAGTGTCAACTAAATCCGCACGGGACAATGCCGGGCTTTTGCACATATTTACATCCAGTGTCTTAGACATACAGGCACGCATCACTTGTCAGGCTGGATTTACCAAGAACCTGAGCATCTATTGCTTGGACTCCTTCAATTCAGAGGTGGTTGATTTTGCGCCTGCTTCAGGTGCCGAAACGACTTCGACTTGATGGTGTCGGAACTACTCGAAAAAATTGCTACAGCTATGACCATACATCCTGCAACAGCTGTCGCAGTAGTGACAAAGACACACGTCGACCAACAGTGCAACGCAGTGTAAACGCATGGCATAAAACCCCAACTGGCAAGCTTACCAGCAATGTGTCGCTCCAGGCACTAGCACCTGCAGCAGCTTCAGACCTCCCGGTATAAATTTCAGCTTGCCTCAACAATTCTCATCATGTTTGTCAGCCCGACAACGCCAGCCTAAGCCGCCCCCGAGCTGCACAGCTTTCCCATTTACGAAGCATTCAGGCATGGCACAACAAGAGAAGGATGCACTCTGGCCCGAGCAATGCTGCACAAAACGGAAACACCAGACGTCACAGCCAGAAACTCCTTTGAGGCAAATTCACACATCAAATTAACACATAACATTTTCCAGGACCGCCCCGTGTTCTAGCATGTGCAGCGTCAATCATCCACCTTAATCTGTGCTCCGGGCAGGTCATTCAAAAAATCCGACATCAGACCTCAGAGCTTACTTTTCATCCACGGGAGCTCAAAAGAGCAAGGAAGTGTCTAAGGAGACCACTTGGGGTTGGTGAGCAATCGTCCACCTCGTGCCGGCTAGGTTGCACCTGCCAGTGATTGACTGCAGTCTCAACAAGCAGTCGCTCTTGCGAAGCCATGCCGGCAGCACGGCAATCGGTCTGGCGCCACTGGAGTTGGCAAACCTACTTTGCCATCACACATACCATGCAGCCAGAGTACGAAGACAACTTATGACACTGTGTGTCATGGATGGCCATCCGCCGAAATTCAGAAGCCGGTTGTGACTGATTGTTGGTTTGGGTTGGTTGTTTGGACTTGGTGGGAACAGGCCGTCCGAAGACTGACAAATAATGATCTTCGCCGATTGGAAACCCACAAAAAACAACAGAGTTTTGCGAGACTTCGTGCAAGCAACACGAATATCGCATAGATTCCGCATACGTTTGGAATACATTCGGCACAAGCTCGGCACAGGCACAGTCCACAAGTCTGCAAATCGAACATGGCATACACGCAGCACACAGACCAAGCAGAGACACAGGGCGCAGGACTGGCGCAGGTACGCACGTGAAAATGGCATACAGTCAGCATACATTCCATATACATATATATATATATACATATATATATTATCTTTTTATATTTATATTTACATTTATATATATATATATATATATATATATTTTCATATTTATATTTATATTTATATTTATATTTATATTTATATAGTCGGGCAGAGACACACACACACACACACACACACCGTCTTGGTTCCAAGCTCACCTCGGTTGTCATGGTCTTTAGATTCAACGTGGAACTGACCCAGTAACTGAAAAACCTTCAGTAACGACAACGGCGCGGATTCGGCGTACACTCGCAATGAATTCGACATGGAAACCACAATCCACGTTCCAAACGGTTGTTGCATCATCTGGCTGCAGGAGCAGAAGCGGCCGACGTCGCCGAGATTCGACGTGAGGGAAACACCAGGCTAGCAGCATTCGTTGCTCGAATTGGCTTGCCTGGTTCGCCCGTCTCCCTGCGCGGCGTGCTCCGCTGCCCTTTACTATTTCCGCAACATACAGTAGTAAGGTTAAGGTAAAGGTGCGCCTTCATGGTGTGAAATCGAGAGAGAATGCACTGTCTTAGGCAGGCACGTGATGAAGGGAGGTCGGCGTCCACCTGAAAATGTTCACGAATTGGCAACACGACAGACAAAGCACTCAGAGCAAGTTGGGGCACGGTTCATATGATTCAGTGTACACAGGGTTCCGCGGAAATTTGGTAGAAATGAAAATATGTACACATAGACATATATATA